AAGAAGATTAATATAAAGAAAATTATAGCATTCTTGTGTGGCAATTTCATACAACTGGTAAATCAGTTTTTTACTCTTTTGTAGGTTGTTTCTTCTAACAACTGCCGATAATTCATCTTGTAGTATTTCAATCTCTTTGAAATTTCTGACTTTGAAAAAGAATAAGTGTGTGGCATTTACTCTGATTATTGGAGGGACAGTTGAAACCTTTTGAACGCTTGTAATAATTGAAATATTGTTATGCCTACCTCTAACATAAAGAGAATTTAACAATTTATTATGTCTTGATACTCTGGGGTCATCGCTTATATCATCCAAAATACACAATATACCAAACAGTTTTTTCATTTTATGCTTCTTTTGATACTCTATGACTTTATGTTGTGTTTCTATTATCTTTTCCATATCTTCGGCGTTAAACTCTTGAAAGAAGCAAGGTTCTTTATCAGTGTCAATTTTCATTTGGTGCTTTATGTATTTCTTCACAGGCAACCAGATACTATCAACATTTATGGAAGGAGACCAAATGTATATACGAGAGAAGGCATTTTTATAAATGTCTAAAATCATATTTATCAACAAATTACTTTTACCACAACCAGACGGACCCGTTATTAAAGCACGAAATGGAATTTTAGGCGCTACTTCATATTTGCTTTTTTCATACAAGTATGTAGTCTCATCAATAGGTTCTATTTTTGGAACGGTATTATTCATAATATAAATTATTTAGAAATTAAATTCTAATATCTGTTGTAATGGCATATCTTATTTTGCTTGAATAGGGGTCGGTAGAATATGGAACAGACTGCCATATACCCATCATAAGAATGTTAATTCACCCCCGACACGGTCTCACTTTTGAAAGTTTCCACCCATTCAGGGTGTAAAGAGGGCTATGCCCTGTTTCCTGTGCGTTCAAACAGTAGAAGATGTGAAAATCTTTCTGCCAGAATTAGTTTGATGCCAAGTTTTACTCAGCACAGTCTATTTACCGCCCCTTATGGATTTTTCAATGTGCCAAAAAAATCCATATATAATTAGATAGTAGTAAAATATATCATCTAATTATATAGGATGAATGAATGTGATATGTATTTAGATACAGTTGATGTCATAGAAGACAGAATTGAAGATGATACTAAATTTCCAATTGTAAGAGATAATAAAATCAAACACATTTTCAGGGTAATACTGGAGTTTCTGAAGGTAATTATAAATTATCTTAAGTATCATATAGATGCCACCCAAAAAGGCAAAGCCAAAGATGAATAGCAAAATGAAGAAGCAAGCTATACCTGAGGACTTTGAACTGTCAGATGAAGAACCCACTACAATAAATCTGGATGAGGAACAAAAAGTATCAAGCAAATTTATCACCTTTGATTGCCCACTGTGTCAGGGGAAACTACAATTGAGAAATGAAATTGAAATCAACCCCAAAGGGGTTAGGATTTCTTGTAATCCTTGCTCATTTAAAATAAGCAGAAATGACAAAACAATGAATGTCAGCAGGGATAACAATGGGGAGATAGTTTTAGAGAGTGAAGACCATAGCATCAGTTTCAGTTTTAACCGAAGGCAAATAACTCCTGAAAGTGAAGACGAAAGAAACAAGTTTGAAATGATAAGTGATGTAATGGGGACGCCTACAAGCAAGAAACAAGTGAGGTTTGATGGTATGGATTAAACTATTTAAAGAGTAGTTTTAACACACTTTGAACTGATAAATAAATATTTAATTATTTAATTTTCTAAATATATAATATATAAAAATGTCTGATTTGGATGAGAAGAAACCAGAAATGGCTGAGATGCTGAACAAGATGACGAGGTATAACAAGAATGTGAAAGCACTTATGGATTTAATGACAAAGGCTGTTGAAAAACTTGATACACTTTTGAAAAACAAACCCAGTAATGACAATGAAGTTGATGCTGACGCTGAAAAAGAAAGAATGGATAACATATTTCAGAAGAAAAAATTAGGACGTCCGTCCGGCTCGTTTGAAACCAAACAAAAGCAGTATCTAAATATGCTGAATGAAGGAAAAATAGCACAACCTAAACCTTCTACTTTAGAATTTTATAGGATTGAAAAAGAGGGTGAAGTGTTTAAATTGATGGGTGAATAAATGAACATTTGATAATATTATTATCTATAATAATATTATGAATTTACTTGAGTTGTATAGTCATAAGAGTAAAATAGAAAATGAAGCCAGAGAGAAAGGCATTTTTATAATGAGCATAGATTTAAAAGAACGATATGAATATAAACTATTTCCACCAAAATATTTTGATTATATCTACGCAACACCTAAATCAAAAGAACATCTCATAAAAACACTTCAGATAATTGAATATCTAAAACCACGATATTGGTTTATTGATTATTTGAATAAAAATATTATTGATGTTTTGAATTTAGATGATGCTGTGAGTTATGAATTTAAAATGGCAGGGAAAAAGAAAATGCTGATATGGTCTAACCTTAAAAAATGGAAAATGAGACGAGATTGTAAATTTAGTGTTGAGGATTTTTTGGATGCTGTTAATGTAGTGTGTTTTAAGTAGGTCAAAATAGCTGAAATTCTTGTTCTGGGTGGGGTTTTGCTGGAAAAAACCTTACTACGGTAGTACCGTAGTTCTACTACAGTAGTGCTGTAGTTCTACTACAGTAGTGCTGTAGTTCTACTACAGCAGTGTTGTAGTATTAGACTGGATGTTCCCATTATCTGGGCATAGGTGAATGCTGTGGAGGCATAGGTGGATGCTGTGGAGGCATAGGTGGATGCTGTGGAGGCATAGGTGGAGGCATAGGTGGATGCTGTGGGGGCATAGGTGGATGCTGTGGGGGCATAGGTGGATGCTGTGAGGGCATAGATGGATGCTATGGGGGCATAGGTGGATTTTGGAGGGGCATAGATGGATGCTGTGGGGGCATAGGTGGATGCTGTGAGGGCATAGATGGATGCTATGGGGGCATAGGTGGATTTTGGAGGGGCATAGGTAAATCTGGGGATGGCATAGGTGGATTTTGGAAGGGCGAATGTGGATTTTGGAAGGGCGCAGGTGGATTTACAAATTGTCTTATGTATTGGCTTTACCATTGGTGGGATGTGGCTTTATAGATAAATTATTTCATAATTTATCTTAAAGTCCATCTCATAGGTATAGGCTTTACAATGGGCTTAGTGGCAAGATGGGATAGGGGCTTATTCATTTTTTTTCTTATTATAGTTTGTTGTTATGATTTATGGTATGGTTTGTTTTTTTTATTCTTTGTATTGATTAGGTTGTTTTGTTTTTTTTTGTTTTATTGTGTTTGTTATGATTTTTATTATTGGTTTTATTATTATTCTATGAGCATAGCAATCCCATCTTTATTTATTGTCCCCTTAGAATTTTATGATATGATAATCTGGGTGGGTTTTGGGAAAAAGGGTTTAAAGGGATAAGACCTTATATATTAGGGAAAAGTATGGAGGAAATTGTTGTAAAAAAATGTTCCAGATGTAAAAGGAGAGAGGTGGCTGAAAATTATAAACAGTGTGCTTCTTGTTTAGAATATAGTAGGAATTATGCTAAGGAACATCCAGATTTTAAAAGGGAACTTACAAAAAACTGGCAGGAAAGAAACGCTGATAGAATGAAAGAGTATAGAAATGAAAAAGTTGAATGTCCTTACTGTAAGCAGGAGTATTCAAGACAATATTTTTGGAAACATAAAAAGCTACATCAACAATACGGTCATAAGATAGAGGGGTAGTTTCATTTTATGATTTCAATATTATAAAATGAAATTTGCTTAGGTTGTTTCGGTTTTGGGTTGGGTTATTGACAGTTAGGATTTTGAAAATGTGCTGTGATATAAGCGCGGGGGGTGGTCTAATAACATCAGATTGCTTAAGTCTAACTATAAGACATATACATTGCCAATCTTAGATACCCTGCAAACACATAGATTCATTGCTGGTGAACGTAGATATTCCCATTGATACCAAAAGACTAAAGGTTTAAAGTATCCATGTAAGATTGACCTAGTATAGGGGTTGTTTAACATCAATCGGGGATTTGACAAATACGACCGCAAAATGGACCCATCGTTCTGGTGGAAAAGTCCAACCACTAACAATGGGAACAACCAACCGACGATATGAAAATTCTGAGTAACCAATCTACACTCATCTAAAAGTTCAGATATTTCGGACATTGATTGGTTAAGTATTTTTCATATTCATGATGCATCTTGGGGGTGACTCCCTTTCGACAAGTCATCGTGTTGTCGCAACGTACAGGTTGCAAAAAGAATCACTCAGAATTCTTGGCGTCATATCCTTTGGGATATAGTTTTGTTGCCTAGAGGCTGCATCCAAAACAGAGGTTTTATTGCATTGGGGTTACCAAGGTTCACATTGAATCCCTATATTGTGATGATCTAGACATAGACCAACAAGCAATCAACGGCAGCTACAAACAACAACAGACAATGATGCATGGACGTACTGGTCGAAGGACACAACACCTGGCACAACCAAATGTTAGGGCGCTTGGGTGGCCGATTCTGTGTAGCCATGACGGCAACCACACATCGTTTTGACAGGGATTGGAAGAATAGCAAAGCGCAAATTCCAATTGTGGTCCCAATCAAATACTGGTAGGTGGTTTCAATCCCTCTGAAAAATATTAGTCAATTGGGATCATTATTCCCAATATATGGAAAAATGTTCCAAACCACCAATCAGATATCAATTCCATCATTAGTTTGGCTGCTGAAATCATATTTTTCTTCACTGTTTTGGCTTGGCGAAATCATCAATGTTCACCAGAAGCTCGTGCACCTCCAGTTGTAAGTTGCTTTATAAACCATAGATTTCATAGATATCTTAGATATCTATCATAAACACTAGTGAAATTGGAGTTATTGGCACCAACTTAGTGATTCCGAATGGCACCTGCCATGGGCCTCCCATCACCGCCACCAAAAGCCCAGCCACTGGGTATTCCATGTGCTGTTCGCCGTCGGTCCCGACGGGCTCTGGGCGAGGCAGACGGGGTCTTGCTGCCCTGCAGAGCGGTTGGGAAAACCAGGGTTTCCCCAGGAAAATGGTTTTCCACATCTTTTTGCATGCTACCATCAAGGAAACTATAGTGGGCTGTTTTGAATAGGAACATCATTTTTTTGAATGGGCTACCATAAGTCGGTGTTTTTCCGTTGATTTCCCCTTCATCTACAGTACCTTCTGTGATGATGAAGCACAGCCTTGAGCGTAATATGCAGTTACCAGTTTTCAGCCAAGGCCATCCTACAAAACATTGAAAAAAATCAATGAACTGAGGGATGACCCGCTTTTTGACAGAGCCACAATGGATAGCCATGAGATAACAACAGTGTCAATTGGGGGGTCAAGACATGGCATCGACACCGGTGCCTAGGAGACCGTTCCGCGATTGGGCTACAAAAACACGTTTTCCGAAGGTGCGCTGAAATGGGGTGTGCTGGTACAAACTCTTTGTTTCTAGGGTCTGAAACTATCCAATTCGGGGTGTTTGTAATTTTGAAATATACCCTTTGGTAAACTAACATAGCTATGGAAAATCATCATTTTCAGAGGGTAAATCAAGTATACACGGCAATTTTCAAGAACCATGTTAAAGCACCAGAGGGTACCTATTTCACAAACCGGAAACACATCAATTTGGGCATGGTTTGTTTAACAGATCATCTACTATAGCAAGGTCCGCCACTAACGTTGTTGTAAACCATGCTATTCTCTTCCAATTGCTTTATTCCATATCACTACTTGGTGGCGCATCCCAGTTGGTAAGTAGATTATAACCCCAGCTATACATGCGATAAGTACGGCAAATCCACCAAGAAGGTGAACTAACCCACTAAATGGGATAAGCCATACTGGTTGGTGGTTTCAACCCCTCTGAAAAATATGAAAGTCAGTTGGGATTATGAAATTCCCAATATATGGAAAAATAAAATTCATGTCCCAAACCACCACTTTATTCCCACTTTATCCGATGCACTGCCAAACCCCACACCACCAACCAGCAAATCATTATCCATTCGTTGTTCATTATTGTTCCATGGCGAAAATTACGCTTACCCTATATCAAACCCCTGGGCTGGCGAGGATGCCAACGCCATTATTCACCAGAAGTGTGCACTTTCGCCAAAGATTGGGGATACCAACGCTAAAGAGAGCTAAAGTCTAGATCTGTGTGGCTATAATCCATCCAGAAAAAAATGAGTCACTCGGTTGACCCAGAGTGCCAGACTTACTCAACTAGTTAGATCTCAGTGTGATCCAATTTCTAGTGCTTAAACCTCCATTTTTCGTGGCTCAACCGCCATTTTCAGAGGTTAAACCCACGTTTTTAGTGGTTGAACCATGTTGAAGCACCATCTTTCGGTACCCGTTCACCAAACCCAGTTCACCCTTCGCGCCGTGGTCAAGACTGGGACACTGCGGCGCCTGTGGGACAATTTTTTTACACCCGTCATCGCAATTTTGCAGCTTTTGATATACACGTATATATATATAATCTGTGTATATATATATATAAAAGCTGTATATATATATATAATCTGTATATATATATAATTATATATGACTATATGTGTAAATATCCTCAGTATTTTGTTTCGATGTTTTTGAAGCAGAAACTGATGCAGGATAAATTTTGTACTGGACTTCGGGGGTGTACTGGATGAGTGAACCAACGCCGTCTTAAAAGATGCATCATTTCGCAGTTCGTTTTATGAAGTCGTTTAATTATAGTATAACCCACATACGTATATATATATTTATTATATACATATTATATACATATTATATACATATTATATTTATATATATATATATGTATATGTATATAATATACACACTCTACTATATGTCCATTTTTTTTAAATATATGGTGAGTTTTTTTTGGGATGCACACGGATGCACCAACACGACACACGATCAGCCAAGATCATGGTGCCAAAATGGCTCAAACGGCTCAAACACCCAGCATACAACAAACTATCAGTTGGTTTTGGATTCTTCATAAAGATTTGGATCATTCAGAAGGTAAATTTCATGGTGTAAACCCCATGGTAAATCCATCTCATTAAATCCCGATGAAATCTTTGGTGTCGATGACTGGGGATGGTGTCCTAAAAATTGTGGAAGCCACAAAAAAATCCAAAACACTGGCCACACCCGCTTCCTCACCGTAAGCAAAAACACACACACACATTTATATAGATGTATGATATGTATTTATATATATATACATTATTTTTCTAACATTTATTACTTTTCAACTTTTCATATAGATCTATGATATGTATGTATATATATATACATTATTTTTCTAACATAGCCATATATCTAAAAATGGTATTAATAGGTATTGATTCATAGCCATATATATATATATATGTCTTTTGCGAAAAATTGACCCCATCCCACAAAACCGCTGGAGATTGTGCCGCCTCGGGGGCAACGACAAGGATCTTCTGGAGGACTCTTTGGCCAACTGCTCTCGACGGTGGCCTCGGGGGAAAACGAGGCCACCGAAGTGGTGCCCCAGGTTGGAATTGCTAAGTCGGTGCCAATAAATCTAAGAAAAATGGGGTTAAAGAGATAGATATAACTCCAATTTCTGAGTTTTTTTTTCATTTTACCTATTATATATCTATAGTTACTATGGTTTATAAACCAACTTTGAACTTGATATATCTATAGTTTCGATGGATTTCTATGCTTTTTAAACCAACAAACATAATCGGTGGGGCGCCACCTTGTAGGCGATTGTCATCTTTGTTCTCCACAAGAGGGTTGAGAATTCATGGTTGATCATGATGATTTTTCTAAACATGTTTCCCAATGCAATCATGGTGATAATTTGTTTGGGGGTTGATGATGAGTTAACATAATTAATATACATATCTGGTTGGTGGTTTAAAAACCATCTTGAAAAATATGAGCCAATGGGAAGAATTATCCCATATATGAAATGGAAAATAAAACATGTTTGAAACCACCAAACAGATACATTTTTTTTTTGGTATATATATATATAGATAGTGGGACATATCATTGAACCTCGCGATGGAGTTTCCTGATTCAAACCATTAACAATCATTATGCTTTATAAACACAGGGAAAAAAGTAAACCCTCAAAGAAATGCAGAACACGTTTTTTTTTTTCCATCCATGGTGGTTCGATGATGTTTCCTGTTTTCTTCCAGGCTTCCAGCTTCTCTACCCTCCGGTAAACTAACAGTTTGCGACATTGAACATGGCCATAGAAATAGTTGATTTACCCATTAACAATGGTGGATCTTTCCATAGTTATGTAAACGTTTACCAGAGGGTATATTTTTTTTTGGGTGGTGCTATGGTAGAAACACAACATGACCAGTGGGTCCGTTGGTACGCATATAATTCTATTCACATAAATACTTGGCATCCTCAAATCGTGTTTTTGTATGTATACATATATTATATAACTGGGTAAATTATAATATTTCACTAACCTGAATTAAGGCCATTTGGGGATGATTCCCCTTACGAACCATGATTCCAGTGAGTGAGGTCGCAGTGAGGTCGTTATAATTTACCCATATATATATATAACTGGTTGGTGGTTTTAACCATCCAGAAAAATATGAAAGTCAGTTTTGATGATTATCCCCAATATATGGACGAATAAAAAATGTTCCAAACCACCAACCAGTTATATATGATATGTTATTTGTTTGATTTGTTTGGTATATCATTCAACACATACTCTCCACAAATTGGTAGCACATCAAATATCTTGGTTTTGAATGGTTTGAATCCCCTGGGAAACATTGAGCCTCCTTTGAGGCCTCATTCCAGAACTTCCCTGTTTGTCAACTCAGCCCCGGACTTTCCCACGACTTCTTCAAATCCGTTAGGAAGCCTGAGATACAAATGAGGATCTAGAAAAAATCATCAAATATGGGGGATTTAGCCAACACATATCATGATTTAACCAGAAAATATCTCAAACTATGCGCGAAAAAATCACCGTCAAAGAAGGATGTTTCACCTCAAAAGTTGGATTTAACATGACTTCACCATAACCCATGGGGGCTTGACCATCAAAACATATATCAACGCATTGGATTCAACTAGGGGTATTTAACCACTAAGACAGTCAGCGTGAAACCAAGCTAGTACTGGAAATCTGATGGGCATATTGTGGGAATACTTCGGTATGGGAACATTCTGGAAATATCATTGGAATATTTTGAGAATATTATCGAGATACTATTGAAGAATTATGGGAATATTGTGAAATAATGGGAATATGACTGTCCAACAATGGTGTACGCAAAATTGCTATGGGGATCTAACCAACAAGCATATGAGTTTAACACGTGATATACACGTGATTTAACCAATTCAAATTGGAATTAGGTTTCTCCAGATTTGTTACGGATCCAACCAACGGGCCACGGGAATGGATGGGTCAAAAAAACAGGGAATTAGGATGATAAATCATGGGATTTCCCGTGTGTTATCACTGAAGTGGACCGACCGTTGGAGGAAACCTATAAGAACCATCTATTGTCTCGAGATCTAAAATATGTGTTGCTGACAAAAATCCACTAAAAAACATGAGTCACTAAAACACTAACTATAATCCCAAATATATGAAGTAAAAACTTTCGGGTAGGTGGTTTCAACCCTCTGAAAAATATTAGGCAGTTGGGATTATCATTCCCAATATATGGAAAAACAATGTTCCAAACCTCCAACCAGCTTTGGATTTGCTCGAAAAAATAAAACTAATCTTCCCCACAAAGGTTCCCCGGTGGATGTTGAATTGGGAAAAATCCGCCAAATCATTGACGCAAATCCAGGTCATATTCGACAAATGCTCAAATCTCTATGTTTGTTGATTAATGAATACTATGGGGATGTCATCATATTCAAATACTATTCTGAATAGCTAATACTGGGTTGTTTGACAAACTACATGGTTCTTTATTAGGGGTAAATGTTTTAGGTATTCATTATTACCCTCTGGTAAATTAACATAGACCCTGGTAGATAGGGGTTGGAAGATTGGTTTCCATTAAAACTAGGCTATTTTAAGGGTCTATATTTATTTACCAGAGGGTACTTGAAACATTTACAAAAAGATGCGGAAAACCATTGAGGTTTTCCGTTTGGAAAACCCGATCTACACCAACATGGTGGAGATTCGGCATTTAATTCACGGGGATTCCGTTCATGAGGATTTTATGAAAATGGATGGTATTCATTATTGATTAATCAATAAAAAACATGGGTTCCCCATATGTTTGCATCCAAAAAATCATGAATATCATTAAGATCATAATTGATTCATATTATTCAAATAATAGTATAATAATCATGATTCACTGATATTCATCAATATCCCCACATGGATAATATTCAAAAATCATACTCCCGATATCCCTCTTCTTTGAATCCTTCAATCAGCAAGGATGTCGGCGATTTTTTCAGGGACTAGGCGACAGAGGTACTGTCGGGGCTGGGGTGAAAAGTTCGCACCGGGAGTTTTCGGCGCAACTTCGATGTTATGTCGGACCCTCTTATGATTAGTAAGCCATGAATCCATATCAACAACTGGAGGCTATAGATGGTTAATAATACATATTTCATCTATTAGCCATAATTAACCACTTGCATGGCCATTATTGAAAACAGTTAATAGATGTTAATAGATACTTAATAGATAATATATATATATATTCCATCTCCTCCAGCAACTCTGTTGTGTCAGCCACTAGTCGCGGTAAAGCTGCCGTTCAACGGACTTAGCTGCGGCACTCGCTGGCAGAAAAGAAGCTTGGCTTTAAGGCTGGAATTCCAAACGCCGTTGTTGACATATTGGCTAAAAAAAATCAACTAATGATATGCAACAACACCAAGATCGCTTCTGGCAGCTGAAGCTCTGCTGATCGAAAATCATCAGGCAATGCTGCAAAGAACACATGATTCACCTGCCCATTCGGGGCTAGAACACAAGAGCTTTGTCGCATCACGGCTGCTGTTGACAGGCGCCCAGGCAGCCAACATGATAAACACGCGAACCCAGGCGATTGACTGGGATTTCACAAACCGAAGCAATTGGTTGCACTTTTCACCAACAAATGCTGAAGTTCAAGCAGGAAGAACGGGCACAAAATCCTCAAAAATACGAAGTCAACGTAACTTCACAGAACGAAACATAACTTCACGTAATCTGACACAATTTTACATAGCCCACAACAACCCCTCCGTGCATATTTCACCCGAACAGAAACAGTGATTCAAACAGCCCCAAACGCCAACTGCGCCAGGAAACTCTCCCAAAGTCCGAAGAAATCTTCACAGGTGCGTTGACGCCCATCCTGCAGGTGTTGACCTTTGGTACCCCCAAAAATGGATGATAGTGTCATTATCGTGATTGTATTACGTTCTTACTACGTTCTCATGATGATGACAATGATGACGATGATGACGATGATGACGATGATGACGAGTGATGATGATGATGATGATGATCATCATCATCATCATCGTCCACATGTTTTTCGAACAATAACGCCAGTTGTGGGCTAATTGGGGGGGGTCAAAACTTCAATCATCCAATCTATACACTAGGTAGTATGCCGGAAGAACTAGACAGGTGGTATACTTAGATCCTTGGCGTGAGCGAAAATGAAGTCAAAGGCTATTAGGCATTCCGGAATATTCGCAACCATGTGACATATTGTGACATCATATCTCGTTGGGAAATTGGTTGCAAAACATATCTGATATGAATCGAATTCACAGGAGGGTTTGGAAATCTTTCAGCAACCAATGCAGATTTTTTTGCTTCCACAACGTAGCAAAATTCTGCACAGCATGACATCTCGCAAGGTGGTCCGGTGGTCAAGTGCCAATAAAGAGCGGTAAATGTTGGCATCTTTGTGGTTGGGGTCTCTCCACATCGTTGGTATCTGAACCATCCTGCAGAATGAATTGCCCATGCCCAATGCATTCCCCGAAAGAATCACGGAGTCGCGGAGCTATGCAGTCAGGCGACCGTGGCTTTGATCATTGGATGACGACCCCCCAAAAAAATCCCCAAACACTTGGTTTATAAAGGAGTTTGAACACATCATACATCACCAAAATCTGGAGATGACTGGGGTTTGCAACAAATGATCCGGCACCATTCGAGCCTGCATCTGGAACCAATGGCAAAGTTCTTCCTGCAGCAGCTGTAAATGGGAATGTTGCTGGGTCCACATTGCCATCGGCACGGTCCCCGGCCGGGAAAAATATAAAAGTTGCCTTATAAGTGGTTTAACTATGGTTCCTGGTAGATATAACGAACTAGTTTTCATGGGGGTTATAATGGTTTATAAAAGCCGAAAAACTGATCTTCAAATAACAAAGGAGATCAGGGTAAAACGGCACCCATGAAGCTGAACGCAAACACGAGCTGTGGGCAACTGCTGTTTTATGCTCCGTCATGATTGGATGCATGTTGCTTTTCTGAGATTCCTCATTTTGGCACTCCTTTAATACACTCTATGCAGGCACACTTTTGGGAGACCTTTGCAAAACAATCTGAGGTGAGATCTTGCGAGACACCTTTGAAGAACAAAAATGATGGACACTCTTGTCACGGCACTTTTCTGAGACACGCTAGTGAGGCACTCTTGTGGGACAGTCGTCTTAGACGCTTTGGAAAGACAATCGTTGGAGGCACTTTTCTGAGGCACTCTTGTAAGAGACTTCGGTGGAAGACAGATCTCCGCATCACCTTGCAATACCTTGCAACTTCCTCAAGCACTTTGCGTGCCACGAAATCATCTTCCAGAGAGTCCATTGAGATCCATTTAGATGATTTACCATAATGATATAGCTATTTATTGACCATTTACATTAGCTATTATGCTTAGATTATGGATTATGAATCAAAATTTACCATTTAGATTTATAGCTATTTATATATGATAAATTTTCATAATAGCTATATATCAAATTACCGGTGGGTGGGCATTGGGGTGAAGCTCTAAGATGCTGCGACAGCCGTTAAGAGGTGGAGAAAAAGGAAACTCATCGCTTTTTACCCGCACATGTGGCACATAGATGCAGCCGTTATCTTGTCTAGTATCTGGTTGGTGGTATACCTATATACCCCTTCTGAAAAATATGAGTTCGCCAGTTGGGATGATGAAATTCCCAATATATGGAAAAACAAAAGCCATGTTCCAAACCACCAACCAGGTATGATCTTTTCAGTACCTGGAAATTGAACAGACAGTAGACCTCTGAATCAGTGATCATCTAGTGATCATGGCGCCATCTCCAACTCCACACTCCTTAAAACTCTCTCAGGATTTCCCAGGTTAGTTGGTGAGTTGGTACCCTCTGGTAAACTGTCCCATAACTATGGAAAATCACCATTTTTAATGGGAAAACTCACTATAAATGGCCATTTTCAATAGCTATGTTAGTTTACCAGAGGGTATCTCCCAATGAACATCTAGAATGGGCTCCCTGATCAGATTGGACCACGCAAGGCTGGAGGTTATCCAGGTTATCCGATAACTTCCTGACATACCCTGGCTGCCAGTGGAGCGGCGAAACTATGCCAATGCCTGTGGTATGCATCGAATACAGAAGACATACGTAAAGATCACACGTTTAGTGGTTTCCTGAAATGGGGCTACCCACATTTTTCATCTATTTTAGTAGGATGAAACACTATAAACCATCCAGCGAGCTTGGGGTACCCCCATGACTATGGAAACCCTCGACAAATCTGAGAGAAACACCATGGCATTCTTCATGAAAAAAAGCTAACCGCTAAGGTTCGGCAGGCTGAATGGCAGGCTCACTCCTTTCAGGGTGTGGTTTTTTTGTTATGTCCAAACATCAAATTTCCATTTGCGACATGGAAAATGGCCATTTAGTTACGTTCGTTGATTATTAAACATGGTGGCTTTCCATAGTTATGGGACAGTTTACCGGAGGGTATATCTGGGTGATAATAATTCACTAACCTGAATTGATGGGCCATCTGAGAATGATTTCCCTATATCTAAACCATGATTTCCAGTGAGGGAGAACAGTGACGTCGTTATAATTTACCCAGATCCATGAAGATTAAACACAAACTAATATGGATGGTTCATTGAAAGTCAACTAACCAAGTAAAAAACCCTGCAATAATCCACCTTAATTATCACTTTATGAGCCCATATTTTTGATCATGTTCCTTCTCCTACAATCTGGAGTCATAAGTCTTTTAGAACTGTGTATCATATTAGTCTACAGTTTCTATACTTAGATGGGCTTAAAAGATATACCTAGCACAAACCCAACAACCCAGATAGTTACCAGTTACTATACTACAATTACATTCTATGATAGTTCTGATTATACACACTGGTTACAAAGTGGGGCCCCCTAGATAGCTAAGTTGGTTTATAACTCCAATAATTATGGTTTATGGTACCTATAACTATAGTTAATGGGGTTTATAAACCATCTTATAACTGGGGGGCCCCACCTTGTACTTATAGCGCCATTTACATACCAACTTTGCCAGCGATTTTTCAACACCCCCAGCTGGGCATCGGACGTATTTGGTCTCCCACCTCGGCCAAGTCGTGAAGCATATATTTTGGGAGCCTAAGGTGTAAACATATATGATAATATATGAGTAAGGTTAAACAATATATTTTTAGGTTAATCATTTTAACATTAAATTATTAAACCTAAGTTGTATCATTGTATCCTACTCCACATAATTTTTTTTTAGCATGCCTTTATTATCAATGATAAACCATTGGACCACTGAGTTTCTTGCGCTTGTTGTTTTGGTCAATTATACAATATTGGAGACGAAGTATTGGGTTTATCACAATACATTACCCAATGAACCAAAAAAAATGGGATCAATGGGGATTGAAGCAACATACCCTCTGGTTATGTCAACAGTTTGCTATGGAAAATCGCCACAGAAAGTTCGTTGATTTACCCAGCTATAACATGTTGATTTTCTAAGCTTATGGGACAGTTTACCAGCCATAGAAATCGTTGATTTACCCATTAAAAATGGTGATTTTTCATAACTTATGTAAATGTTTACCAGAGGGTAAATGATGCGATCAATAACAACCATAGGGAATTCATGTCATGGCGAATAGCAAGAATCATTGCCAACCCTTCGCGATCTTTTGGGCGACATGCTCATTCTTGAAATGCCCAGAAGCCTGCTGGGTGGTACCCCAATAACTGTTGGCTTCATGGGGACACCCATCTGGTTCTATCTATTGTTTATGGGATTTTCAACAAACCAACGGTGATTCTGTGTGATTCTGTGCCCAAAAAACCCTGGTTTTCTTTAGAAATTTTGATGAATATGGGGGGGATTCAACAACTGGGGACCTCAAAGAACCAAAAAGGGCCGGGCTTTCGAATCTCATGGAAGCCACGGTGGGGTGGAATCACCATGGCCTAGACATGTGTGATGATGTGTGGCGTTTTGAGGGGTTGAACCATTTTAAGAAACGACCAATGATTCCCTAGCGGAAAGATCCAAATTGCCTTCAATTGGAAGACTTTTGGCAATCTGCTTGGTGGTTGAGCCACCTACCCCTCTGAAAAATGATGGAGTTCGCCAGTTGGGATGATGAAATTCCCAATCTATGGAAAATAAAATTCATGTTCCAAACCACCAACCAGCAGTACACATATTGACAACCACAATTTCTGATGTTGGATATCTGGCGACTGAAGCATGAGATATTTTTGACAGTACACATATCTAGTGCAGCGATTGGAAGTAACTGTCAGTTCCAGAAGCTCAGCAGGATAGAATGCCAAGTGCTGAATTTGCTGAATAGTGGGGATGTCTTGAATTCATGAATTTTTATTTCGGAGAAGTTCCTAAAAGATGCCGCGATCAGTATGCAACCTTTCGGCATCTTTGAAATGGGCTGCTTGCTACAGGATGGGGCCCCCAGTCGAGCTCGCGTTCAGTTGCCTGAAAAAAGTGGTTTCACTATGGTTTATGGTAGATATAACGAACTAGTTTTCATGGGGGGTTATAATGGTTTGTTTAAAAACCAACTTATAACTGGGAGGCCCCATCCTGTACAAGTTATCCCCAATTCTTTGTCATCTAGCGTTGGATTGGCACCTTTGGATCCCTTCCGCTATGTCTGGACTTCGGCCAAGTTTTATGGCGATGGGAACGTAATACATGTAATACTGGTTGGTGGTTTTAACCATCTTGAAAAATTGGGAAGGATTATCCCATATATATGATGGAAAATAAACTATATGTTTGAAACCACCAATAAGAATATGTAGATAAACAATGATAAGGACGGTGGGGATATATTGGTGGAAACATCTGGGAGACAATGGGATGCCCAATAAATCCCAAGAATTGATATCCATCACCTATTTTACCATGAATGATGGGAAATGGTGATTCAAAACATCTCAAATGTTACATTTATTTATGCCGGTTTGCTACATTCTTGAGGTAAAAATCTTTTTCAGCGAAAACCAGTCTTGCACCCACCATGATCTATCAACTATATTCCCATATTATTTCTTTTTTCAAAGTGAAGCCCATAGAAATCATGGACATATTCCCGCTAACGAACTGTTGCAGCCAGCTGGCTCGTGAAATTTCTGCAGTACATCTCGCAGCTTCTTCAGGCTCTCCTCCAGCTTCTCCTGTTGCCGTGCTGAGCCCAACTAGTCATATGACCCTGTTGGGTCAGAACTACAATGTGGGCCCCCCCAGTGATGTTTGTTGGTTTATAAGCCCCAGTAAGTATAGTTATAAATACCATGAAGCATAGTTATTGGAGTTATAAACCAACTTACCTATCTTGGGGGCCTCATATTGTATAAAACAGACACCAGGCATTAATATGAAACCTCGTCTGCGATTTTGGGTTGCTTTCCAGTTTTTACAATAAAAAGGATGTCATTAGCTCGCTCCACTGGAAAGCAACAAAAACCTTGAAGAACATGGAGAATCCAGGCCAGAATGTCAGTCTTAAAAAATGCACCAGTCCAGATCTACTCAGAACAGTTTGTTTTTAAAAACTCATCTGGCCATATTTGGTCCATCCGTCCATCACTGCTGTGCCAGCTGGAAAAGGATGGTGCGCCTGAAAATGGTGGTGATACCTTCAACATGGCTACTTTAAGAGGGAACATGATGATCTGGTTGGTGGTTGGTACGCCCTACCCCTCTGAAAAATGATGGAGTGAACGTCAGTTGGGGTTATGATTCATTCCCAACTCTTTCTGGAAAGTCATACTCCATTCATGTTCCAAACCGCCAACCAGTGATCACTTGGATTTTGGGGTTTCCAATTTTCAAACAACACCCAGTCAACTCGTGCTGGTACTTTCACATGTCTCGCTGGAGAATCCCTGTAAAATCTCCAATCTGGTTGGTGGTTGAGCCACCTACCCCTCCGAAAAATGATGGAGCGAGTTCTTCAGTTGGGATGATGAAATTCCCAAGATCTGGAAAAATGAAAAATCTTCCAAACCACCAACCAGCCATTTGATATTGGGAATTTATAAACAAACCTTCGAAATATGGTCTTGGGTGGCATTTGAAATATGCCTCGCCAAAAAAGGGGGAATCATCACAGCATCCATAGGTTTATTCAAATGAAAGAATACCAAAAACTTGACTTTGTGTAAGCTGGACCCAATCCTTCATTTTTCGCTGGTCTGCTACATTGATCACAAAGAACACATTTTTCGTTTGAAGTTTGGCAACCAAAATATCACATGATATTGGCCGCTATTGACAGCTACACATTACCTGGGCATTCACCAATGAAAGGCCCAATTGGTTTACCCAGGAAAACTCAATGATTGTTAAGCGGTGAATTTCAAATGTTTGATGGTCTATCCCCATTCAACTTACTTGTGCTAAATGTTACTAAGCACCAGGAAGTCAAATCCCAAAAAGTATCAGCCATCCACCAGGTGGTTTACCCAGTGGGTTTGTCATCACCCATGGCTGGGACGCCCGCGATCCTAGCCATAGAGGTTTGCTTCGCTAACGCATCAAACTCAACGTGCCATCCAGAACTCAACGTACCATCGTGGCATACTAACATAGATGTGGAACACCCATGGTTTCCCTACAGGATGGGGCCCCCAAGATAGCTAAGTTGAGATATAAGTGGCTGAATTCTATGGTATATGGTAGATATAACGAATTAGTTAATGGTGATATGGGGGTTATAATGGTTTATAAACCAACTCATAACTGGGGGGCCCCATCTTGTAGGACCAGGATCGACAATGATCTGCAAATGGTGGGTACCCGGTGCATCTATGTTACTTCACCGTAGGCTACCACATTTTGAAGTCAACCCAAAATGGATCAGCACATCCCATAAAAGCACCTTTCGCTTCTCCATGGCTTCAGATTCAACCTCCAAAGCCGGTCCCGGATGCCTCGTTTTTTCACAACCCGAACATGGCCAAAACCATACGTGCCATATAGGTGCTATGAACAAAACACCTGGTATATTTGGTATGGTCACTCATCTTTTAGTGGGATCCAAGTGAGAATATTAGTTATTTTTTCAAACCACCATTTGATAGATTGATGACGATCCCACGATATGGGCAATTGACCAATGTTTTGACCATGGCACACATAGATGATCATTCTACTACTGGTAAGTGGTGGAAAGAACACTCTTATCCAATGTATAGTTGGATTCTAATTCCATCCTGGCCTATCATAAAACATGAAAATATTCGAATATTCCAGCTTACACGTATAATAGTCCATACATAGTGTATAATATCCCATGAAACATGTGTGTATCCCATATATTTGGGTAAATTGTAATATTTCCCTAACCTGAATTAAGGCCATTTGGGGATGATTTCCCTATATCTAAACCATGATTTCCAGTGAGGGAGAACAGTGAGGTCGTTATAATTTACCCAGATATATGAAACTCATGTTTCATATTCCATGTGCTTAGCTGCTGCTAAAAGCCCCCACCAGCACCGCTGATTGCTGCCTTGCCTGTTGTGGCAGAAAGCCTTCAGCCTGACCTTGGGTTCCAGCGTTGGTTTGATAAAACCCTGGGCAATCGCCGGGATTCAAATGCATTGGTTTTAGGGACAATTTACAGGAAAACCCCCCATATTTAACGGTAAAATCGATGGTTTCCTGTAGATTTTCCCTTTAACCAATCAATTGACTAGGGATTAACATGGTGGAAAAACCATATCCCTTTTTTATGGTTAAGGATGACCAGTACTTAGATTTGAAACCTGTGATGACTTGGGGATCGCCCATTTTAAGACACCCCCAAATGATGGGATAGTAACCCATCAACCTTCACCAACCAACCATTGTTTGATTTAATGGGAAATATAGGGATATCTATATCTGGGTGGTGGTTTCACCCCCCGAAAAATCTGCTCGTCATTGGGGGTCATCATCCCAAAGATATCCCAAACAGGGTGGAACATGAGAAATCATGACCATGTGGCAAACCCAATACTAATAATAAACCATGCCCAAAATCACAATTTTGGTGGGTGGTAATTCAACCATCCCCAAATAATGATTGCTTATGGCATTGGATTTCCCACATTGCTCTTTATTGCTCCCTACTGACCGAAAGGATACCGAAAGGGCAGGATCTCACGACCCCATGCTCTGTCCAAAAATGAGCAATGGAAATCATCAAACATGGTCGAAAGATTTAAAAACACTACCAAAGGTGCAAACATGGGGTTTCACCATGCCACTAATCCAATATGCAAAATTGGGTGTTGAATGGTTTTAACCTGTTCAAACTAAAGGAAATTGGATTTCAACCACCATTCAGGTGATTCAGGTGTATTTCAGAAATCAACGATGGCGTTTGCCAATACAGGTAAAATGCCAAACAACAGCACTTGGAATGTAGCCAGCAATCAAAGAACCAATAGGAACGGAGAGAAAACCCAATAGGAACGGAGAGAAAGCAACGGACCACGATTTGGATATACCGATCTGCTTCCACTCCGGGGGCTATGCAAATTTGGGGCCCGGAAAGGTTGTCGAAAATGATGATTCTGATGATGATGATGATGATGAGGAGATGATGATGATGATGATGCTGCTGCTGATGATGATGATGATGATGACTCTAGTTTCCCCAGGGTCTGGTGCGTGGGCGGAAATATAAGACCATAATGAGAACTCTCACTTCTGAGAAGATGGACACCAATCATACTGTACTATCCTCGTGGAACATGTCAGATCCCTTTCTTAATATCCATCTGGAACACTCACAATACTTCACTAAACTGACACCACAATAATTCACATTAATTCACTCAACTAAAACAGGACCATTTCAGGATAGTTACCCCTACTAACCATGATTCCAGTACTGTCGCAATGAGGTTGTTATAATTGTTTGCACATGCTTCCAACCACAGTGCCATCCTTGTGACATTCAATCTGCAGTTATCTTCCGTCTTGGGTCAACATTGAAGCCCCGTCACAAACTGCACATCTTGGTCAACATTTTTTTACAACCACTGTAGAAGGAATTCCACGTTGAGTTTTCCCCATCTTGACCCACATGAACATTGGAAGCTACCAAGTAATTATTGTCCAAAAAATCCAAACATTAAGACCATTATTCCGGCCAGTCAAAGTTCCAAATCAAACTTGAAATGATCCTAGGCACTACCCCGCCAGTGAATAGTGAAGGGCCGGCTAGAAATAAACAAGTAAACACAGGCTTTGTTGCAGATCTCCGCATCAATTTTTGTTGCAAACAAAGTCTTCACCTTGTGAGTTTTTCGTAGGTTGAGTTGGTTCGTGTCCGCGTGCTTCAATTTTCCTTTTTTTGGGGTGGCATCCTGGATGATATCACATCTCTGATCGGGATAAACACTGGTCACGGCAACAAAATGCGAATGTGCCCCCCTATGCATTGCGGTGCTACCATAGACCAATCAAAAAGGCCATGGCCACATCGATCCAAATCGATTGCCATGAAATGGAAAAATCCCACATCTTGATAAAGATCCAGTCTCGAAATGTGAAAAAAAATCAAGATACCCTCTGGTAATTTAACGTAGCTATTGGAAATGGCCATGTATAGTGGATTTTCCCATGAAAAATGGTGATTTTCCATAGCTATGTTAAATTACCAGAGGGTAATTGTTATAATAGGGAACATGATGATCAACCATGGGACGGGGTCCTTCATGGTGTTCAGCCGTTCAGCCATCCTGACGGTCCCAGAACACCCAATGGCTGCACTGGCCGAGTGTCTGATCAAAGTCTTCGTTTCTTCCACCGCATCCTTCACGCAATGCATACGGGCCCGTCGAACGGCCTGGAAGGATAAATAGGACCCAAAGGACCCAAAGGACCCTCCGAATCTTTGGTGATTTGTTGGTCCTCTGACGAAAATGTGGGGGAAAAATGGTAAACCCAGAATCTAACCCCAAGAAAGTTTAATAAACAAACTACGTGTATGGCTACAATCTTGTTCCTGTTGTTACTGTTGTTGTTGTTGTTGTGGTGGTGACGGCTCGTTCAAACGCAACCTTTAGAATCTTTCCTAATGAAACCAGTTTGATTGGTGGTTTCAATCTTCAACCGTTCCGAAACAATACTTACCAGTTGAAATCAACATCCAGGGTAGCACAAGAACAGTGCAATGGAAAACCTACCAGTTAGACACGATTTATTTCCGAAACATGTCACATTCCGTTGCCAAATGGGGTTCCCAATGCTCTTATTCAAAAACCTGTAATGTCAGGATATGAAACATGGTTGTTTTCAGCAATGCCTCAATGTTTAAATTTATGAGCCAAGTTGTGCATCTAAAACACAAACCAATCAAAAAACAGACACTTTTCTGCAAAACTTCAAAGTTGGCAAAATAAACGATCCAAAACCGTTTTCGGCAGAGTTAAATCAGAGACCATCAATCTCAGGGATCGCGGGATTGAAAGCGGGATTCGGCCAGCCAAAGGAATCGTGATGTAGGTTGTCGGCATCTCAAACGACACAGAAAACATTCATTGCAAGTAGCAGGATTTTGGGTCCATCTCCAACCCCCAAACCCAATATTCAATCCTATAGTTTCTGGCCGCGCGCTGGGCTTGTGGCGCCTGTGACTAGATAGGGTTTTAGCCAGCGTGCTGTGCCTAGGTAAGCTTGCTGCTGGCAGCAGAATGGCTGTGGTTCAAAACAAAACTTAGCTCATTCATGCATATGCGGTGCAGCATTTGAAATCATGTGTTCTGATTTTGGGGATGGCTGAACTGAATCTTTGATTCCTGTGGGAAGGGGGTTAGGGGCAACTACGGTGGCGCGAATGTGATCCTGGCGTTGCTCAACTTGCTTCCGCATGCAGCCGGTAGCGATGTCCATTTGCAAAGGCCTTGTTTGCCAACACGCGCTGACATCAGCCATGAGAGCCTCGCCGTACCCGGCTTCCTGCTTCAAGTGCAGAACCAAGTAGTCGTGAAACACATGGCTTGCACCGCGCAATGGTAAGATGTGCATTCCAGACCCCTTTGTCCGCATGTAATTTCTTGTGATGTTGCGACGCAAGATCTTTATAGTTCATCCAAATCATCCCCGTCATATCTATCCCAATGGTATTCCATCATGCCACAATTCTTGTTGGTTGCTTTCCGATTTTTGATGGCAAAAAACCAGATTACTCGGTCTATATACTGCGGAATAAAACTATCATATATGTACATGGTTGATCACTATCCCCGCCGAATATGTATATATATATATACACACATATCTCCGCATTATTAACCCAAATAAAAATCAGATCAATGTGGTAAAGCCAATAATCAACCTTCCCACCATCCATCGGGGGTCCATTCAAAAATCATCCCGATTTTTGGTGAGGGACCCATTTTGATAAACCCAATTTGGGGATGGTTCATGATAGTTCTCAAAATCATCTATATTTATCCCACTAGTATCAATTCACATTGTCCCCTAATATCCTACTATGTGCCATGATTTTTGGGTTTATTTACCTCATTTCCCTAGTAGATTCCAAATGTTTCTTTGATACTTTAAGCCAGGTAAGGAGGAGATCTTTTCTTGATAAGCCCCCATCATCCATCATCCTACTTGGTTTTGCTTGGATTTTAAGCAACAACATATAGATGGTGGGGCCGCGAGTCAGGGTTTTTGTTCGTTTCTAGTTTCATGAAGTGGAGTTTTGACACAGTTATAGCCCAACGAGCATAACTGGAGGGGCACCATCTTGTATGGCTGGTTGGGTGTTTCACCTTCAAAAACATGGTTCTGAACGTCCTGGGATGGATGAAACCAATCAACAGAATGACGTCATACGACCTATTTGGGTGACGTCAAAAGACCTATTGGAGAACCTGGTTGGTGATTAATGGTGATTGATGGTGATTAATGGTGGTAATAATTGGATAATCATATGGGATAATATTGGATAATATAACACTGATGATTGTAATATCTGGTTGGTGGTATACCTACCCCCTCTGAAAAATATGAAACATGAAAAATGTTCCAAACCACCAATCAGACAACTATTAGTTGGTAAACATTCCATTGACCCACAGATCATCCAAGTCATGAATGACCATGACTTAGTATTGAAACCTATGGTTTTTTGGGGATCCCCCATCTTAAGAACCCCCAATGCCATGGTCAACACGGGGTATATTGCTGCTGCTATGGTCGCCCATCCAGCCTGGGAAACCCTGGGGGTCAATCCCAAGGGACGGATTGATCACAGCCATCCTTGCTATTCATGATTTCAGGGTAAATTGGGGAAACCCCCATGAGATATGGCGAAAATGACTAGAGTGTTGGTGGTTGTTTTTTGTGCCATGGTGAAAACATGGCTAACTTAAGTTTGTACTGCGCGATAGTCACATCTACGCACGCCGTAAAGGCACGGCGCAATATTATACCACCCAAAATGCATGACTAAATGCTACAAAAAGATCAGTTTTCTAGGACCGTTTTCAAATTTGAGCAGTTGCCCGTAGCATGATCCGTGGTATTTATCCAAAGGTATGACTGGGGTATGGATCAAAAACCTTCTTTTTTTCACAATTTTCAGGGTGAACTTCAGCACCAGCTATTTTGATGTGAAAACCAACTACTAACGGCGGCAGTTGCCCATAGCCATTGAACAAGCTATGGGTTTTTATGCGTGGGTATATCCAACAGGCTCCCAACACCGGCACATGAGAGGTAAATATAGCGATCAACTGACTACAGGATGGGGCCCCCAGTCGATAGCGTTCAGTTGCCTGAAAAAACGGCTGAATTCTATGGTTTTTGGTGCGCGAGATAGAACTATAGATAACTACGATCGTTACCGTATAGTCAATGGGGTTTACCAAAAAAACATATCGGGTTGGTGGTTGAGCCACCCCTCTGAAAGTCAGTTGAGGTTACTAATACAATTCCGAATATATGGAAAAATAAAAATATTCCAAACCACCAACCAGATATAATTGGGAGGCACCATCCTGTAATTTATCACCCTTGTGGATATCATTTATCTACAATGGGTTGGGGCAACCCTGTTCAACATTCCATGTGCAGCATGGCCCTTTTCCCTACTGGTGACCAGCCAGCTGAAAATGCACCAAAGGGAGTCAGCCAATTTCCTTCAAAAAAACAACTGGCAAGTAGGCTATATGCACAATTTTCAATATATAATTGCCACATATTTTTGATCCCAATATATTTTCCACATATTTTCAACATATAGTAGGCTAATTGCCACATATTTTCAACATCTTTTTGACTACCGAGACCCGTTGGACCGTTGGATTTTACCCAGATCTTTCACCCCAAGAAACTGTCCCCAAAGTGAACACATCCAGGAAATTCTCCTATCTTAGGGGTAACTTTACTCAAAATTTACCATCAACTTTCAATGGATTGTTTCTACTTGGATGTGCGTCCACTCAGGAAGTGGTTCATAGCCCGCCATTTATTCCCAACCCATATAAAAGTGTATATTCCATGTATATGTGTATATATATATATATGCAGTACTATATAGCTAGGTTGTAAGATGGTGATTATACCCTCCAGTAAACCAACACATGGGCAATTCACTAGAGATGTAGATCCTTCCCAAAACCGGGAAAGCCAGGCATTTCCATAGCTTTCCGAACGTTACCGGAGGTAGCCCCTTGCCAATTATCCCACATTAAATCCTTCTTGTATCCCATTTGTGGTTGATAACCGCTATAGCTAATAAATTCAATCAAACTAACCGTACCACATAAAATCAACTCAAATAACTAAATCAGCTATTTTCCCATATTATGGCCCTGACTGGTTGGGAAACATACTGTCATAGTTATGAGGTCGTAAACCCAAGGAGTTAAAAAAATGATCTATGCAATTTGGTATGCCCCTGTGGGTAGGATGCTCTAAAATTATCACCAAATAGTTGCTTATTGGGATGGTTTATGGCACTGGGTTTACCACATTATATAGTTTATGGTTTTCCATCAACAGATTAATACTGGGATTCCTGAAAAACCATAACTGGTTGGTGGTTGAGCCCTACCCCATTTTTTTTCCATTTGCGATGCTACACCGTCTTGGTGTTTGGTTGGTCTCGTGCATGTTGTTGGCTGTCTTAGCCCGTGCCACCGTGGTAGTCTGGCTGAAATACGTCACCGTCATGGCACCTTTGTTCCATGTACGGCATGAAGACCGGGGGCAGCTCTTCCTCCACTTCCATCGCGGCCCATTGCATGGCTGCATTGAACAGCGCGTCGCCCAGCACTTTGTTCAAGCCATACGGGTATATACACTTTCGCTTTTGCAGTGTGGAAGGTGCCATCGACTTCACGCCCGATAAGAGCGGTGTGTTCGCCATGAGGGTGGTTGCATCGGCCAAAATTGCCACGCTTGAGGAGCACGTCTCGGACAGCTGGGAGTCTCAGCAAGAGCAGGGTGGTGGGCTTGCGTCCGGCAGCCCCCACAACGCATTGGTCAAAAGACACAACGGTGAAGCAGCTGAGATTCTTGAGGTATCGGATGGCGTCCATGGACCATATACTTGCTGGTGATCCTCGTACATTCCACGTAGGAAATTGCGGGTGTTCGAGGAAGCCGCTAAAGCCCATCATGGCTAGTGCCACCAGAACATCCAGGAGAAATCTGAGCAGCCGGTCGCTGATACAGAGCTGGTTCCACTCTCTCTGCCAGGGATGCCGAGTGGATGCTGTGCACTGCGTAGTGGACGCGGGCCACCGTCCTGCTGCCTTGCGACTGTAAAAGTTTCGCAAGGGGGGCCACCACCAGCGGCTACAACCTGTCCACTCAGGATTCGCTCCCTCCACCATTTGGCCGCCTGAGGAGTGGCAAGGTCTCCGCTTTGGCGCTGCATGCATAGGTCGACCGAAAGAGTAAACACTTGCGTGTGGGACTTAACGGTCTTGTGCTCCACTACATGGTGAATGTCGCCCATACGACGATAGCCGCTAAAGAAGTGTACCACCACCAGGGCTTTCACATGGAGCATTGCTGTCTCCTTGGCCAAGCCGTGCATTGCAAAGGCGCCTCCTGCTGCGTCCGGCCCCTGGACGGAGTGCATCACAAAGGCAGGGAGGTCGTCATGATGCCACCATACCTTGGTGGGGTTGGGAGGCATTTGGGTGACCTGTCTGGTTGACATCCGTTCAAACATAAGTGCGGCGGCCTCACTGCCAGCAGGAGGGAGGAGCGGCCCGAATGTTTGGATGACAGGGTGGAAGGCTTTGGATGCCCACCATCCTTGTTTCCGAAGCTGGGACTCTGCTTGTTTGTCTTCTTCGTCCAGGGAATGGACTTGGTCCGCAGGCATGGGCGGCCAACAGGCCATCACAACTTCGTAGCACTTGGCTTGTTTTTCATAGTGGATTGAAAGCCTTCGACGGTTGTGGAAGTTTTGCCCACAAGCTTGACATGTCGTGCCAGTTGCGTAGTAGCGGACCTTCTTCTTGTATCCGTGCTCTCTTGCAGCATGCATTGCCAGGGCTCTGGTGGATGCAAGCACTTTTTGGCAGAGGTCGCATTGCCACTTCTCTGCTGGCGTGGCCTTGATCTGCCTTTCAGGCAGGGTGGCTCCAACGGCGGTCAGCTTGGCATCAAAGTGCCGTTGCCAGATGGCGTGCTCGGCTCTGGAACGATGGTAGGATAAAGCAAGCTTGGTGACTTTGCGGATGCGCCCTTTCCAGTTGGGGTCAAGGCGTACAAAGCGCACCCAATCTGTGAATCCAGACTCAAGAGTCAGCGGCAAGCTGCTGTCATAGTGGAAGAGCATCCAGTGGCAGGACGCCATGCACAACGTGATCCAAGAGTGTTGTTCACAAGCCCCATGCATCAGTGTCCATGTGATCTGAGGGCAGGCTTGTAGGAGCCGTGCCAGGAACCTCAATCGGTTGGCATGGACCTGGTCCTGCAAGGGCAATATGCCCGCGTATGCCATCATTTCATCAGTGGTGTGCTGAAACCGTGTGGCGGGAAGCAAAAGCCCTTTTAGGAGCGTGCCAGCTGGCGCCTTGAGATGGTTGATCCATGCTTCCATTTGTCTGGGGGTCACTGAAGTCCATGTGTGAACGTTATAGACCATCTTAGACACTACCAGGCTTTGAAAGATTGCACTTTTTACTGGGAGTATGATGGTCTTTTTGGTGAAGAAGGACCGTGCCAGTTGTCCCCATTGCTGCTTTGCGGACGACCCTCTTGCGAGAATTTCCCTTGCGTGCCTGTGGTGTGATTGTACCCATGTTCCCAAGTGCTTGTACGTGTGACATACTTGCAATGAGTAGGCTTTGCCTCCTTCTTGCCATCGTAGCACTTGTCCGGCTTCATGAAGCATGCGTTTCATTTCCTTTGCCCCTTTTCCTGCGATAGACCAGAGCAGCTCGGTCTTACCCTGTTCAAAGTTTATGCATAGGCCCCTTCGGGCTGCAGCTTCGTCGAGGGCGGCTACTACCGCTTGGGCTGTTGTGACCACTGCATGATTTGTGCGTCCATGGATCAGAACTACACAGTCATCAACGAATGTGACGTCAAGGTATCCTTCATGTGGCATGGTGGATGCTGTTTCCAGATCCTGCAAGGGTGTTGCACTGCCTAGCCATGGGATATCGCTGACATGATCCATGGTGGTGCGAAAATCTCGTAGTATCAGGCACAGACATAAATTGAACAACACATCAGCAACAGGATCTCCTGGTCGAGTTCCCCGTGTGGTCTGACACGGATTTGCAAGGCCTTGGATCGTGAAGTACGTGTTGGTCATGAGATCTTGCAAGATGTGCTGAAGGTGTGAGGCAAGTCCATGTGTTGCATCGTCTTGTGCGGCAGTGGCTACCATTTTGTGGATTTCATCTGGCAGGAGGCCCATGTGCGCCATTGCCTGCATGAATGCGGCATCTTGCGATGGCAAGCTGGTGAAGGTTTGCCTCAAGACCATGTAGAAGGCTGCTTTGAGATCAAAGAACAGGGCCGCTGACGGGGTAGCTTTGGATCGGCACCATGATTGGTGACACTGAACGATGTGGTGAGCTACGTCAGCACCGATTCCCTTACGGCCACCGCACTGGAGGTGTGTGAGGCTTTGTTCCCACGCAGCAACGAGATGGGCCCGGAAGCTTTGGTGGTAAAGCTTCGTGGTATAATTCGAGATGAATATACTGCGATAACCACTTGCTACACTGGGGGCCAACTTTCCTTTCCAGAGCGGGATTAGAAGGCCGCCCTTCCAGTGCATGGGTTCTCTGGAGCCTGCAGTCGCCTTGGTGAACAGGATGGACAGCTGTTTGGCAGCCACACTGCCGCCTGCCTTTAGGAGTGATGGCGGTATCAGGTTGGGGCCTGGGACTTTATCACGTTTAAGGCGAGCAATGAGCATTTGGAGGTGCCACGCTGACGGAAAGGCATGCGGTTCAAGGTCTGAGCATGTGGGTTGGGCCTGTAGCTCGTGATGCTGCTGGTCCATGTCACTCCATGTGCGTTCTAGGCCTGCCTCTACCTGTGCAAACTGAGCCATCCAAAGCTGTTGTTGCTCCTGGTATGTGGTGGCCATAGTGCCATCAGGTCTCTGCAGCATGGGGAGCGGTCGTGGGCCTGCTGCTTGTGAGCCTTTCTTTCTGCCCAGCCTATGCAGGATCCGGTAGACCAGCCTGTGGTTGGCAATTTCGCCTGAGCGCTGCAACTGTTCCAACAGGTCGGTGTAATGGTCTTGCAGGTCTGCAGTGACTCGTTTGTGCACTTCCTTTTCGATGGCCTTGAGTTCTGTACGGAACTCGGCATGATGCATGCAGCGTGCCTTGCGCCCATAGTCGAGCACATGACGTTTGAATGCAATGGCATCTAATGTAGGACTCTTGAGGGTGATGAGTCTCTCTTATTCCGGCTTCTTGGAAAAGAACTGGCGTCCAAGTGCGAGCACCTGCTGCTCATAGAGTGCTGTGTGATCATCAATGGTGATGTGCCATGCTGGAATCGGCAGTGTGTTCAAAGCTGCTTGAAATGCACGGTTTTTTTCGGGGTTCAGCATAGCTTCTTCATCCCAACGTATGGGCGGAGTTTTGGCCGGGGACTGGAACCACCCTTGACATTGCAAGACTACCGGAAGGTGGTCTTCATGCGCAAAGGTGGTATCATGGCTTACATCGACCCAACTTTTGGTGACCAGCGGTCCTAAAGAGCGGGAGATCAGCACGTAGTCCTTGCTACTTTTTTTTGCCCGTGCTGTGAGTCCAGGTGGTGGTTGTCCCTTTGTGGACCTGGTCAAAGGTGGATGGGACCATAAGCTGGTGTTGGTGCAGAAATGTCTGAAAGAGCTCACTGGCTTTGTTGGGGCTTTCAGCTCCACATGGTCCAATGAGATCTCCATCGCCACATCCAAGCGGTGCGTTGGCATCAATGAGTACCCATTGTGCAGCTGCGTGGACATGCTTGGTGTACAGGGCTGTAGTGTCCTCCCACCAGTCGGTGGCATCTGCGGTCGGGTTAGGTCGCTCTTGTGTCTGTGTTGCAAGGCTCGGGACATGTAGTACTACAAAAGCATACTCAATTTGCCCAAGGGTGGCAACCACAAACAGCCTTCTTGGATCAGCATGTTGCACTGTGAAAGTGGCTTTACCAAGCACGACAGGGTTGCCGTGTGTGTCTGTGGCCACTGGCAGTGTCTTGTGGACCCAGAGCTCACATCCATACAAAGGGGCATGTTTGTGCTTGGCACCTGATGCAAAGATGTGATAGTGCGGTGCATGAAACCTACCCTGTGGTGTTCTGGTCTCTTGGAGGCCAATCACATGAATTTTGGCCTTGTGCCACTGTTGATCGAGTCGTAGTGTTCTTTGTCCAGTGCGTTTGGAACCGGCAGGGTGGGACATCCAGACCTCAGTGGCCAGAACATTGGCTGAGCATGCTTGCAGCGTCCATTGGGTGTTGTCAGCTGCTGGCTGGCTTGAGAATCGCTCTGTAGACGTTGCATGTACTGACATGTCTGGCTTGGTGAATTGCATCACTTGCTGCTGAATCAGTGGGGGAAAGCATGAGGAAAGGGCAGGGTGTGTGGTCTGCATCCAAACCCAGTTGACGTCGTGGGGATTGGAAGCCAGCTGGTGGAGCTGATGGAAGCATGTGCTTGCTGCTTCACTGCCGTCATGCATTGCCCATTTGGCTACTGCATCGGCCAACTCGTTCCAAGCATTGCCTTGGTGCCCTCTGATTTCTTGGATTGTGACTCTTCGGCTGAGCCAGAGCCCAAGGGCATTGCAAATCTTGGCTAGCTGCATGTTTGATCTGCATGTTGTAGTGGCCGTGGTAACTGTGTGGCTCAACGAGAGGTCGGGTCTAATGCAGGCTTGCCTCTGGAGCGGCCAGCGCATGACAATGTTGAGGGCATGTGCCATTGCCGAGAGCTCGGCAGCAATATTGTCGGTTGTATCTGCGCCGATCCAACATGGGTGCTGGGGGTTGATCTGCACCCTTCCGTGTATGCAGCCTACAAATGACTCCACTTGCTCACAGCATGCAGTGACAATCACACTCCAGCCAGCATCCGTGCCATTGGCAGACCCATCAAGGTAAAGGGTGTACTGGAGGTTGTCCTCATGAGCTTCATGTGGGGGCTGGAGCAGCGACCAGTAAGAGGGATCTGGGACATGCAGGCCGTCAGGGAGCGGCCAAAGGTGGCAACTGTCCTCTTCTTCAAGCGCTACTTTCCATGCTTCATTGGTGAACCATAGCAACTGTACATCATCTGTAGGTGTGTTGATGTCAGGTGTTGGGCGTGTCTCCGGGAGAACTGCTTGAAGGTTCAAAGTCACACGGTGTGGGGTGTCTTTTGGTACTTCTCGGCTCCAGGGGTCAGGATCATCTGGCATCGGGTGCATATGGCGATGGATAGCAGCTGTGCAGGATATGCCTGTGTGGACTATGGTCGGCACTTCCGGATCCATGTCGTCTTCACCAATCCATGCTTCACAGGTGTGGGTTGGTTGATCACATTCTTGACGCCTGAAAGACAGTGCAAGTAAAGTATTTCGGCTAAGCAAGCTGGGTACGATGGTTGCTTGCCTTCTTTGGGTGCCTGGTGCCTGACTGTCCAACGAGGTGAGGAGGACTGTGGCGAATCCTGGTTCTTGCTGCTGAAGGACCAACACATGAGCTACTGCATGAGCTTCCAACGCAATCGGTTGTGGTGTGACAACAACGATCTCTGCCGGTGCTTCAGGTAGCAAAACATCTGTCCATGCCTGCAGCACTTTGTCTCTCCACGCACTGGGATGGGCTGGAATGAACACTTCTCGTGGACGAAAGCATTGGGGAAACCTGTCATGATCAACAAACCATGTAATTATGGGGGCCATCTGCTGCAGGGCAGCACCTGGCCTGAGTGAAGCAAGTTGCTGCCACCTGTGATGGATATCAGGTCCGTGATCATGCACTGTTTCCGATCCTGTGCATATGTCTTTGGTGTGATCCTCGATGTGATGGCTTGAACATTCAACTGAGTCGATGTCCTTAGTTGATGGTAGCTGGGTTTCTGCTGGACTCGTTTCCTTAAGCGTGGCATGGATTTGAGCCACATGATGAATGGAGCGCATGGATGTCTGGATGACAGCCAACGGTTCATCACTTTCCTGCAGAAAGTCAATGCTTTCTGTTGGTCCGTGTTTTGGGCCTGCTGCGAGGTTGTGCTTGCACCCTTTGCTATTAATGGTGTTCAACGGCATTTGGTGGTCAGTGCATGTGGGACGCTGCCAGAGCGTGGCTACATCTGGTTCAGATTCCAGTGTGTCAGTGATGACTTCAAAGGCGAACCCATGTCTGACTGGATATGAAGTACCCTCTGGGATGGCAGCACTGCCATGGTATGCACCAATGCCTGGGGTGGCCACCACTTGTTCAGGGGAGATCCCGGCTAATTGGAAGAGCTCATTTCTGGAGACTGGGTTGGGTAGCAGTGCACAAAACCTCGATGGATGCCACGGGTCATCTAGGAGCTCAGTAACGGATACAATGGCAGCAAACCTATCCACAGGCGGGTTTTGGACCGCAATGACATGGGCTACTACATCAGGTAGACCCCCAGGTGGGTCTGGCTGAACTACATACAGGTAGACCGGTGTTCCTGGCTGGATGAAGTCTGACCATCGTTGCAGCACATCCACGGGCCATTGCGCAGGGTTTGTGGACAGGATCACCTGCCTTGAGCGGTCGCTTCTCGGCAGCGTCGTTGGGTCAGAGAACCAAGTCTCAATTTTGGCACCTTGGCTTGGTTGCGTAATGCACTCTGCATTGGCTCTGGTGGTTTGCCATTGAAGCATTTGGTGAAAGTCATCAAGGTTCCTGGCCTGTACCACCATTCTTTGGATTGGCTGATGTTGGTTCTCCCCATGAGCTGGGAGGGCTCTATGGACATGAAACCATGCAATCGGTCCTGGGGAGTCAACTGCGGAGCCTTGACTGGTGGCAATAGGTGAAGCAGCTTTTGTTGTGGGGAACGCTTTGAACCTGGGTCTTTGCATAAGGACCACGGTATCCTCACTGCGCTGACTAAGGTCGTCACTGCTGTCGTCAGGGTTCGGTTGCACCTGGTTGTGATCGGCTGCATTGCCTGAGCTGCTACTTGGATTAGTGGTGCGGTAGTCGCCAACATCAAGCAGGACACTGATACCTGAGGGCACTCTTTCCAATGTCTGGTGATCAAAACGGAAGCGGCCAGAGAAAAGGTGACAAGGTCGGAAGTCACATTGCGGCTGCAAGTTGTGATCGTGTACCATTTGGTCTGTACAAACCTGATCTGGGGATGATTCGGCCTGTTGCAAAATACCTGTTCTGGTACCTCCATGAAAGGCTGCAGTGAAGAGAATGGCAACTCTTTGCGGAATCATGCCTTGCTCAAGGATGATGTGAAGCACAGCTTGCTGCCTGAGTTGGTATGGCGGTGTCGGTTTGACTATGTGCACTCTCAAAGGCTGCTGCCTTTGGATTTGGTCAAACCAAGCATTGCACAGGTCTGCGTACCATAAATCTTGGATGTTGTCGAGCCTGATCAATCTTGGGGCTCTGCATACAGGCAGTCTTGTGTGATGGACGTACCATACCTCCACTGCCATTTCTGGCCCAGTTTGTGGATGACGTACTTCGGCAAGTTCAAGGAAGAACACATTAAGTTCAATATGCCAAAGTGGTCGTGGCCGTGGTGCATTTGGCCCTTGTCCTTGCCCCTGCCCAGTTGGGTGGCTAGTGACAAAACTTGGAGGTTCAGCTGTGTGATAGGGTCCAGCACGCACTTCCGCAATGTCCGTGGGGACTGCAACTTCATCGAACTCTGGGTTCTGAATGTGACTGCGCTGAGGGCTAAGGCGCTCCTCCCTGGGCTGCTCTACATGCCTGTCATGCGGCACGGGTTCCACCTGAGGGTTCAACGTCACCTTGGATTGAAAAAACCGATGAATGGTGGTCTGCTTGGCAGGTTCCTTTTTGGCATTTGGCTTCATGCACTGGCCAAAGAAGTCTGAAATCTTCTTTTGTTGTGGAGGGTTGCCACTGTTGGATATGGACCTCCTTCGACTTGCTTTTGGGTCATCTGTGCCCTACCCCTCTGAAAAATATGAAAGCCAGTTGGGATGGTTCTTCCCAATATATGGAAAAATAAAATCATGTTCCAAACTCCAAACCACCAACCAGATAATATAACCATAATACTGGGATTAATACTGAAAAACAAAATGGTTCGGAAGTATAAAACTTACTTTCTGCTGTCCTCATATGTGGCTGGCTGGAAAATTCGCGATAAATAACATTTCGATTAAAAATCATTCTTTTAACTAGGGATTTCCTAGCCAGCCACATAGCTGATTACCGGATGGCAACATCCAGCCTCCAGTCATTTAGGAGGTGCGATCTAAAGCTTGATATATCTGTTAAAACTGAGAAATACACCGGCTAATATCCCGTTGCCGGAGCGCATACCAGAAATCGGCCACTATATCAAATACTATCACTTCTTATCGTCCGTTTCTCTGGTTGGGACGTATAACAGTTACAATGTGGAAAACACAAAAATAGTCCATGTTTTCAGATGGTTTCCCATTAAAAAAACAAATATTTATAGGTTATTTCTCATGTGGATCCCGAATTCATACAGGATGGTGCCCCCCAGTGATGTTTGTTGGTTTATAAACCCCATTAGCTAGTTCGTTATATCTACAATGAACCATAGACTTCAGCCACTTTTTTCAGGCAACTCTGAACGCGAGCTCGACTGGGGGCCCGTCCTGTACCCATTTATGGTTCATAAACCAACCATTATATTATATCCCATTAAATCTCACCACTACTCATGATTAATCACCAATCATAAATATGATATCCTATGAATATCAGCCATTGTTCATAAACATGTTTATCCATATGATTTATTTTTGGATATTCCCTAAAAAATAGGCCTTATATTATCTGATTGGTGGCTTCAACCCCTCTGAAAAATATGAGTTCGTCAGTTGGGCCAGTTGGGATGATTCTGCCCAATATATGGAAAAATAAAATTCATGTTCAAAACCACCAACCAGTTATAGGCCTTATATATGCTAGGTACCTCCAATCAATGGGTTCCTGTTGCATGGCCATTGATCGGCACCTCCGCTTCGCCGTCGGCTTGGAACAAGCTGGCGACCAAGCCCTTCCGGCTGCTTTCGGCCTGGATTGATATAGGTGGTGATCAAAATAGTTACCCTCTGGTTATGTTCAAAATAGCTATTGAAAATGGCCCATTTATAGTGGATTTTCCGATGAAAAATGGTGGATCTTTCCACAGTTATGTTAAATTACCAGAGGGTAAGTTGGTGAATATCACTCCAATAAACCAGGGGTTATGGAGTATATAACTATAATTATTGTGGTTTATAAACCTGGGTCTATGACAAGATTTCACTAAGCTCAAAAGCTGAACTACGGTCATTGCTGGGAGATTTACCCCTTACTAAGCGTGATCCTAGTGTTGTAATTCATCCAAATAGTTTTTACATATAGAATATATATCAAGTGGTTTCCTACAATGGCGGGAACCCCAGTAGCTAGATGGTTTATGGAAAATCCTATGGAAATGGATGATATGGGGGTATCGCCATTTTAGGAAACCACCATATGTATATATACCCTCTGGTTATTTAACGTAGCCATGAAAAATGGCCCATTTATAGATGGTTTACCTATGAAAAATGGTGATTTTCCATGGCTATGTTAAATAACAAGATGGTATATATAGGCTCGCCCCAGGTCCTGGAACTACATACGATGGGGTGGGGGGATGGGGTGGGATGTTAACGTTCATGTGAACTTGCAGAAGCAGTTGATGCTACGCACGGTGGGGTGGGATGTTAGCGTTCATGTGAACTTGCAGAAGCAGTTGATTGTACGCACACGCGGGGTGGGGTGGGGGGGATGGGGTGGGATGTTAACGTTCATGTGAACTTGCAGATGATGATACTAATGCTGATGATGATGATGATGATGTGATGATGATGATGATGACGATGATGATGATGATGATGACCCTAATGAAACTTGTCAATTCCGCGACGAAATTTCGTCACGGAATTGACAAGTTTTACCAACCTAATTCGGGTTTGCACAGTTCTAGGACCTGGGACGAGGCTATATATACATACTCTAAGACTGTGAAGATATATGATACAGACCTATTCACTTAAGTCTAGCGCAAAGATTGCAATACTGCTTTAAAAAATCGTAAAACCTCCACTATACTATTTCACTACATAGTATCCATAACTACATACATAATGAAGATACAATGAAAATGAAATGCAAGAATCACTTATCTATAATAATCTTCTGGTGCCAGATTTCTATTAGTATCTAACATAATCTTCACTAAGAGTACGATAACACATTACCTTCATTGTCTATTCGACATGAAGAGTGGAGATTATAGGTATACTAAGATATACCTATTATATCTATAGTATGATACATCTATTTTTTTGTGTCATATATAGTTTGAAAACCATCTTCAGTAAAACATAAATAGGTATATAAACTATGATAAACTCACCGGTATATAAAAACATAGAAATAAACTGCAGAATGTTTATGGGTTATATTTTATTCCAGTGAGGTCTTAGTTAGTGAGGCCATGACCACTTTCATTCAGATTCATAAAGCCCACATATATCAATCGCCCAAAAAGATAGAACATACAATTCTGTGAATATAGTCGTGAAAACCTTTCCTATCTTTATATGGGGACTACTAAATATCATCATTGGTTATAAAATGCCTTTTGTGTCCCCATGAGACTGCAGCCCGCAACCCAACCTGGGAGACCAAGAAGTCCAAGAGAGACTCGTGGCCTGTGCTGTAGCGGATCACGGGGGTACAAAATCCACCTTTCATGGGTCGATTTAATCCGCTTTCGTGGGATTTAAAGAGAATTTTAATGGGATAGTTGATGATTGCCATCTACTAAGCTAACAGCAATGGAAAATGGATGAACATTGCCAATTTATACATGACCGATTTACCTACTAACTACACCAGCAAGAGACCCCAAACAGTGTGGGCAAGGGGACTGGATGTGGGGTAACGAAACAGCAGACATGCAAGTCCGCATAGTGAAACTCTTGCAAGATCGTCCTCGGAAGGACCTTCCAAAGAATTCATGAGATTTCTTTACCTATATCTCAAAGGATCAGCTGAAATCAGCACCGCCAGAACGAGAGCAGTCCGACACGCACAAGGTGCCGAAAGAGTTGCAGTTCTCACATCGCCACAACCCACAGAGTGCCGAGAGGGTTGCAGGAGCCATGTCAAAATTCGCACCGCTGACAACGAGAGCAATCTAACACGCACAAAGTGCCGAGAAGGTTACGGTGAAAATGCCGCGCCCAGGATTCAGCACCCTCATCTAACCCCGGCCATGAACACCTACCATAAGAACCCCTGTGGACACACTGTTTGGGGAAAAATGGATTGGGCATACCCTCCAGTTAACCAAGCCGGCTTGACTGAGATCCGTGGAGCTCCTGTTTTCCCTCCCCAAATGTCCGCGCCTTTCCCGCGCAACTTGGCCACTTTGGGCAGAGCCTCCAGATCGAAGCCATCCGCACGGCCGCGCGCTGTGCCGCCATTCCTGGGGGACGATGGTTGACCAACATTGGGGATATGAATATGGGATCAAAATAGGATTTCATGGGAATCCAAGCAGCGAATATTGAGACACATGGTTACCAATCTGGGATATTAATGGGACACTAGGGGCATATTGGTTAAAATACACTCAGATGAATGGATTTATCAACAATCAGCGGGATATGAATATGGGATTTTAATGGGACTATCATATGGTAAAAATGGTGGTTGATAAAAATGGTCTTGGGATTATCATAATGATTATATGATACATATCATAATCATATCATATTATTATTTATAATGGGATTACTGTATCGTATTGTAAAAATGTGAATTTATCCGGATATGGTGACACATGGTGGATTCACGTAGATTTAAGGAGGATTTAATGGGGAAGAACCACCGGAAATAGGTAACTGTTGCGGATACAATGATAGCCAAAAAATATTGGAAATACATCACTGGACGGATAATTTGACCGGGCTTTGATTTAATGGTGACTAATGGGACATCGTATTAATATATAAGGGGATATTTTCCACCAACTGGGATGAACTATGTCATATTTCACCAACCTCGTTAGGTTCCAGTGACGTCGTAGCGAGGTTGTCATTTATCCAGAAGCGTGGTGCATTAAAAAAAAAAGATTTGTGATAGTTTGCCTGGACGTTTCTTAAAATGGAGATCCTCAAAACCATGGGTTTCAATACTCAAATGGTCTAATTTGGATGATTTGAGTACTGTATTCCTATTTTAGGAACCCTTCATTTTGTAGGCTTGGCGTGATTTCCTTGCCTTTCCCCCTTCAGTTTCAAGGGGCAAGTAGTTTCCGACGAAGAGCAGCAAACCCAGGAGGCGTTCTAAGCCTCGGGGCTACAAAGTGGTGAGGGATTGGTGCTTCTAACTCTCTAAAGACAGGATCTTACCAGCACAGTTAAGACATTTCTTGAGCCTCATCATTCACTACCTTGGAATTTTAAGGCTTAATCCCCTCTCCCCAAGACTAAAGAACCACCAGAAACCATGGCTGAATAGGGGATTTATACATATTTGAGACCGTTTGAGACCATTTAGTGTTATCTAACATTAGGGGGATGGGGTCATACACATGTTACACATCCGTGATCAGGTGAATATGGTTCAAAGATGTTCAAAGATTCACTCTTCAGGCATGCAGGCACACATTCTGTTGACATGCTTTCTTACTGATCATCCTATTTTGATGGATTTTTGGGGGTCCAATGATCTTGGCCCATACTCAATTCATGATCATTTTAAGTTTCATGGAAAGCTGGGACTCAATCCCCTGGGGGCTACCAACCTTATCCAAGGATTGGCTTCGTCACCTATTGACTTCCATTCAAACTGGGGGTGGACACCATTTTTAACCCTGATGATTGCCAATACCTGATGAACTTGGAGAACTACCCTTCTTAGACTATCTATTGACTACCATTTTTAACCTGGAGAACTTTACAAGACATACCCTGATATTGCTGCGTCCATTACTTAAACACGTGACGCCTTGCTGCTGGTCGACTGTCGGCATCCAACTTAAATCGCCGTCCGGACATGGATGAGAATAGTCTCCGAGTCAGAAACAACCAAAATTTGAGGACTATTGCAAGGTGGGGCCCCCAAACCATAGCTAAGTTGATGAACATAACTTAACAAGCCAGCCAACCCTTGGGTGGACTAAGGAGAAATAACTATGTTTGTCATCAATCGTATTTAACAACAAGCACAACTGCGGGGGCCCCAGCTTGTCAACCTGTATAGATTTGTATCGATGCCGATTGCAGAGTTTCCAGAATGCCAAAAAGATGATTTTTCCTTCATATTTCCAGGTTTCCCACTTTTCGGCATCTTTTTGGAGGTTACAGACTATCAAACATAGTCCCTATCTTAATCGCTCTAGTCCCCATGGTTTGCCGCAATACTCGGCCGGTGAGGTCGTCATTTCATCGTCCAACTGCCGCGGGTATCTCTTCGGTTGGCTGCGGGTATTCCGAACACGCGCCTGACCTGTACGAGCATATGAACAGGCGGTACTCCGCGATCAGGCAACAGAGGCACTGACCTTCTTTCTCTGCGCTGTCGTGGCCATGTAGTTGGTGCTACCCGCGCACCCGCATCATCCACAGCTCCTCCTTCATCGCCGCGACGCGCTTTGGCTCACTGTGGGACGCGTATACCATTCCAATTCCCACCATGTACGTCGTGACGTCGCGAGACGAGGTCGTAACATAATTGATCCAAATACATGGACAACGAGCTTCCCTTCTGGATAGTACAGTATAACTACGGTCCAACGCCATCGTTTGCCCGGACTCACAATGATGATGATGATGGTGATGATGATGATGATGGTGATGATGATGATGATGATGATCATGATCATGATGATGATGATGATCATCATCATCATTATCATCATCATACTGTAATGATGAGGAACCATCAGGATACCCCTCCAATCCCCCACCCTAAATGGTAATGATATGTATCTGTCAAAAGTCATGGGGAAGAATCTGGTATGCAATGATGAGGAACCATCAGGATACCCCCCCCACCCTAAATGGTAATGATATGTATCTTTCAAAGGTCATGGGGAGGAATCTGGCATGTAATGATGAGGAACCATCAGGATTCAGGATACCCCCCAAACCCTAAGCTGGAAAAAAGAGCTGCGCATGTTTGGCTGGATCGGCATCCGGCAAAAATTCAAAAAGTCAAAAAGTGAAAAGTCAAAAAGTATACTTTTTGACTTTTCGACTTTTCTTCTTTCCTCTCACCTTTCGACTTTTCGACTTTTCGGCTTTTCTTCTTCCCTCTCGACTCTCCACGGTTCAAGTTTTGTACTTTTAGCTGCGCATGTTCAGCTGGAAAGGTATCCGGCAAAAATTCAAAAAGTCAAAAAGTGAAAAGTCAAATAAAAAGTATACTTTTCGACTTTTCGACTACGAAACCTTGCCACTTTTCGAGTTTTCGTTTTTCGACTTTTCGATTTTCTCCCGAATACGTAGCAAAGGGTTCCCGTTTATAGTCTGGAGGTCTGGGGGCTGGACCCTTGTTCGCCTCGAGTTGCTCGTCGGGTCGCCGTCGGGTCGGCATGGCGTCGTTAATTCCGTGCCTATGGGGGAAGCTGCAAAACCTCTCCTTTTCGAAGGTTTCCAAGCAGGTTGTCATGTCGTTTTGCGTGGCAGGCGTGGCACTTTGTGACATTCCAACCTGATAACGTGTCGAAAGAGTCTCGCACGAAATGCTCGTTTTGCTGCGCCCACGTGTCTCGTCTCGAGTCTCTGGTTTTCCTGTGGGGTCGCCGTGTCTATGGGGGAAGCTGCAAAACCTCTCCTTTTCGAAGGAGGTTGTCATGTCAATGTCAGTTTGTAGTACCACAATAGTACTGGGAAGTGCTTTGTGCAAGCTTTGTAGTACAAAGTCGTACTGGGAAGTGCTTTCTGCAAGCTTTGTAGTACACAGTAGTACTGGGAAGTGCTTTGTGCAAGCGGGAAGTGCTTTGTGCAAGCTTTGTAGTACAAAGTAGTACTGGGAAGGACTTTGTGCAAGCTTTGTAGTACAAAGTCGTCCTGGGAAGTGCTTTCTGCAAGCTTTGTAGTACACAGTAGTACTGGGAAGTGCTTTGTGCAAGCGGGAAGCGCTTTGTGCAAGCTTTGTAGTACAAAGTAGTACTGGGAAGGACTTTGTGCAAGCTTTGTAGTACAAAGTCGTACTGGGAAGTGCTTTCTGCAAGCTTTGTAGTACACAGTAGTACTGGGAAGTGCTTTGTGCAAGCGGGAAGTGCTTTGTGCAAGCTTTGTAGTACAAAGTAGTACTGGGAAGGACTTTGTGCAAGCTTTGTAGTACAAAGTCGTACTGGGAAGTGCTTTCTGCAAGCTTTGTAGTACACAGTAGTACTGGGAAGTGCTTTGTGCAAGCGGGAAGTGCTTTGTGCAAGCTTTGTAGTACAAAGTAGTACTGGGAAGGACTTTGTGCCAGCTTTGTAGTACAAAGTAGTACTGGGAAGTAGTTTCTGCAAGCTTTGTAGTACACAGTAGTACTGGGAAGTGCTTTGTGCAAGCTTTGTAGTACAAAGTAGTACTGGGAGTAGTACTGGAAAGTACTTTGGGCAAGCTTTGTAGTACAAAAGTAGTACTGGAACGCCCTTTGTGCAAGCTTGTAGTACAAAGTAGTGCTGGGGCGTACTTTGTGCAAGCTTTGTAGTACAAAAGTAGTACTGGGAAGTGCTTTCTGCAAGCTTTGTGGTACAAAGTAGTACTGGGAAGTATTTTGTGCAAGCTTTGTAGTACAAAGTAGTACTGGGACGTCTTACACTTTACACTCTACACTCCACACTCTACACTTTACACACTCTACACTCCCCACTCCACACTTTACACTCCACACTCCTTACTTTACACTCCACACTCCACACTCTACACTCTCCACTCCACACTCCACACTCTACACTTTCCACTCCACACTGCAGACTGGTAACAGGGGAAATATGTACTGTCTTCAAGCGATGTTTTCCATGCGTGTCTTTGTGCGTTAGTTGTCTCTTTGTGAACTGTTGATCAGGTGCCTTCGCTGAGACGATATGCGCGCACGATGCATGAAAAAAAGGTTCGTTTTCCTATTGCAGAAGTTTTCACTCGTAGTCCAAGAACGTGAATACATTCGGGTTCGTGGCTTCCATCTTGTTTTTTGGCATACTTTCCGCCTGCAGCTATGCAGCGCATCTTTCCTACCCAGCACAACCCCCACCCTAAATGGTGATATGTATCTTTCAAAGGTCATGGGTAAGGTGGTAAGCTTGTGTCCACACAGTTAATTTGGTCCAGTAGCTAATATATTGCCCATTGTGTGTTTTTCCGGTCCACTGTCCTCACCCACTGCACCTCTCTGCACAAAGCCACAGCACAGCTAGTGAGTCGGTTTCGCTAAGATGGATGTTAAGATACATGAACGTCTTGTAAATTCTTGGGCCAACGATGGTGTCAGCGCGTATAACTACCGAAAATCTTCAAGTAACAAGGGTTTGGCAATCACTGCTAAATCATGGTTTGCTGAATTGGATATTTATCAAAAACATCCCGCCGGGTCGGGAATGGAACGTGTAGGCGTTAGCAAGTCACTTCTCGGCACTTATGACCAACACTGGGATTTACCAGTGATTTTGCCTCTGATGATGATGCAAAATGTATAATCCTGGTTGTGTTTTCGTTTTTTTTTTTGGGTGTGTTTTTTGACTCAGCGGCAAGCAAATTTTGTCAAAATGCCCTTACCTCCACGGATGCATCTCTGAGAGCCGATGTGCCTATTTCCACAGCGGCGTGTGTTTTTTGCTCGCTGGCTTGTCTTGCCTACAACTTGGCCACTTGAGTGCCACACAGTTGAAACAAGTTATCATGCTCAGCAAGTGTGAATCTCCATTGCCAACTGCAGATACGCAAAGGTATCTGTTTTGACTGAGAGCCTGAGGGACTTTGGAATATTAGTTTTCATTTGCCTCCAGCAGCTGTCAATGGTGCCTGTGTGAACACTCAAGGCTCTGTTTCGAAATCTTTCTGTGCGTTGGAACTCCCCAGCACTAGCGAAAATCAAGTAGCGTAGCATGAAGTGCAAGTGAAGATCATGTAGCGTAGCCATAGACACGGTTGGTATTATCCCCACCCCACCCCACCCCACCCCAACTTCCTGAAATGAGCACGACTACACGTACGGTTTTTGACCCGGTGGCAAAAACATTTTGTTTCAATTCCCAATTTGTTGTGCTTGTCTGCGCCAGATTACACTCAGTAAGAAACATGTTCTATATTGTTCTATTCATATCACATGTGTTTGCTAAAAGTTACATTACATTTATATATGTATGTATCCCCATCCTTATGTATGTATCCCCATCCTTATGTCACATTACATTTATGTATCCCCATCCTTGTGTTTGTTATATAAATCACCATGTGTCCCATCCTTATTCTTGGATTTGCTTAAGGAGTCCCAAAACAAAAAATAACAATCCTAGTATCCTAGTTGATTCACATGGTGGATTAAGTAATGATAACTAATGGGAACAACCAAAAAACACACATATCTTCAGCAATCCAGGCGTTGATTTGATCAACTATAAATCAAAATTCGATAATCTCGATCAAAATCAAAAGCCATTTCAGGAACAAATAAACAACCAGGAGACTCTCCGATTTCAACAGGGCATTTGCCGCCTTCCACAGCTCCTGCCGCTTCGCGCAGAACGGTATTGGGCTGCAAATAATTGTTGGCAAAGTTGGTGAACATTTTGGTTAGGCAGGTTGAGTATATCTTAATTCGGGTTGAGAACATGTACAAACGTAGTATAGTTAGCTAACGTATTGTTTGAAGGCTATTTGGTTTAAATGAATGATAACAAATAGGCTTTGTGGTTGACATACTTTTCGTAGTTCGATGGGCTTACGATGGTTTGCAATGGTTTACAGAATCAACTTACTGGTGCTTAGTAGGAAATGGATGGGAATGGGGGAATGGGATGATTATTACCAGTGATTATGGATCATTCCCTCATTCCCTGCTAAGCACCAGTAAGTCAAGCTAGGACTGGAAAACTACGACTTCTAATGGGTGTTGCTCATTGAATCCTGACAGTTCTCGAAGGATCAATTCGTCTTACTGTACTTTGGGGTGCATCCGAGTTAGTAAATGATGGACATAACCCATATAGTCCATCTAGCTGGTGATATTTCCATTTATCTAGCTGGCAATTTATTGGCATACGTAGAAAAAACTGCAATCCTGGTCTTGTTCCGAATCAACAGCGATCGTCATGGAAGCCACTGGCTGAGGTCCATGGTATCATGATGGGTGCTGGTGGCTGCTGTGATCAGCCAGCAATGCGCCCGAAAACAAGGATGGTTTCATACATGTATTCATACAAGGATGGTTATTAACCATGAACAATAATGGTATATATAATAATATGGTCATCTAACCAATTTTTTTGGTGGTATATAACCAAGAATAGCTGGTTGGTGGTTGAGCCCTACCCCTCTGAAAAATATGAGTTCGTCAGTTGGGATGGATGGAAATTCCCAAGTGAATTGGAAAATAAAATTCATGTTCCAAACCACCAACCAGTCAATGATCTTGATACTATGATCAGAAATTTTTGATGACTACCTATTGGATGCCCTGCTACCTGTTGCATGTTGAGCTGCGGAGCTTAATTCTGGGTTACATCCTTGAAGAAGTACACAATAATGTGGCAAACCCACTGATAAATCTACCATTTGGGGATGCTTTATACCATCCATTTATCGCGACTTTGGGGATGGTTTTTCATTGGGTCTACCACACAATCATTACCATGATCTCAATTCTTACTGCAATCAATCCATATCAGGTATGAATCACCATAATCACCATCAAGATTCCCCTCTGATTAGGCACCTAACTATTCCAAGTATCCCAATTGGGTATAGCAATCCCCCAAAGATGCAGAACAGTGATTAACTTCACCACTAGGATAAAACATTCAACAACTTTTCTGCATCTTTTTTTTGGGGGTTACTATCACATTTTAGCTGTATATCTCCCAATATATTCTAGCGCTTTTTAATCATGTTAAAACCGCATCATTTGCCGTTCAACACGCCTAATTTTGCCGGTGAAATCCCCCATGGATGGTGAAATCATGGCAAATCTTTATTTTTGCTGCTTAACACATGTGATTTTCACGTACTTTTGCTGGTGTTTTCCCTATTTTTGGCTGAAATCTTGTGAATTTCACATAAGTTTGCTGCTGATTTACCAACTTTTTGGCTGAAATCGAGCTCCCCCCATTTTTTTTGGCACATCTCCCAAAGTCCCCACCCACAACCGCTAGCCGCCGCCGCCGGTTCATCGAAACCAGGCGCCTCTTGTGCGTCTTCCAGGCGCTGAATGGCGATGTCCACGGAGTTCAGAAAACCCCACATCTTCACCTGAAAAAAACACTGGATTCCAAACATGGATGTTCCCAAACATGGATGCAAATGTGCCCCCATTTATGGAACCCCCCATGTCCCATTAAATTCCCATCAAATCCTTCCATGTGTTTCCTTTACTAGATAATATCATGTAATATCATTCATATAAGTCTTAATATATCATTAAATACCAATTAATCACTGGTTGGTGGTATACCTACCCCTCTGAAAAATGATGGAGTTCGTCAGTTGGGATCATTATTGCCAACTGAATGGAAAAATAAAAACTGTTCCAAACCACCAACCAGATGATTATAATAATTGGATAATATAGGATATTATTCAAACACGCATTACAATAATTGGATTTATACTCGCATTTATATATAGATTCCCGTGTTTGGATCATCCAATTCAAAAGGAGTGGGTAATCCATGAGAATCCTATAAATGCTAGTATAAATCTAATTCTTGTAAGAGGAATGGACCCTTAAAAAAATCATAAAGGCTAGTCTAACCTCTGGTTGGTGGTTTTGACCATCTTGAAAAATATGAGTTCGTCAATGGGAAGGATGGCATCCCATATATGACATGGAAAATTAGTCCAAATGTTTGAAACCACCAGCCAGTATATATCTCTATTTGGGATAGCCCCATTTATAGTGAGTTTTCCTATTAAAAAAAATGTGATTTTCCATAGTTATGGGACAGTTTACCAGAGGGTATAACCTAGTATAACCCCCGACCTCATCAACCAACATTGGTTTTGATGGATCAACGGATTGGTTTAGGGGAAACTCTACCGGGAAAAGCCTGGGTTTTACCATGGAAAGCCTGGAGGTTGATGAAAATTCCAAAACTCGATATGTCATAACCTGGTTTTACCATAAACCTCCATAGGTTGCTGAATTCAATGATTTTTGGATATGTCAGAACATCGTGTTTGCAATCCAAAAATCGTTGAACCATGATGACCACATCCTAAAAAGATATGGGGTCAGGCGCTTGTATGTGACCAAAACTAGAATGGGTACCCCAAACAAAACTTACACCTTGTATAAGCAACACAGCAGCAATTGCGGTATGTGTGTGTATATATATATATGTAATAATATATAATTATAGGGGTTTCCATAAATGGGGGTACCCCTAAATCATCCGTTTTAATGTGATTTTCCCTTATAAACCATACATTTAGGGGTACCCCATTTATGGAAACCCCCATGTCCCATTAAATTCCCATCAAATCCTTCCATATGTGTCCTCTACTAGATAGTATCATAATATATATATAATATCCTTAATATAAGTCTTAATATATCATTAAATACCAATTAATTAATCATCATTAAATTGGTGTCATTTTCTTACCCTCTGGCAAACTAACAGTTTTCTATTGAAAATGGTGATTCAGTTCGTGGATTTACCCATTAAAATGGTGGATCTTTCCAGTTCGTCATGCAAACGTTTACCAGCAGGTATACCTAAATTATTGGGGATTGGTTGATAGCCGATATGATTGGGAAAGCGTTTTTAACCAGCACTAAATTGATATATATATATATATAAACACTTCTTTGCCTGACCAACATTGACCAGGTACTGCCGAAGGCCCCCACGTGTCACCAAGGCACACGTGTGGCACAGTTTGGAAGCTCCGAAATCGCGAGAACCTCGGAATCTGCGGGGTGTACCCTCCGGTAAACTAACAGTCTGCGACATTGAAAATGGCCCAGTTTTGTAAATATTCCAGCACCATGGAGCATCTGGGATTTTTGTTGATAACTACGGAAAATCACAATTTTTAATGGGAAAACTCACTATAAATGACAATTTTCAATAGCTATGTTAAATTACCAGAGGGTAAAAATGGTGATTTTCAAAAGCTATGTGAAATTACCAGAGGATGTACCCTGCAGTCATCAACCCGAAATCCACTATAAATAAAGCGTTGAATGGAGAAATCAACTGTTGAATGGATTTTCCAGTGCCACCTTGGAGGTACCTGTACCTTAGGGATCTAAATGGAAACGAACCAGACATGGGCATATTACCCTCTGGTTTTTTAACATAGCCATGGTATAGATGGCCCATAGAAATAGATGATTTTACCAGCTAGAAACCTTCATTTATGAGGGATTTTCCAGCTATGTTAAATAACCAGATGGTACCAATTTCAACTGGTTTTTGCCCAAGTCCCATTCAGCATTGTCGGGAATATCCTCTAGGGATAGAACATAGAAAACACCTCAATTCTGGGGGGTGATGGGCTGGAAAAACACATCTATTTCCCTAAATGGCAAAAAAAGGCAGCCAACCATTCACCCAGATTTCCCCTGTCGCGGATTATGGTAACAATTGTTTATTGGGGATCATCACAATCCGTGAAGGGGAATCCCGTTTTCAACCACTGCTCACTTGGATGTGCCGGCTCCACTTCAGTGGGTAATAACCCTAGCAAAAATGCCAGTTAAATGTGGAATAGCAGCAGTATGGATTATTCATAGGTCATATTCCAATAGCGCCAGCTATCTCCGAATTTTCATCGGGATGCATTCCATTATCACCTTGGCAATGGAAAGGTGGTATATGGATTATTTATGGGTTAAGTTCAGCATTTACGATGCCTGGGACTCCTAATTATGATAGGGATTCCCACTTCATGGATCATGATAATCCCTACTATATTGGGTTACAACCATGGTTATACCCGGCTTATAAAACAGGTTCTCGTGTGGTTAGGACGGTTGAGAAATCCTGCACCAGGCATCCCAACCGGTGCAGGATCTTGCAACCATCCACAGTAATGATGTGGATAAAACAATGTCACGTTTACCGTCCCCCAGTCATCACCATTTCTATAGGTGGTATAAACCATTCCCAGTCATGGGTGGTTTATGGCATTGTTTTAACCACATAATATATTATATATATGGAGGTTTCCAAAAATAGGGTACTCCCAAATCATCCATTTTTAGATGGGAATTTCTACTATAAAAAATCTATTTTGGGATACCCCCAAATTATGGAAACCACCATATATAATTATGAAGAATGATCCAAATAAAATCCTGGGATTATTTTTATAATCCATATATAATATAATTATATATATATCTATTTGGGATAACACCATTTATGGACCCCCCCATATATAATTATAAAGACTGATCCAAGTAAAATCCTGGGAGTATTCTTATAATCAAAAATAAATAAATAAATAAATATATATATATAATCATAAATATATATATACACCTGTTTGGGATAGCCCCATTTATGGCAACCTCCATTTGGGATACCATTTTTAAGGTGCATTTGCGGCTCCCCGGTATCCCAAAAACATGCGCCAAAATGTCCACCGAGCGACGAAGTCTTCAGGCGTATCCCAAAGTTCACCTGAAACATTCCAAAGATTTCCCAGATGTTCCCAAACATGGATGCAGATGTACCACCATTTATGGAACCCCCCATGTCCCGTAAAATTCCCATCAAATCCTTCCATATGTTTCCCCTACTAGATAATATCATATCATATCATTCATATAAGTCTTAATATATCATTAAATACCAATTAATCAGAAATTTCCAATATATTGAAAAATAGAAGCCATGTTCCAAACCAACAACCACATATATATATAAATAATAGACATATACGTATACGTATATTGTTTAAAGATACATAGATACTGATATATATATATATATTGATTATACATATTTACTGATATAGATCTATACTGATCTATATATATATATATGCACTGATTGATATATATATATATATACATATACTGATATATGTATATACTGATATATAAATATATACTGATACATATGTATATCGATATATACTGATATAATCATATATGCTGATATATACATATATATGTATGTATATTTATATATTGAATTATGTTGATATAAATCACATCCAACATTGACAGTCGTGTTCTCTTTATCTCCTGAACTCTGATCCTTTTTGACTCCAGACATGTTGTGGGACTCGCTGTGGCACCTTCGAGCAGTGGCTCGTTCATCAGAGATGTATGGATCCTGGGCGCATGGCATTGGGTAAACTAACAGTTTGCTATTGAAAATAGTTATTTATAGCTGATTTACCCATAAAAATGGTGATTTTCAATAGCTATGTTAGTTTACCAGAGGGTAAACACCACCGAAATGGTCCAATGGAATGTGGAAATTCCCTATGAAAAACAATGGTTTCCTGGTTTTGAACATCAGGAAGGGGTTACTGGGATTACTTAACATGTAGGAACCTGATCTTTGGGTGTGGGAACATCCACCATTCATAAGCGTTTTTCATGGCCGTGGGACATGGGTATCATTGACCAACAATGGGATGGAGCAATCCTGATGAAGAGAACATCACCCTTCTGGTGGTATACCTACCCCCCTGAAAAATATGAGGGAAAGTCAGTTGGGATGATGAAATTCCCAACTGAATGGAACACTAAAAAAATGTTCCAAACCACCAATCACCCAGTTTCAAAACATTTGCGTGTCCCAATGTGGAGCTCATCAACAACAATGAGGATCTAAACCAGGCATTCTCCCAGCCTATATTGGGTCCCGGATATCTTGCGCCCTGGTGAGATTCAAGATCGGGTACCAACTTACAACAATCCCTATGAAACGTAGCCCTATATAATCATCGGCAAATCATCCTTTGTGGTTTCTACGCATATCATATGTATGTGTATGCTACGTACTGTACACATGTATATATATATATGTATATATATATGTATATATGTATATGAAGTATTATATGCATACAAATACATATGTGTATACATAATAATGTGATACAGTATTAATACTACATATAGAAGTATAATATATATATATACACATGATCACACACATAGCATTATACACATGTATGAAGTATTATGTACACACAAATACGTAATCACATACACAATCCCAGTTTCAGGAGGAACCCAGCAGCTTCGAAGGAGGACTAGTGTTCTGTTCCATGCAACTGCTTGCCCAAGACATCTCGAGCGAAGGAGCCCAATTTGTCAACGCTGGGAAAGTCCGCCGCTAAGATGTGGTTGCCTGGCAGGGTTTAGATGTCTTTCATCCAATGCTCATGGAGTTTGCCCAAGCGCTTGACCTTGGAACCAACTGCAATGTAGCAGCATTGCAGTTTGAGCGACAGACGCAGGCCCAGCCAAAGCCTTCCTTCGGTAGGACCTCCTTGCCCACAGTAGCACCGACCGGGACGGGGAAAGCATCGAAAGCCCCAGAACCTTTCCTCAACCTTTCCGATCGATGAAACCTTTCCTTTCTCTTGGACACATAAAAACATGTACTATATATATATATACATATGCGTATAAATATATATATATATAATTATATGTGTGTATATATATATATGTATATATATATGTATATATATATATATACATACACTGTATATCTATAGATAGTCATCCCCAAATAGATGGAAAAGTGAATCCCCATCAAGTTGATGCTGATTTACTTGTCAATCTATTTGGGGATGATAAAAACACATTGAATGATGTATACGATGGTGTACTGTACAAGCATCAATCACCAAGAGGTTTGGACACTTATAAATACACACACACACGCAGTGCATAATATGTATAATATAAATATATATATATACACAGATACATGTATATATATATATATACACATACAATCACATGTATCTGTATATGTATATTTATGTTAAACGAAACCATACAACGATTTACCATCAATCACCAAGAGGTTTGGGCTGTGCAAGAAGTTTCAGATGGTACTTGTATCTGATCATGATATCAGATCATTAAATCAATGATATCACTTCAGATCTTTATTATTCTTTATTCATATTTACAAGTGCATCATATCAGATCATTTTCTTTCCAAGTTGGTTTGTAAACCCCATGAACTATAGTCTATAAGTATCATAAACCATAGTTATTGGAGCTATGTTAACCAACTTAGCGATTTCGTAAACGGGGGCCACGCTCAGATCGTGGTTTCTTTCCAAGACTCACTTCGATGTCCGCGGCGGTGGGTAGATTCATGTGCAACAACTCCACCTGGCGAATAGTGGTGAATAATGGTTAATAGTGGTTAATAATAGTGATACTGAATAGTAATTAGTATAAATAGTGGTTAGTAACAATGAATAATGGTGGTGAATAGTGGTTCATCGATAATGGTATGCATGATTGTTAATCATGGTGAATAATTGTTAATAATGGTATGCATGATGGTTAATAATGGTGAGTATATAATATATCATCTGTATATCATCTACAAATGAGGGTTTTCTACCCATTTGGATGAGACAATTTTCCGAAAAAATGCGACAAAGTGACACTTTTTGAGGTTTTGGATCTGGTTGGTGGTTGAGCCCTACCCCTCTGCAAAATATGAGTCCGTCAGTTGGTAAAAATATCATCCCAGATATTATGGAAAGTCATAAAAGCCATGTTCCAAACCAACAACCAGATGTGGTATATACCAAAATGTTGAGATTATGATTCATTCCCAACTAAATGGAAAAATAAAAAATATTCCAAACCACCAACCCGTTAAGAAATAATTGATTTACCATTAATGATGGTGATTTTCCATAGTTATGGGACAGTTTAAACCAGAGGGTACACTTTTTGAGGTTTCAGATTTGTATTGTTTCAGGGGCGATTCATTCATCGGAATGGATGTCGCATGGTCGCCTTGTATGGATACATGTCTGGGCCTTTGCCAAATCTGGGCAGAATCATTCACTATGCTACCCAGATAATGGGTATCACAATAATATATTACTGGTTGGTGGTTTTAACCATCTTTAAACATATGAATTCGTCAATGGGAAGGATTATCCTATATATTATGGAAAATAATCCAAATGTCTGAAACCACTAACCAGATTAGATAGAATGGGTATTTAATAGTGTATATCAATTATATCTATATAACTATGCTTCTTCTTAGGGATTCCCCGAATCCATTCACCATGATTCTAGGCTTTGGTCACTAAAAGTGAGGTCACAAAAAAAATTGCCCAGCGAATGCGGGTTTCTCAACGTCCATATGCCATCTATTCCCAAGCAATGTTGTGCCATGGACCAAACGGCCACTGGTGAAAAGTGAGGCAAAAACTCCTGGGAACTGGGAAATATTCACCATCATGCATCAAAGATACCAGATTTGACTAGATGAATACTAGATGATTATAGCCTATCAGATCTATCAACAATGCTTTGAGATGGCAGAGAAACTCAGGAACTATCAGAATGAGAACATGTGGATCGCTAGAAGCACAGCCTGTTTTAGGAGCTGTTTCTTTAGGGCGGCGCAGCCTGTTTTAGAGCAATTTTGGGAGCCTAAAAAAGGCCCGGGGTCAGGATTTGGCACCGACCCCTTGCAAACGAGCATTTTTTAGTATTGACATCACCTCCTTTTTTTGGCCCTGGAAATTTCTGATTTTTGAAGGTTTCACTCGAAGCTCCTTTTTTTGGTAACTTTAGGGCGGCACAGCCTGTTTTAGGAGCTGTCTTTTGACACTTTGGGGCGGCACAGCCTATTTTCGGAGCTGCCTTTTTTGACACTTTAGGGCGGCACAGGCTGTTTTAGGAGCTCCTTTTTTGGCACTTTAGGGCGGCACAGCCTGGTTTAGGAGCTGCTTTTTTGACACTTCAGGGCGGCACAGCCTGTTTTGGGAGCTGCATTTTTGCCACTTTAGGGCGGCACAGCCTGTTTTAGGAGCTGTTTTTTGACACTTTAGGGCGGCACAGCCTCTTTTAGGAGCTGCTTTTTTGACACTTTAGGGCGGCACAGCTTCTTTTAGGAGATGTTTTTTTGACACTTTGGGGCGGCACAGCCTGTTTTAGAGCAATTTTGGGAGCCTAAAAAAGGCCCAGGGTCAGGATTTGGCACCGACCCCTTGCAAACGAGCATTTTTTAGTACTAGATCATTGCCTATTCGTCTTCACTTAGAACCCCAAGGCAAAATAGACTAATGCATGTGATCCCATGTAAATTCCAGGCGTGTGAAAGAAATCACGTCTGATGATGTCATCGTGATCAAATTGAAGCCAGTGAATCTTGTGATTCGCGGCGCTGCTTTCGTTTTTCAAAAAATGAAGGTTTCCTAAGTCATGGGGGTACCGGTTCATCATCCATTTGAGATTGGGATTTTCACATATAAACCATCCTATTTTGGGATAGCCCCATGACTGAAACCCCCATATGGGGGCCTTAACCCCTGGATTCAACGTCGATGGCCTCAGACGACGCAGACGACTTCGAAGCCAATGTGATCAGTGATCAGCTACAACTCCACGATGAGTTCGTTTGCCCGAAGCTTTAGGTGGGACACAGCAACTGAGTTTTCCATGCATGGCCGCAGTGAGCCAAAAGGTGACCTCCGCTTTGAGCCAGCTGTGCAGGTATCATTCCTTTGCTCTCACTGCTTCTTCCTGCAGTTTTTCTCACTGCTTCTTCCTCTGCACCTGTTGCCCTTTCTGGTCACATCACCCTTTCTTTCTTGTTTCTTTTGGTGAAACCACCGTTTTCGCGGACCGGAGCATGGCTTTGAGCTGCTGAGAACATGCGTGGTACAGGTACCGTGCCCCGGCTTCCAACTGCTTTACACCAATTAAAGGACCGGATAACCCCACATGTCAACTTCTTCCAACAAGCAGCAAAAGAAAGGTACAGATGGCATGGGGAAAGCAGGAAAGAGAAAAGAGATGGTGAAGGATTGGTGTGGAGCAAGTTGTGTGTGGAAGAGTAAGTGTGAGCAAGTTGTGTATGGACAAGTTGTGTTGTATGTATGTATGTATGCATGTATGTATGCATGTATGTATGTAGGGCAAGTTGTTTGCGAGTAAGTAATTTGTGAGTAAGTTGCGTCGTCTTCTTCGATTTCCACCAGGCTCTGCTGTTTTTTCCCCGACATACTATCAAAGCGATGGTGTGCTCACCATACTTCCGCTGACTCGGTCCGCTGACCAAAGTAATGGTCTGCACTCTTTATACCGCAACCGCAAATTTTGCGAAGTCTTTCTACACGCCCTGTGGCTGGTATGTATGTATGTATGTCTGTCTGTATGTATGTATGTATGTATGTATGCATGCATGTATTGAACAGCAGCATCTGCGCGACGAAGTCGGTGCCTGGCAGAACAACAGAAAACACCGGCTGTCACCAAGACTGTTAGTTTCAGAAGCACAGATTGATAACAGACAGATGAGCACCGTCAACTGCAACAGCACTAGCAAAGATCACGACATGCTGTCTGAGTTCATGACATGTGACACTTCAGTCCCACAGCTAACATAGAGCCCCAAAATCGAAAAGTCACAGACACCGCAGCCATCTAATAACCAACAGACAGCTCACTGTGCAACACTGCTAGCAATCCACCTGAAAATCTCAGGCGCTGTCATGGCGGCTGAGCAAGCACCTCCTGGCAAGAATCACAAAGTTGCAACGAAGTTACCGACGCGTCTATGCGAAACAAAGAGAAACAACTACAAAGACGAAAGACGAAAGCAAATCGACATCAACTACAATGAAAGTGTTGCAAAACATTTGGCTACCACTTAGGTACCACCTCCGAAGGATGTGCGGCACGACGAAGACGATGCTAAAGTACCTGCCAGCGATGCGTGGCTGCGAGAAACGCAGGCATTGTCATCCATGAAAACGGAACAAAGAAAGCATTCATACTGCACCACAGAGCTACGCAAGAAACATAGTATACAAGCCTGCGTGTCAAAGCAGCCGGCTCACAATGCTACGTTGACATCGCTTGTTTGGGTGCGATGCAATCATATCCGATGTCCTCTCATGTCACTGCTCCGCGCAGCATGTTAAAGCTTGCAGATGTGATGTGGTGTTTGCTGGCTCCAAGCGGTCGTGTCGAATTGTACTGTGCTGTTTGCTGTCGTTCTTGTATATTGTCTCATCTAAGTGTGCTGTGATGTGTGCTGGCTATGGTTTCATTGCTGTCTGAGTTCATGACATGTGACACTTCAGTCCCACAGCTAACATAAAGCCCCAAAATCGAAAAGTCACAGACAACGCAGCCATCTAGTGACCAACAGACAGCTCACTGTGCAACGCGACAGAATCAACATGCAACACTGCTAACAATCCACCTGAAAATCTCAGGCGCTGTCGTGGCGGCTGAGCAAGTACCTCGCCTGCCACACAAAGTGAAGGTGGATGTCACAAAGCGCCACGCCTGCCACGCAAAACGCCGCGGCGTCCCAGCGCGGCCTGGGAAGCAAGCGCGCCACCAGGGCCAACCCAGTGACATAAGTGCCACGCCTGCCATGCAAAGTGACGATCCATGTGTTGACAAGTGCCTCGCCTGCCACGCAAAGTGACGATCCATGTCATCAAGTGCCACGCCTGCCACACAAAGTGAAGGTGGATGTCACAAAGTGCCACGCCTGCCATGCAAAACGCCGCGGCGTCCCACCGCGGCCTGGGAACCAAGCGCGCCACCGGAGCCAACCCAGTGCCATAAGTGCCACGCCTGCCACGCAAAGTGACGATCCATGTGTTGACAAGTGCCACGCCTGCCACGCAAAGTGACGATCCATGTGTTGACAAGTGCCACGCCTGCCACACAAAGTGAAGGTGGATGTCACAAAGCGCCACGCCTGCCACGCAAAACGCCGCGGCGTCCCAGCGCGGCTTGGGAACCAAGCGCGCCACCAGAGCCAACCCAGTGCCAGAAGTGCCACGCCTGCCACGCAAAGTGACGATCCATGTGTTGACAAGTGCCACGCCTGCCACACAAAGTGAAGGTGGATGTCACAAAGTGCCACCCCTGCCACGCAAACCGCCGCGGCGTCCCAGCGCGGCCTGGGAACCAAGCGCGCCACCAGAGCCAACCCCGTGCCAGAAGTGCCACGCCTGCCACGCAAAGTGACGATCCATGTGTTGACAAGTGCCACGCCTGCTACACAAAGTGAAGGTGGATGTCACAAAGTGCCACGCCTGCCACGCAAAACGCCGCGGCGTCCCAGCGCGGCCTGGGAACCAAGCGCGCCACCAGAGCCAACCCAGTGCCATAAGTGCAACGCCTTGTGTTGACAAGTGCCACGCCTGCCACACAAAGTGAAGGTGGATGTCACAAAGTGCCACGCCTGCCAAACTGTTCACAAGTTGTGTGTCCAAGTACCATGCCTGCCACGTGAAACGAAGGTGGATGTCTCAAAGTGCCACGCCTGCCACGCAAAGTGCATCTACATGTCGCCAGGTGCCACGCCTGCCACGCAAACAGCCGCGGCGACCACGGCGACACGTCGGAACCCAGCGCGCCACCAGAGCCAGCCCAGTGCCATACGTGCCACGCCTGCCACGCATGTCGCCAAGAACAAGTTGTGTGATGAAACTGTTCACAAGTTGTGTGTCCAAGTACCACGCCTGCCACGTGAAACGAAGGTGGATGTCATCAAGTGCCACGCCTGCCACGCAAAGTAACAATCCATGTCATGAAGTGCCACGCCTGCCACACAAAGTGAAGGTCGATGTCACAAAGTTGCCACGCCTGCCACACAAAGTGAAGGTGGATGTCACAAAGTGCCACGCCTGCCACACAAAGTGTGTGTGCAAGTTGTGTGTGAGTAAGTTGCATGTGTGTGTGTGAGTAAGTTGTGTGTGTGTGCAAGTTGTGTGTGTGCACAAGTTGTGTGTGAGTAAGTTGTGTGTGAGTAAGTTGTGTGTGTGCGTGCAATTTGTCTGTGTGTGCAAGTTGTGTGTGAGCAAGTTGTGTGTGTGCAAGTTGTGTGTGAGCAAGTTGTGTGTGTGCAAGTTGTGTGTGTGTGCAGGTTGTGTGTGTGCAAGTTGTGTGTGACTAAGTTGTGTCTGTGCAAGTTGTGTGTGAGTAAGTTGTGTGTGTTGAGTAAGTTGTGTGTGTGTGTGCAAGTTGTGTGTGAGTAAGTTGTGTGTTACAAGTTGTGTGTGTGCAAGTTGTGTGTGAGTAAGTTGTGTGTGAGGAGGCGACGGGAGCGGGAGGAGGAGGCGGAGCGGGAGGAGGCGGACGGGATGCAGAACCAAAAACAAGAACCCCACACAAAGATGTGGGGAACAAAAATCACAAACGAAAATTCATGATCGACCAATTCATGAATACCACCGTCATACCATAAATGACTTGAGGGAGGAAAATTCACCAAGCATTGAGCGTGAGTTTTTTACTCCAACAGATAGGATCAACATAGCTTGAGCGGCGGCACCTTGGCTAAATCACAATCTTGGGCACATCCCAGAGCTAAGATGATTTAAAAAAATATGGCAAAAAACAAAAATGTGAACTGATCTAAGTAGTCACCTTCTAGCTTGTATGAACATTTTCGGAAGGGTTTTATTGGATCAAATATTGTGTGTTGCTTATTTGGGTATGAACGACCCGTTCTTTCAACATGTCCCAATGAAGTTTTTCCCTATGTGATTGCATCCCCGTTTTGGGTTGGCAGTCCCTGGCCAAGCCTATATATCTTCGATTAAAAACTCAATGTTCAACTGGGTATCACATTCCTCCTATGTAGATTACAGAAAACTTACTAACTATATAATCACCAACTGACTCAGCAAGGTGTCCCCTTTCCCAAGCGTGGATTTGTCTGGAAACAGGATGTCCCCCCAAAAACCATTGTTTGAAACATTATTTTGCCTTTCAACATTGCTATAAGATTGGGCATATCCAATATTCTTCGGAGCCACATACAAAAATGTTTAAACTATCGTTTTCCTAGGATATAGTTTCTGGTGATCTTCCCATTTGTTTACAGCTTAGCTTGGTGATTTGTTGAAGCCTTGGCCGAATTTTCAGAACCTAAATTGTGGGTTTCTTTGGTGTTTACCAATCGAATCCCAAAGCGATTTTGACCAATCTAGATGTGCTTTGTTGGTTAATCTAGATTTTTATTGGTCAATCTAAATTGGTAGATTTGACCAATGGATGTGCTTTTGACCAATCTAGATTTTAAATGATTTTAATCTATCCATCCGACTTTTTGTTGGTTAAATATGTTAAATACCACTTTGGATCAAAATCTATGGATGTAAATACCAGTCAACCCAATCCAGCAAGCCATGAATAGCTCATCCATTCACTCAATCACCATCCCTACCAATCCCTTGTCTGCTTGGCGAAGATCTCCCTTTTTGAACACATGAACATGATTCTTGGTGGTTAAATAATGTTAAATCACAGTTTACCAATGGTAAAAAAAACACCATTTTCGATGCTTAACCCCTAGAGATCTCCCTTTTTTCCCAGCTTAAAATGGACCTTCTCGGGCTTCAGGACGTCGTCGTTCATCTCTTGGATCGCCTGCAAGAGCTGACCCTTCTCCGGCATCAGCGCCTCAGTGACGCAGGGGACCCGAAAAATTGCAAAATGATTTAGGGATCTGATGATTAACAGATTATATTGGATGATATCGGTATATAGATCTGATCTGATGATTAAAACTATTTCTTGGCCTGTATTTATTAGACTAAAACGTCTATATACCAATATCATCCAATATCATCTTTTGAATCTAAAGAGACGACATCATGGGATTTGGAGTTGCCACTTGCAGCCAAGTAGGGGGAGAATCCATGGATCCTGCGCAGGAGTATGAAATGGGTAGCGGCATGGGTCAAAAGCCATGGAATTCATTGGTTTTCACAGAACATAGCTGGGGATTTGTGGATATTCATCCCATCAACATATGTCAATACGGGGTTTTGATCCTTCGCCATCTCACCTTCCTCATGGTTCTATGTGCTCTCATTCACCCTGGACCTTGCAGCAAATCCAGGCATCTACAGGGAGAATTGCCTTGTGGCGCTTGTGGCGAATCCTAGATACCCTGCAAAACATCATCTGGGTAAATTATAATATTTCACTCACCTGAATGGTTGGGCCATTTGGGGATGATTCCCCGAATCCTAACTATGATTTCCAGTGAGGGAGAACAGTGAGGTCGTTATAATTTACCAAGATCATGGATTTTGTTGTTGCTCAGGTTCAACATGGCAACCCACTCTCGCCTTAATAAAAAAATTAGCCATTTCCACGCTTTAACCAGATTTGTTGGTGAATCACTCAGTTTTAATGGTCCCATTACTCAAGGCACCACGTTCCCTGTTGGTGTTGCTTAAAGTATCACTCTTGCTGATTCAAATCCAAGCTTCGCAGTTGAAACTCATGGTCGACAATTGGGGTATAAATCCAATCCAAAGACTATGTTGAGCATTCAAATCCAATGTCTTACCAGCTAAACGGGGTCTCTTGACATGGAGGTTCCCTAAGTCACCAGAAGTTTCAATACTAAAGTGATCTCATTTGGATGATTCTGGGGATACCCCCATGACTTTGGGGAACCTCCATATGGTCCATATGTAATATCCCATAGTATCCCTGTTATCTCCCATTAGAATTCCATTAGGATCCCATGAAATTCCTTAGAACCACCATATTTTTCCAAGATTGGGTGGACCATTGCAGGGTTGTGGCCCGGCTGTGGAGGCACAATTGGCACCACACTGCTCTTGCGCGCACTGCTTGATCTCCCCTGATGTCACACCGATTCTGGATGATTGGATTGGTTTTGTTGGGAAAATCGGAACCGGAAAGCCCCATATTTAACGGGAAAATCGATGGTTTCCTGTAAAAAAAATCCCTTAAACCAATCCAATCATCATGACAAGCGGACCTGATCCGTGTCCCACCGATTCTGGATGATTCTGGTGGCGAGGCATGGCAAGTCACGCGCAGCAACTTGACTGTTGCTGCCCTGTTGTTTTCCCTGACATCTGACATCTGACAGCTGCAAACTGGTCTACTGATATTATCAACAAATATGAGACATGTATGTTGATGACACGCTTCAAATCCCGATATACTGGTTCCTCGATTTCGGACCGCTGCTGGTCGCAACCCTTTCCCGGCCTCCGGCAGGAAAAGGCTGTTGGAAATAGGAGATTGATTCATCTCCGCCTCCGGCACTTGTTGTACCTGGTTGCACGTGCACTCCACCCTGAATTTCTGTCTGCAACATCCCTAGGATCTTCGGCCCAAGTGACGGTGGGCATCAGTGTAGGAACAAGTGGTGCTCCCATTGTCTCCTCATTTTGCGCTTGTGCTGCAAAGTGTGTCACCAAACTGCTGATGATATCTTTCTGAAAGGGGAAACTTGGTCTGCATTTGAATCCGCTCTTCAGTTTGGCACAACCCAAGATTCGTAAACTTCGCGCCATGGTGCGATTGGAAGGAATAATAGGGCGACCCAAAACCGTCTGAAGCGTGGTGATTGCTCGCTCAAACGCAAAAACTTGGCGACCAAAGTCCACATCTGAGTTATTAATTTCCAGCTGCAAGGGTGCAAAATCTGGCCCAGTACCACCTGTATTAACAACGACTCCTTTCTGTGTTGCATACATAAAGGATAAACATAGTTCGTACCAGGTTACCCCGGCTTCCAAAGGGTCCACCTCTTCGGACCATGTAACGTTTGCTAACCAACCCATCAGAGCAGAGCTATAGGCCGAGCCCCATAGCGACGCACCAATCCTTTCATAGTCCTCTGCGCTCTCATGGAACGTCCATCCATTGGCTGGTTGCCATTGAGCCAGCGCTTGGATTTGGTCTGTCCAGTTGCGTATGCTGTTGCCAATGGGTGGTTGGATGTCCTCCTGCTGAAACAGTCGGGCTCGTTGTGTCTGCAGTGCATGTATATATTTCACATGGTTTGTGCGCAAGGTCAGCATGCTAAGACGGTCTGGTACATCCTCATGCATTGGTGTGCATCTTTGTAGTCTCTGTAAGGCGACCTTGGCGGCTCTATCAGCTGCAGCATTACCTATCTTTGCCCAGGTCTCATCGATCGAATCGGTTTGTGGTTGTAGCGCATGTGCTTTAACTTTACGAAAACAAAGACCTGGTTTCTTGACCGTGGGCCACCACTGGTACAAAAGGTCAAAGTTAGGCAGTTTATGCGCTTGTTGAATCTGGTCGATCTGCTGCAACTTGTCAAACATGTCAATGACATACTGTGAGTCACTGAAAATGACTGCTTCCTCAAATTCCTGGGTCACCCAAATCGCCGCTGAAAGTTCCGCACGGTCAATCTGCTGGTGATCTTGTACTTCGCCAGTGGTCAGTACACTAAACTGTGGTGGTAAGCATCCTGTGGTACTAAACATGTCTATATAACCAAGTTTCATGCTATCCTCCACTGGGTATTGATATATTACTGCAAAGGCCGCTCTTCGGAATCCAGGGTGTTGTGGGTGATCACAAGTGCCATCCAAAAAAAAACAAGGGCGATGACCATGTGCAGCATTTTGGACAATGTCCTGGTGGATCTGAGCATCGGCTGTTGGTCTAATTACCTGCTGGTAGTACCATTGGTGAAAGTCATGTAACTCTGGCATATACAGTGCAGGAAAAACTGTGTGGCACGGATTAAGGTCTTCCAAGATCGCAATGTGGTCGGAAAATTGTGCTCGGACACTGGCGGTCGCCGTACATTCAAGCACCCTATGATATATGGAGTCTGGCATCTGGCACAGAGGGCATGAGCTTGTCTCTGTGAAGTGTTTGAGCTGCTCGGATGTCATGGATGCCCCAGTGATGTGTTCACACCAAACGCGAGTTTCACCGGCAGTACAGTCATGCAAAAGCTTCATAGTTGCCTGTCGGTCAGGGATGGGTAGTTGTTTCCATTCATGGCGCTGTATGCAGGTTTGCATGACATGTTTCATCCACGAGTAGTCAAGCTGTCGAAACAATTCTTTCTGTGAACATGTGAGCAACGGAAAGGCAAGGTCAGCATCGGTCTGAAGTATCCCTTGCTTATTGATTGACCATCCGATTCTAGACAAATTATAGGCCATTGCGCCGGCTGGTCCCCACACGGCAGTGTGGGAAATGGCACGCATGCTGGCAATCTGGAAAAAGTTCTGCAACACTTCACTAGTAGCCTGTTGAAGCCATGATCGCAAGTTGCGAATGCTGTTCTGAAGAAGGTAGAGTGTGGGGTCACAAACATGAGGTGTTAGGAGCGAGCAGGCAAAGTATGGGTTACTATTACCTTTGTTAAGAATCAGGGTCTTGGCTATTGTGGATCTGAGCTCCTTCAACCATGATCCACCCACTACATACGATTCAGTGCCCCAGAGCGCCTTGCTTAGTGCATATCCACAGATTCGGCCCCTGGTATCCAGTGACAAATAGTCTTGGCGGGCCCTAATCATATACTGAAGAGCAGCTTCGTGTCTGCCCTTTTGTGTAGCCCTACTGTGGCATTTGTTGTAGCTCATGGTAAAGCCCAAATCGCGCGCATTGCTCACTATCAAGATGTCTGTATCAGGAGGGCATTCCTGTAGCATCTGGCTTTTCCATGTGTCTTTGTTGCGGGAGTCGGTGGACCACATCCAAGTTTTGCGCCAGTCAATTTGAAGTTGAAGGGCATTGGTGTAGTGGACAGTGGCTCGCAGGGCCGCAAGGTTACTGGCCGTGGACAGTGAGCGCCACGCACAGTTGTCAGCATAGGCACTTGGGAATGTATCATGGGTAGCCAGGATTTGGGTCCAGGTAGTGCTAATGGCAATGCATGCTAATACACTCCAGGAATCTCCTTCAGGCGCGCCCGTTGTGGATCTACCCCCATGGTGAATACTAGGGCCAAGTTGCCACCATCTCTCTGTGTGTTGCAACGTCTGGTACCAAAAATCGACCCATGCTACTGGTATACCATAGTGTATCATTGCTTGTCTACAGGGCCAGCGGGGCAGGAGATTAAAACATTTGACTAAGTCAAGCGTTAGTCCCTGCCAGTGGGCGCCTATCTGCTGTTTTTGCATCAACCTTTGTTCAAGCTGAAATTGCAATTGAAGCATATAGTGGTGCGGGTGTCTACCTGGCATGAAGCCAAGAATTTCTCGTGGGATGATTGCATGCCATTGTTTTAGCAACTGGGTACGTAATACCCTATCCACCATTCTCTTGCAGCTTAATGGTGCGTTTCTTTTGCATGATTTAGTCGTAAGGGGTGATATTTTTTAGTCTATATTTACATATGGCCGCGGCTCAGAATGTAAGGCCCAGATCCATACCCTGGACCCACAGGCCATCCTACCCATGATCCATACATTGCTAATCAGGGATATGAACCATATCCCCGTTGTATACCAGGCCACTTTAGCTTTCTCAGTAGGTCCGGATCACTCGTTCCAACCGTTCCATGCCTCCGGATCACCACGGAACGATCCATATATACTAATCACATGCAAGCTATATAGTACTAATGTGGGTAAAACAATAATGAACCATCCCCCAAATCACCATAAATAGGTGGTATAAACCATTCCCAAATAGGTGGTTTATGGCATTGTTTTACCCACATTATATACACCACTTTGGCCAAAAGGCGGTACACAACTGGCAATAGCGTAATTGGTCTGGTGGCGGCAGGGTTATCCGCCTGTGCATGTTTGCCCAGTGGCACTGTAATGGCTTTCATGAGGTATTTTGGAAAGGCTTCTTTTGCATGGGTGTTGTGAATTATCCAGGCTAAAGTTGTAAGGCAAACATCTGGAAGCTCTTTGAGCTCATCGACAAACCAACCATCATAGCCCCTGGCCTTGCCTGATTTTGTTTGGCGCAGCGCTTGTCGCCAAAGGTTAACATCCAGAATTTCTATTGTTAGTTGTTGATACTGCGGCATTTGGTTGAGGATGCTGACATAATCAGACCAGTGCGCTGGATCTTCCATATGCATGGGGTCATCTCTGGTCCAGTATTGGTCCCAATATGTCTGGAGATGTCGAGCCACTATGGTTGGGTCTTGGGTTGTCTGGTGTTGGGTGACTACTGCAGTCTGTGCTAAGGGCACATCTGCTTCCAGAAGCATTCCTGTAAGGACATCTGCATCAAAGTGTAGTGGTTGAATTTGCTGCTGGTCATATTCCAAATTGTCATAACAATTGAACTCTTGAGGGTGTTGAAGTCGGAGTTCTACAAGTCCATGCTGTTGAGTTTGGACTGTGGCAGCAGATGTTTTGGAGATTTTGGTCTCTCTTAACGGTGGGTGCATTTCTCCTCTTATTCGATGCATGGTATTTTTGAGATAGCCCTTTTGCTGGTCATATCGCTGAAGAAATTTTGCATGTTTTTGACGTAGTAAATTTTGCTGGTTGGCAAGTGCGTCGGTGTGGTGTTTGAGCAATGGGATAGTGAGGTCAAGAAACTCTGTGGATGGAAAATGTAGGGGAAACCATGCAATCTCGGGTTGTTGCAGGCACCAATTGCGGAAATTACCAGAGCTCCTAGTGTTTACGATGGCTTTCCATTCCTTCTGCAAATCCATTGGGACATAACCTAGGTCAGGGAACATCTCAAGCTTGGCAACTCTTTGTCGCAAGGATTGCAGCCTGCGTATCTGTTTAGTCAGGTGAAGCACTTTGAAACTAGCAGTTTCAACAGGTGGGTCATATTGTCCCTGGCAGGCACTGGAAATAGGTTTTTGAAGTGGTACTTTGACAAGTTTTCGCTCTCTCATGCGGCCATAGCATCTTTTTGGCAACATTGGCGCTGGGTACTTTTCTGGATCATTTTTGTGTTGTTGGATTAAAGTTCTATTCACCGCTCCCTCGCATGCCTTAGCCCATTGTTTCAGAGCATCAGACATGGAGAGATGGAGCGGGGCAGTTGTGTCGGCTGCATCAAGCTGCGTATCTTTGATCAAGTCAGTGAAGTGGAGTCCAACAAGATGTTGATCTGGTTCATATGGATACCAAGGTTCAGGCAAGACCCACTTGTGATAATGGGGTTGGGTTGTGGGTAGAGCAAGTTGTAAGATCACTGGATCATGGTCACTGAATGCCTTATCCTGATTAACTGTAACCGATTGAACATAAGGTAGTAAATCGGGATGGACTAACATTTGGTCATGGCAGGTTTTACCTCGACAAGTGTTGGGCATGGCAGTGTTAGTTAAATGTTCATGAATGGCATCGGTTGGTTGGTATCTCATTGACATCAAAGCCAAAGCTGCTGTCAGCTGCCGCGGGTGATGGTTAAAATCTCCGCAGATTATGGTGGGTAAACGTACCATGGCCTCCAGTCTGGCTGCTTCTCTCAGTAGTGCATCTGTTTTGGTACGTGCTTGCGGCAGGCACGAAGGATAACCATACAGGGTTATGAGGTGGATACTCCAAGTTCCTATTTGGATGATAGCCGAAACAATTCTTGTAGGGTCTACAGTATCATCAATGGGTATCCTGGAGGGTCTGATTGGAAAGATAGAATGGCATGATACCCCGGTGGCCATACCTCGTTTGGCTCCATCTTCTCTCTGTGTGGAGAGATGCGCCGGCACTGGTGGGCACCACACCTGATGGTATCCTTTGGCTTTCATGTGGTAGTGCATAAGGTTTTGGACTGTCTTGGTGGCACTGGTTTCGGAGCAGGCTAGGATTCCACAGTGCAGCTCCGCCAGTTGCGAATGCTTGTTCAAGATAGCAGTTGGGTTGACTAGGCCCACAGAAATGCTATGCCGCTCTGAGGTCGATGGTCCTGGATTCTCTGCTTCTCCTACTCGGACTCCTCGATATGGATCATGGGTTGTGTGGAGAAGTGGGGAAACATCACTTATCATTGTGGCAAAATGCCGGTACTGATGCTTATTTCTGTGCTGAATGGGCGGCTCAAAATTGAAAAGAATTCTGCAAATTCTGGATTGGATGAGTTTTTGGAGCTCGTCACAAGGCGTGGTTACAAAATTGCAAGGCTGCTGTATTATCACCGTGTGGTCATAGCATGCTTCACATTTACAACCTACAGATGATGTGCCCTGACCCGAAAAAATTGCACTTCTCATTGCCGGTCGAATGTCAAAATGTTCCAATGGCTCAAAGGTTCTATACACTGTTGGAGCAAAAAAAATCCTCACGCTGTGAGTCCTTCATTAACTGTGCACGTCCTGATGGTGATTGTTGTCTATGGACATGCTTTAGCCCGGGGTCAATTGCAAGAAACTGTCGATTCTGCAAAATGCCACAGAGCTCAAACTTGGAAAAAAATCTGTAAATTCTGGATTGGTTCAGTGGTTGGAACTCGTCCCAAGACGTGGTTTCAAAATTGCCAGGCTGCTGCATTATCATCATGTAGTCATAACATGCGTCACATTTGCAACCTACATCAGATGTGCCCTGACATGAGAAAAAAGCACGTCTCATTGCCGGTCGATTGTCAAAATGTTCCAATGGCTCAAATGGTCTGTACACTGTCGAAGCAAAAAGGTCCTCACGCTGTGAGTCCTTCACTAACTGTGCACGTCCTGACTGTGGTTGTTGTCGGTGGACATGCTTTGGATCGGGATTGGTTGCCACAAACTGTGCATTCTGCAAACTGCCACAAAGCTCAAGCTTGGGGAGAATTTGGTGGATGCTGGATTGGGTGAGTGGTTGGAACTCGTCCCAAGACGTGGATACAAAATTGCAAGGCTGCTGCATTATCATCATGTAGTCATAACATGCGTCACATGCACCACCTACATCTGATGTGCCCTGACACGAAAAAATTGCACGTCTCATGGCCGGTCGATTGACAAAATGTTCCAATGGCTCACATGTTCTGCACACTGTCGATGCAGAAACGTCCTCACGCTGGGAGTCCTGCATTAACTGTGCAAGTCCTGACGCTGGTTGTTGTCGATGGACATGCTTTGGATCGGGATTGGTTGCCACAAACTGTTCATTCTGCAAACTGCCACAAAGCTCGAACTTGGAAAAACATCTGTGATTTCTGGATTGGATGAGTGGTTGGAACTCGTCCCAAGACGTGGTTTCAAAATTGCCAGGCTGCTGCATTATCATCATGTAGTCATAACATGCGTCACATTTACAACCTACATCTGATGTGCCCTGACATGAGAAAAAAGCACGTCTCATTGCCGGTCGATTGTCAAAATGTTCCAATGGCTCAAATGTTCTGTACACTGTTGAAGCAAAAAGGTCCTCACGCTGTGAGTCCTTCATTAACTGTGCAAGTCCTGACGGTGGTTGTTGTCGATGGACATGCTTTGGATCGGGATTGGTTGCCACAAACTGTTCATTCTGCAAACTGCCACAAAGCTCAAGCTTGGGGAGAAATCGGTGCATGCTGGATTGGGTGAGTGGTTGGAACTCGTCCCAAGACGTGGATACAAAATTGCAAGGCTGCTGCATTGTCATCATGTAGTCATAACATGCGTCACATGCACAACCTACATCTGACGTGCCCTGACACGAAAAAATTGCACGTCTCATGGCCGGTCGATTGACAAAATGTTCCAATGGCTCAAATGTTCTGTACACTGTCGATGCAGAAACGTCCTCACGCTGGGAGTCCTGCATTAACTGTGCAAGTCCTAACGGTGATTGTTGTTGATGGGCATGCTGTGGCTCGGGATTAAGTGCAACAAACTGTTCATTCTGCAAACTGCCACAAAGCTCAAACTTGCAAAAAAATCTGTGATTTCTGGATTGGATGAGTGGTTGGAACTCGTCCCAAGACGTGGTTTCAAAATTGCCAGGCTGCTGCATTATCATCATGTAGTCATAACACGCGCCACATTTACAACCTACATCTGAAGTGCCCTGACATGAGAAAAAAGCACGTCTCATTGCCGGTCGATTGTCAACATGTTCCAATGGCTCAAATGTTCTGTACACTGTTGAAGCAAAAAGGTCCTCACGCTGTGAGTCCTTCATTAACTGTGCAAGTCCTGACGCTGGTTGTTGTCGATGGACATGCTTTGGATCGGGATTGGTTGCCACAAACTGTTCATTCTGCAAACTGCCACAAAGCTCAAGCTTGGGGAGAATTTGGTGCATGCTGGATTGGGTGAGTGGTTGGAACTCGTCCCAAGACGTGGATACAAAATTGCAAGGCTGCTGCATTGTCATCATGTAGTCATAACATGCGTCACATGCACAACCTACATCTGACGTGCCCTGACACGAAAAAATTGCACGTCTCATGGCCGGTCGATTGACAAAATGTTCCAATGGCTCAAATGTTCTGTACACTGTCGATGCAGAAACGTCCTCACGCTGGGAGTCCTGCATTAACTGTGCAAGTCCTAACGGTGATTGTTGTTGATGGGCATGCTGTGGCTCGGGATTAAGTGCAACAAACTGTTCATTCTGCAAACTGCCACAAAGCTCAAACTTGCAAAAAAATCTGTGATTTCTGGATTGGATGAGTGGTTGGAACTCGTCCCAAGACGTGGTTTCAAAATTGCCAGGCTGCTGCATTATCATCATGTAGTCATAACATGCGTCACATTTGCAACCTACATCAGATGTGCCCTGACATGAGAAAAAAGCACGTCTCATTGCCGGTCGATTGTCAAAATGTTCCAATGGCTCAAATGGTCTGTACACTGTCGAAGCAAAAAGGTCCTCACGCTGTGAGTCCTTCACTAACTGTGCACGTCCTGACTGTGGTTGTTGTCGGTGGACATGCTTTGGATCGGGATTGGTTGCCACAAACTGTGCATTCTGCAAAATGTCACATAATGCAACTATGGGGCGGAGGTTCAGTCTCACTGAAATCTGCATCTTGGCATGTTGGAGCATGGAAAATTGCTGTACATAAGTCCAGTTACGCTTCGCACTTGGCTTCGCAAGAGAGTGTTCAACTGGTAGGAAAGTAAGAATCCAATCGATCCTATTTCCTTGTGCAACTCCACCATATGCATAGTGTGCATGCATGGTATGGTGAATTATAGGCTCATCTTCATCTTTCCATGTCCGTGTCATCCTCGTCACGTGCTGGTGTTTTCCGTTTGTCTCTGGATCGAAACAAGTCCTTAAGTTCGGACATGGATGTCTGGAGTCGCTGATCTTGTTGGCCCAAAGCTTTTTGCAGCGTAGATTCAAAGTCAGTTCGAAAGGATTGAAAAGCATTCTTCGTTTCTTCATGGCTGACTTGCAATTTGGCATCCATCTCGGACAGTTTCATGTCCACAGCTGTCGTGTGCTGTTGTTGGTCCACCTGCAACTTTTGAACTGCCGTTTCAAGGTCTTTGAGCTGTTGATCATGCTTCTCCAGATGCGCTGCAGTTGGTCCAGTTTGCTGAGCTGTCGAAGCCATGGCACTTGGACTGTTCTGAGTGGTTGGCTTCCATGAATTCCAAGGGTCTGAATATGGGTCACCTTGTCGAAATACTGACATCGCTTTGACACTGGAAGTGTCAGCTGTCTGCACCTTGGATGGCTTGGACATGGGACCTGCAACCAAACCTACCGTCTGGTGTGGCGATCGTGAGGGCAACTTTTTGATAATCAATGGGTTGCTGTTGAACTGCAGGATGTCTTTAGGCGGGGCTTCTGTGGCCAAGACAAGCCACGCACGTGCCCCCACTGGTCGGAGTGGGTGGATCTCCCAGTTCACTGATGTACCCCATGCCTGAAGGATTTTCCGGTCCATGCCTGCTGGCAATGGCTGCACTTTCCATGTATCTCCCTGTGGTATTGGCTCTGGCACCGGTTGATCTGGAAAAAACTGTTTCCACGTGGTCTCAAAATTCTTAGCCAAAACTCGAAGCCCCAGGGAGCGGCGTCCTTTGATGAGGCCTGCAGCTGATGGGTTTGGTAAGGCACTTTGTTCAATTTGTTGCACTGGTAAGTCAAGCCACAGAGCTCTCCATTGGGGGTCAGGTCGGCCCGAGGCATCCTTTGGAACAATGAACAGCCGGTTAAACCCCGAACGCTTCAGGATCTTGGCAAGATTGCTTGTATGGATCTCAGCATGAAATTGCACGGATGTGGATACATTTGGTGGACAATTTTTCTGGTTGAGGTGATAGGTTCGGCCAAATGGCGCATTGAAAGGTTCTTTGAATCCATCTTGTTCCAAAATACGCTTGGCTGATTTGACTGGGCTTTGGGTAATCTGTTTCCACTCGCCTTCTGCGAAGTCGTCTTTCCACAATGTAAAGGAGCAGATCTGCACCTCATTGGGTGTGATTTCCATTTCTTTTCCTTCAGTCCGATGCACACACACCGGTTTCTCTCCCAACTGTACCAGATATCCAGCAATGAGACATGGTTGGCCGTTGCTGTTCACTGCAGGTACCGTATGTTTTGCAAGCTTGGAACAATCGGTGTCAATGTCCCCGACGACAAACAATCCCATTTCGTCAACATGTATCTTTCCAGGTATTTTTAACCAATGATCAGCTTGGCTCGGCGTGACCATGGTGATTCCGCTAACACATGGTGAGAAGTTGACATGCACCGGAAGTGATTGGCCATCCTGTGTGGTGAAAAATCCAGCTTGCAATTGGTATTGGGATGGATCCAAATTTCTGAGTGCCCGTCCCATGCTCGTGTGCTCCAGTTTCTGAAACTTGCTTGTGGTCCGTTGTTGTTTTTGTTTCATGATTTCAATTGGGATTCCCACTTGTCGACATAGTTCTTGGATTTGGCATGGTCTTTCTTCTGCAACAGTTCCAAACAGTATATGGGTAAGCTTGGGAATACCATATTCTCTTTGAAGTCTTTCAACATGTTTGGTGACTTCATCCAATGGCACTCCAAGTTCCAGCAGCAAGGAGCCAATGCCCGCATGTACGGTTTGCTTGTGATCCTGTTTGGAACCCGCTCCACCAAAAATCGGGTGCGCAATGTGACAAACTGTGAAGGTGTTCCCCTGAGTATTGGTGGTAAACTTCAAATCACTGGTTGTGGCAGCTTCAGTATGTCTTTTACCTCCCGAAACAAAGGCTGGCATTTGTCCAAAGGCTGTCAGGGTCAAGGAATGTCGCAGGATCTGCAGGAACGGGGCAATTGGTAATCCGCGATCAGTCACGATTGTCTCTATACATCTGGCTTGGTATTTGACAATCATGTCAACTGTGCCTGTGCAGCGATTCATCGACCGAAAACCTGTCTGCAATAAACGCACCTGAATGGCTTCAACAAGTTGGGCCATGGGTGTGGAGAATCTGGTGCCATCTGGTCGGAATAGCAGCTGAGCTTCTGTGTCAGAAATGACCTGGAACCCTAAACCCTAAACCCTAAACCCTAAACCCTAAACCCTAAACCCTAAACCCGAATGCCATCATACGTCCATGTTGTTTTAGCCACTGCTGTGGACATGCGACATGCCAGTACGTCAGAACAACCGGAAGTGCTTCAGTGGTTCCCTGGAAATTGACAACCAAAATGTCCGTGTCAATTGGTACACGGCTCAGCATGGTCACACTGTCACATGCGTCCAAGAATTCTTCCATGTTGACAAAATTGTCCACAAGCTGCTGTTCCTTGAAAACCCTGGTGTGTCGAGAAATCACATGATGGTCTGGAATGCGTCCATATACATCATACTGATATTCAAATAGGGTTGGATGCTTCATTTTGAGATCTCTCCAAGCCTGTCCCTGGGTGGGCAGCGCAATCGTGCCTGTCGGAAAATCGCTCAGGATGCAAAAGGATGTGACTTCTGGGCTGCAAATTTTTGGATTGTCCATGACCAGGTGGGCTGGCGCAAGCAAGCTTCTCTGAGTTTGGGATTGGAGGTCAAAAGCTTCTATCAGCTTCAGTGCTCGATCCTTTTCCAAAAGTGTACATGGCAGTAGCGAGAAATCCCACATGGACAGCATGCTGGCATACGTGACATCATGAGAGATTTGCAGAATTCCGTACGTACCTGGAATTAGAAAAACGGCTACTTCAGTCAGATCAGGCAGAATGGCATCAGCAGTAGGCATTTGATAGTCTTCATCCATCTTCGTGTCCGGAATGTCAATTGAGTCATCGAAGTCATGAATTTTCACATCACCTGTGTGTGGCCTAGCCGGTTGAGGAGTTTGCAAGTCATGGCAAGCTGAGGCCGCAGGGACAACTGTCATTTCTGCATGCTCGGTATGTTCAGGTCCACTGTGTAATGCACGGGATGGATGGTCATGGCATGTCTTCCGCTTTTCACTGGGAACCTGATTATCTACATCAATGGGTTGTGGTGCTTCTCCAGCCATCTCGAGATGGGTACAACATGCAATCCTAGGTGAGGTCTGATCGGACGAATGATCGGTTGCACTATGTACATGAGGCTGAGGTCTCAACGATTCTGCAAAAGGCTGAGTCACACCAGGCTTCGGTTGCAAAGGCTGTCGATTCGGTTCGGATGTCACTTGAGTCAGTTGGTCATCTGCCTTCATTTCGGATGGAGAGCCATTTGGTGTGCAACTGCTAGGAAAAAACCCTGAAGTGGCAACATGTTCATCAACTGTGGGGCGGCAATCTCGGGCATTGGGACATGCTACTTTGGTTGTTAGTCCCATGGGCTCTGGGCCTTTCACAGTTGCAATGGGGATACATCCCCACATCGGATCAAAAAACTTTCCTGTGGGCCAATGGTGTGAGTCGTCACCCTTCCATTGCATGGAGTCAGCAAAAAACTTCAATTTACTTTGCAGTTCCGCTGGGTTCCCTTTGGTCATGTAGCATCCGTTGTCATCACCAATGATGTGAATGGAACTGGCTTTCAACCGTAGGCTTTCTGCATATGCAAGGTGTTGTGCAAGGGTCCCTGGTGGCAGAACGTCTTGTGTGTGTTTCATAACATGATAAAACAATGCATACGCATGGTGAATAGTGATGCAGTTTCCCAATGTTCTCCAGGCCTGTTTCAATGGTGCCAAAAGTGTAATTGGTTCCAAGTGAGAATGCAAAAGCACTATCTCATGGGGTTTCCACCATCGCAGTTGGCTGTACTCTGCAGTGAAGTGTCCATGAAGTCCTTTCTCCTGCAGAAGGTGCATGGGCAAGTCAGCATGTGCCCCATAACAGGCCATGAAAGTGGGCAGTTTGTGATGCGTTGAGGGAACCCGATACGTAAGCATCTGATGTTTGGCAGCTGAAGGTGCATACTTGGGTAGCAAAGCAGGATCCATAAACATTTGCCTCTCTTGTTGAGTTGGTTGATACAGCTTGGCTTCATCTGGCTGTGATCTGATCCATGCATCCCAGTGGAAGGCAGTTGATTGCTGTGTCTTTCCCCAATCTTCCCAGGTCATTGCAATCTCTGGATCTTCAATTCTCTGCAGGATTGCAAGCCATCTCACTCTTGTGGTTGGCAAACGGTCGGCCGCATCAAGAACCTTTTGCAACACAATGCGAAAACCACACCAGTATACGATCTTGAGAAACACTGGAAATTGGTCATGTTCCGGAAAGTTCTTCACATTCTCCAACAGCAGAAACCTCGGCCTAAAGATCCTCGCCTGTCCCAAACCTTGTGCTAAAATCTGTCCATTGGCATCATGAAAACCACGACCATACGCACTACTTGACCAGCATTGGCATGGAAAAGAAAATGTCCAAATTTCAGATCCTAACATGGCAAGGGACTGAGCAAACTTCATGTCCAGGATGTCTGCAAAAAAAGTAATGGATTCATACCTCTTTAGCATCCATTCCAATGGAATTGGTGTGTTCTCCAAGAACAGGGTTGTGTGATTTATGGCATGTTGTGTCGCAGCAAAAAGGTCATTGTCGATGCCAATGTGTCGAAATTTTGGCCATCCTAGATTGGCAGCAAATCGTGCTCCATATGTCCAGCCTCCATACCCACCGCAACAAAGGTCAACCATCGTGCTCTGATCGGAAAAATTCGCATACCATGGAATGAGAATGGAGTCACTGGTCAATCCGACATGGATGGCATCTGTGTGCAGCTCACCACGAGGCGTCTCAACTTTCATGTTGTGGAGCAACCAAGTGTCACACTTCGGAAGGTATGGTTCCAGCCCCAATGGATAGGCAAAAACAACTGCATGTTTGGTTAGATGAAGACCCTTCCAACAAGCATGATGATAATGTTTCCACTGTGACATCGGAGGTTCAATCAAATTTGCCCAAGCCAATGACTCATCAATTGCTTTTGGATTGCTAACCAGTAGGCTAGGATTGTTCACCTCAAAAATGGTTGGGTAGTCCACAATGTCAAAATTCGACAAGTGAAGTCGAACTCCAGAGTCCATTGCCAACGTACTTCGACCCACCCCGGGTACAGGCTCAGCGCGGGTAGCTGTACGTTTTGAGCCTTCCCGATATACTGGTTGTAACTGGCTTCTGATTTATAATGATATATAACCTTAGTTACAGGACCGGCAGGAATTAAAACCCCATTTAGACGTGTTAAGGGCCACGACTGTAGATGGATTTCCCATTGGTCAAATATCCGTTCAATTCAATGGAATATATCTATATAACTATCCCACTATTATCCCATATATATATACATATATATATAACCATTGAATCGTTCTTTTATAACCATTTTATAACGGAATATTACCACCAGTTATCCCATTAGAACCATTTATATCTAATCATTGTCCCAATATAACCAATTGTGCCATTAAACATACCCCTATCCCATCTCATGAAATACTAGTTGGTTGAAAACGCTTTCCTTACTATGGGTTATCATAATCCCCAGTAAACCAGGTGGTATAATCCCCTATAGCAATCAATTAATCAGGCTATTTTTAATGGCTCAATTACAACCATCGATCTAAATCATTCTAAATCCACATTTTCAAAGGATTGGTTTAAGGGAAAATCTTAACCGGAAACCCATGGGTTTTTACCATCAAATATAGGGTTTTCCGGTGAAAATTTTCCCATCATCCAATTCTATGACATTTGTTTAAGGGAAAATTTACAGGACACCATAGAATTTCCCATTGAATATGGGCTTTTCCGGCTCCGATTTTCCCAAGAAAACCAATCCAATGAATTCTAAGTTGGTTTATAAACCATTATAACCACCATTAACTATAGTTATATCTATCATAAACCATAGAATTCAGCCACTTTTTTACCATGGGTTCTATGACATTTTCACTGGTCACCCCATCTCCAGTTTGATCCCAGCCACCAGCATGAACCACAGTTCACGGCGTCGCTTCTCTTCCAGCGCCCGTCGCTTCTTCCTGCAACGCGCGCGGAGGGCAGAGGTGTTGCAGGGCGATTTTTTGGAGATAGAAACACGATGGATTTGTGATGGATATACGGTTTATGTAGTTTAATCCTAGTTTAATTAATATGGGTTTACTGGGGAAAACTAGGGTTTATTACTGTATATATATATATGTATTGCGTCTGTTTGAAAATGGCAGATACCCTCAGTTGTGGATATTCATAAGTAGATCCCGCATCCGGCTGAGCTGTCAGCAGGACGTGTTCCCAAAAACACCAACGCGGTTGAGGTTTCTCCACAAACCTTGCCTTCTGGTTCCCCATGTTGTTCCTAAGTCTGGTTCCTAAGTCAACGCCAGCACAGGATTAAAGTACCAGTTAGTACCTAACCAAGGTTGACCTAATTGGCCAGCTGGTTATTTTATCAAGAAAAACAAGATGAAGTCCACGAACCCGAATGCTCACACGTATGTTAATGGTACAGATGTCAACACACATGGTTATTCAGTCACGCACAATACCTTTCTGCAATAGTTTATTTGAACAGTCTTGTACATGTTTCCCTTGTTACTGGTGTGCAGTGTGGAGTGGAAAGTGTAGAGTGTAGAGTGTGGAGTGTGGAGTGCAAAGTAAGGAGTGTGGAGTGTAAAGTGTAGAGTGGGGAGTGTAGAGTGTGTAAAGTGTAGAATGCGGAGTGTAAAGTGTAGAGTGTGGAGTATGGAGTGTAAAGTGTAGAGTGTGGAGTGTAGAGTGTGGAGTGTAGAGTGTGGAGTGAGGAGTGTAAAGTGCAAAGTGTGGAGTGTGGAGTGTAAAGTGAGGAGTGTAGAGTGTGGAGTTTGTAGAATGTAGAGTGTGAATTGTAGAGTGTGAATTGTAGAGTGTGGTGTGTAGAGTGTGGAGTGTGGAGTGTAAAGTGTGGAGTGTAGAGTGTGGAGTGTGGAGTGTAAAGTGTGGAGTGTAGTGTGGAGTGAGGAGTGTAAAGTGGAAAGCGTGGAGTGTAAAGTGTGGAGTGTAAAGTGTGGAGTGTAGTGTGGAGTGAGGAGTGTAAAGTGGAAAGCGTGGAGTGTAAAGTGTAAAGTGTGGAGTGTAGAGTGTTCAGTGTAGAGTGTAAAGTGTAGAGTGTGGGGTGTGGAGTGTAAAGTGTGGAGTGTAAAGTCTAGAGTGTGGAGTGTGGAGTGTGGAGTGTAAAGTGTGGAGTGTAAAGTGTGGAGTGAGGAGTGTAAAGTGTGGAGTGTGGAGTGTAAAGTGTGGAGTGTGGAGTGGAAAGTGTGGAGTGTGGAGTGTAAAGTGTGGAGTGTGGAGTGAGGAGTGTAAAGTGTGGAGTGTGGAGTGAGGAGTGTAGAGTGTGGAGTGTGGGGTGTGGAGTGTAAAGTGTGGAGTGTAAAGTCTAGAGTGTGGAGTGTGGAGTGTGGAGTGTAAAGTGTGGAGTGTAAAGTGTGGAGTGAGGAGTGTAAAGTGTGGAGTGTGGAGTGTAAAGTGTGGAGTGTGGAGTGGAAAGTGTGGAGTGTGGAGTGTAAAGTGTGGAGTGTGGAGTGAGGAGTGTAAAGTATAAAGTGTGGAGTGTGGAGTGTAGAGTGTGGAGTGTGGAGTGTAAAGTGTGGAGTGAGGAGTGTAAAGTGTGGAGTGTGGAGTGTAAAGTGTGGAGTGTAAAGTGTGGAGTGTGGAGCGTTAAAGTGTAGAGTGTGGAGTCTGGAGTGGAAAGTGTAGAGTGTGGTGTGTAGAGTGTGGAGTGCGGAGTGTAAAGTGAGGAGTGTAGAGTGTGGAGTGAGGAGTGTAAAGTATAAAGTGTGGAGTGTGGAGTGCGGAGTGTGGAGTGTAGAGTGTAAAGCGACGAGTGTAAAGTGTGGAGTGAGGAGTGTACAGTGTGGAGTGTGGAGTGTAAAGTGTGGAGTGGAAAGTGTGGAGTGTGAAGTGTGGAGTGTAAAGTAAGGAGTGTAAAGTGCAAAGTGTAAAGCGTGGAGTGTAAAGTGTAGAGTGAGGAGCGAGGAGTGGAAAGTGTAGAGTGTAGTGTAAAGTGTGGAGTGTGGAGTGTGGAGCTTCCCCCATAGACACGGCGACGCCACAGGAAAACCAGAGACTCGAAACGAGACACGTGGGTGTAAAAAAACGAGCATTCCGTGCGAGACTTCCGCCAATTTTGATATTTTCCACATGTTATCAAACAGGTTGGAATGTCACAAAGTGCCACGCCTGCCACGCAAAACGCCATGACAACCTGCTTGGAAACATTCGAAAAGGACATGTTTTCCAGCTTCCCCCATAGACACAGCGACGCCACAGGAAAACCAGAGACTCGAGACCAGACACGTGGGCGCAAAAAAACGAGCATTTCGTGCGAGACTTCCTCCAAGCTTGATATGTTCGACACGTTATCAAACAGGTTGGAATGTCACAAAGTGCCACGCCTGCCACGCAAAACGACATGACAACCTGCTTGGACACATTCGAAACGGAGAGGTTTTCCAGCTTCCCCCATAGACACGGCGACGCCACAGGAAAACCAGCGACTCGACACAAGACACGTGGATGCAGAAAAACCCGCATTTTGTGCGAGACTTCCGGCAATTTTCACAGTTGGCAAGTTGGCAACACGACAAAAAGACAAGTTTTGCAGCTTCCCCCATAGACACGGCGAGGCCACGGGAAAACCAGACACGCGAGAAGAGACAGGTGGGAGCACCAAAACGACCATTTCGTGCGAGACTTCCTCCAATTTTCATACTTTGCAGCTCCAAAATCGACGTTTTCCTACGAGTTTTCCTTAGAACCTGAAAATTTGTAACCTCAAAATCGATGTTTCGTGCGAGGCTTCCATCAATTTTCAGCACATGTCACAAAATGCCACGCCTGCCACGGAATTTGCACCTTGTCACCACTTGACGCAGCCCTGCCAATGCGATTTACAAAAAACACGCAAAAGGACACGTCTAAAGTGCTACGTCTAAAGTGCTGCGCCTGCCACGAAAAATGACGATGGACACGCCCAAAGTGCTGCGCCTGCCACGAAAACTGCAACACATCTTCTGAAAACGTCGCAAAAGTATTGCGCCTGCCACGCGAAACGACTTTCAACGCGTTGCAAAACACGTCTGAATGTCACAAAGTGCCACGCCTGCCACGCGAAACGAAGCAACGACACGTCTGAAACCTCCAAAAATGACCACCTCTGCAAAACTTCCCATAGGCACGGCCATACGGAGTTCGTACGAACGGTTGCGGACGGTTGCGGACGGTTGCGAACGGTTGCGAACGGTTGCGGACGCGGACGCAACGTCGAGCGAACACACTCTCAACCCCCAGACCCCCAGAGTGAAACGGGAACCCTTGCTACGCATTCGGGAACAAGGAAACATATGGGAGCGATTCATGATTTAAATTCACTTGGTTGTCGCAGAGTTGCTCCACACTCTCAAACGTTACATTTGGGTCAATTGGGTAAATATAGAGGTTTCCTAAAATAGGGGTACCCCCAAATCATCCACTTACAGATGGAATTTTTATGAAATAAACCATCCAGCGTTCTTGGGGTACCCCATGACTATGGAAACCACCATAATATCAATGGGAATTTCAGGATCCTAAATTGGAGGTACCTACCATATATAAGGCCTATGTAAGGCCTATGTAAGGGAATATCCCTACAAAATAAGGCCTTATATTGTACTAACGTACCTCCATTTTAGGATCCTGAAATTCCCATTGATAATGTAGAGCATGACCAATTGGGACCCAGTGCCAATTATTGACCTATGACTTGGTCCCTGAAAGCCTGGTAAAAGAGCTACAGCAGCTACTTGGTGCCTCATCCCTGATCGTAAGTGAGGAATGGTTCACCTTAGTTCATGATGGTTAATGGTGATTAGTGGTTAATATACCCTGGTTGGTTGATGAATTGGAGAGTTTATAGTATATGCTATATACCCTCTGGTAAACTGTCCCGTAACTATGGACAATCATCATTTTTAATGGGTAAATCAACAAACTAAATGGCCATGTTCTATGTCGCAAACTGTTAGTTTACCAGAGGGTATTATAATGGTTATATACCCCCATAATAGGGAACTAATAGATGAAACATATCCCCATAATAGGTAACTAAGAGGCTATATATACCCATTATCCCCACAATAGTTATAATGGTTTAATGTTAAATTACCAGATTCAATGGGAATTCCAGGATCCTAAAATGGAGGTACGTTAGGACAATATAAGGCCATATTTTGGGGGTATATCCCCTTACATGGCCCTGAAACATAGGCCTTGTATATGGTAGGTACCTCCAATCAATCGGTTCCTGAAATGGCCATTGATACTCAGGATAAAGATGGAGGGAATGATTATCCCATATATTATGGAAAATAAAAGCCATGTTTGAAACCACCAACCAGGTTAGTTTACCAGATGGTAGGCCTACAAAAATCCCATCTATAACTGCTGGTTGGTGGTATACCTACCCCTCTGAAAAATGATGGAGTAAATATGAGTTCGTCAGTTGGGATGATGAAATTCCCAACTGAATGGAAAAAATCATAATCCATTCATGTTCCAAACCACCAATCAGATAAGTATCATAAATCATAAACCATAGTTATTGGAAAAAGTCATCCAGTGATGTTCCAGACCACCAAGCAGAAAATGTACCATTTGGTTATTTAACGGTTTGCCATGGAAAATCACCATGTTTAATAGGTAAGCCATCTATTTCTATGGGCCATCTATACCATGGCTATGTTTTAATAAATAACTCTGGGACTATCCTCGACGCCAGCGCGGGTGCCAACGACGGCCGCTTCAGCGGTGAGGTGCCACCAGCCTGGCGGCTTTCGGATTTCATGGGATCTTTAGCATCAAAGATGGAAAAAAAAGTGGTACCATAGGAAAACCTTAGGAAAACCATGGGAAAACCATGGGAAAATGGGAAAACCATAGGAAAACCCATAGGAAAATGGAGGTTTACCCTCTGGTAAACTGTCCTATAGCCTATAACTATGGAAAGATCCACCATTTATAGCTGGGTAAATCCTCTATTTCGACTGGGCCATGTTCAATAGCAAGCTGTTTGTTTGCCAAAGGGTATATGGGATTTAAACATAGTGGTATATGGTATATTACATGATATTTGATCCATATTTATATAGAAATCAATGGGACAACAAAGTTTATGGAATATCTGACATCAGTTATATGGGATTTCAAAGATATATCTATATAAATCAAGAATCATAACTGGATGGGTACCATCCTGCAGGATGTTTTTGGTAGAAAAACCATGAGAAATAAAGGATATCATCATGAATCATCATGAAAACATAGACATTGAAGCATCAACCATTGGTTTTCTTCATGGTGATATGTTTGTTTCGATATACAATATCAGTGACAAAAAGCACAGATTAAGCATATTCGGTCAAAACACTGTCAGTGAAAGAAGCAATGAACATCTCGAACATATAAATTTATCCGTGATAAACATCTCATGAAACATATACAAACTGAAGGCCCGTCTTGGAAAACCTGGCAAACCGAACACTCATGGGGATCATCATCCTCCATCTTTATCCGTAGAATAGAAATATGCCATGGTCAAAACATGGTTTGCCAATGGTTTGCTGGTATATTGGTTGTGGTCATCTCATCTTGAATGGGATTCCACAATCCCAATGGCTAGATGATGGTTTTTTTGAACCCCAAAAACCTGGGGGATGATCATCAGGCAAAAAGGGTCAAAAGCGTGGGTTTTCGCCCTGGTTTTCACTGCAACAAATGGATGTTAATCCCCTCCTACTATGGCAATAAAGGTTTTGATCCCCATCTATATTCAACAATCCCGCATCAATTCCACTGTCACATGGAATATCCCTATGTTTGCACATTATAAACATATTTTTCATATAGGTTTCGACACATCCCCAATTGATGTTTGGCGTCAACACCACTTATCTTTCCACGGAAGGTAAACATCAAATATATATATATATATATAGTTGTTTTATTATTACCTCCATCATATATAATTATATATATATATATATTTGTTACATCATGTTATATCCTATTAAATTCCCATTGACAGACATATTATAACAGATATATCTATGTATGGTATTACATCAGACAAACATATATAGTTGATAGATATTGATTGATATATCCATTTGACTATCTGCTTATCCATTACCCTCTGGTAAACTAACATAACTATGGAATATCACAATTTTTAATGGGTAAATAAACTATACATGGCAATTTTCACAAGCTATGTTAGTTTACCAGAGGGTATCCTGCTTATCCATGAACTATAGTTCTATCGCGTCACCCAGCCATGTCGCTCGCCCCTATTCCTGCCTCCGCAAAGCTGGCTTCCAGCACCTCCACGTCGAACAGAGCCAGGTCCGCGCGTTGGCACCAGATGTGCTCCCAGATCTGCGGCGGGAAAGGCAGAAAAACCGCATGTGGTGACCTGAAACCATAGGAAAAAACATAGGAAAAACATAGGAAAACCATGGGAACATGCTGATTTACCCAACAGCAATGGAGATAACCAAATGGGATTTATGGTTCGGTTGTGATAGCCAAGTTGGTGCGTAAACAAAAACTCCAATTTCAATAAGGTTTAATGGTAGGTATATCATGCACCTTGCACAGCTGAGCCATTGAATTTGATAAAAATCCAGCATGGTGCAGAGGGACAGTCTTCAACGCCACTTTATTCATTACAACAATGGATCCAGATTGGATCAAGTACAAATGTCCCATCCAAATAATCAATAAACTCAATAAACAGTCTGGATGGTGAGAATGGATAGGATATCTTCGCTGATATACAATAAACATCAAAGAATCCCATATCATCCCATGCGGTATGTGATTGTTAATGGACCATGGGCTGCGCTGTTTACTGGCAATGTTTTAAACACATAAGAAACAATGGGATTATTCATGACATTCTTTAAGGCGCAAAAATGGAACGCCATGTATTTCTTCATGGCCCGAGTCCCACTTAGATGTTTCTTGCTGGCCCATGGCCATGATACTGGAAGTTCTTGCCTCTTGTCACTTGATGCTTTGTTGATCCCCTGCTAAATGGAATCTACATGGCGTTTAGCCCTCTAAAGCCCAAAAGGCTAACTGGTTGGTGGTATACCTACCCCTCTGAAAAATATGAAAGTCAGTTGGGATGATTATTCTCAATATATGGAAAAACAAAAAATGTTCCAAACCACCAACCAGCTAACTGTCTAGTTCTGTACCGCAATGGCATTCAGATTTAGAGTTTTCCGATCATACCTGCGTTGTCCCCCATTGTTGTTGGCCCTATCCTTCATTGTTGCATCATACCCGATAGTGTTGGATAAATCTGGATGATATTCCACTATATCCTATTATATAAATCCCATTTGTTGATGGCTTAAGGACATCTTTATTGGAAACAACTTTGTTGTTGGTTACCCTCTGGTAATTTAAAATAGCTATTGAAAATGGCCCATTTATAGTTGATTTCCCTATTAAAGATTGTGATTTTTCCAGTTTTATGGCTGAAACAATACGTCCATGGCTTTCCCCAAATGGGTCCTCACCGCAAACCTGGAGAGGAAGATATGCTTTTGGCATACAACTGACTCAAACTGTGAGTTCTCTCGTGTTGCCAATGTGTTCAGGACAGAGAAGACATATCTTTGGAGAGTGTATGCGGCATTGAAGAGGGTCGTAAGGGCAGAGGCATAGAGGTACGTTGTCGGGGACGAGAAAGGAAATCCAGGTCGGTGGACACCCCGGGAAGTCATTGAGCCAGCATTCCACGCCCTTTGTTTGGCACACACTGGGAACGACGCCGCCTGGCCAGTGTTTCTGTTGGGTTGTTTACAAACGGCATTGATGTAAAGCTCGCAGATTGCACAGGTGTAATCTTCCATGGGAAGGCCCATGCGGCACATCTCTGCAAGCGTGGCCAGCAGCCCAATTTTCATGACTGGGGGCAAATGCCCATATACCCCGAACACCATCAACAAAGTTGTTTCTAGTAAAGATGGTGATTTTCCAGTTCGCTATGTAAACGTTTGCCAGAGGGTATACCATAATTATGGGGATATTAAAATCACTATAACCATGACAGAACTGTTACATAACCATTATTACTAGTAGTACCGCGCAAGGCGGTGGCGGAAGTTTCAAAAATAGGAAACCTATAGGAGAGGTTGGTTCTTGTGAATCAGGGATGGCAGAGCGAAGCCACTGATGGACTGAAAAGTGCTTGATCTCTCTCACTCTTTCTCTTTCTCTGACTATCAACCTATCAACCTACCTACCTACCTACCGATCTATCCATGTATCTATCTATCTGTCTGTCTGTCTGTCTATCTATCTATCTGTCTACGTGTCTACCTGTCTATCTATCTACCTATCTACCTATCTACCTATCTACCTATCTACCTATCTATCTACCTATCTACCTATCTACCTATCTACCTATCTACCTACCTACCTATCTATCTACCTATCTATCTATCTATCTACCTATCTATCTATCTATCTATCTCTCTATCTCGCTATCTCGCTATCTCGCTATCTCTCTGTCTGTCTGTCTGTCTATCTATCTTTCTTTCTTTCTTTCTTTCTTATCTTTCTTATCTTTCTTATCTTTCTTGTCTTTCTTACCTTTCTTATCTATCTATCTATCTATCTATCTATCTGCAAGATCACAAACGAAGAAATTCTGCGAGACTTCCTTAATGTTTGAACATAACAACGTCCGAAACGAAGCAATTCTGCGAGACTTCCTCATTTTTCGAAGTTGAAGACATCAAAAACGAAAGAATTCTGCGAGACTTCCTTCAAAAATGGAAAGTTGAGTGCAGAGCTGACAGCCTCGTACCAATGCGTTTTGCGATTTTTCCAATCCACCTGTCTAAAGTAATGCACCTGCCACGGAAAATGTCATGCAAAATCATCTTAGCAAACCTGCACATCTGATAATCCAAAATGCAACCCCTCTCAGGAAATCAGCGCCCTGACCTCCTAACATCTCTCATGAACATGTCCTTTGTACTGCGCCTGCCACCGAAAATGCATCTTTGCAGATCCTCTTCAAATGTCCCATGCCTGCCATCGTTTTTGGAAATGCCACAAAACCCTCACGTTTTGCTCACTTTTGAAGAGGTGCACACTCCCTTGCGCCTGCCACGCGAGACGACATCTGAACCTCCAAAAGTGGTCCGAGAATGGTGTGTTTTGTACATTTTCACTTCGAAATGTGCTTTGCGCCACAACGGCGTGCACTTATTCGACATCTGAACCTCCAAAAGTGGTGCGAGGCTGAGGTGTTTTGTGCATTTTGACTTCGAAATCTGCTTCCCACCACAACGGCGTGCACTTATTCGACATCGCAACTTCCAAAAGTGGTCCGAGCATGGTGTGTTTTGTACATTTTGACTTTGAAATGTGCGTCGCTTCACAACGGCGTGCACTTTTTTGACATCGCAACTTCCAAAAGTGGTCCGAGCATGGTGTGTTTTGTACATTTTGACTTTGAAATGTGCGTCGCTTCACAACGCGTGCACTTTTTTGACATCGCAACTTCCAAAAGTGGTCCGAGCATGGTGTGTTTTGTACATTTTGACTTTGAAATGTGCGTCGCTTCACAACGGCGTGCACTTTTTTTGACATCGAACCTCCAAAAGTGGTCCGAGAATGGTGTGTTTTGTACATTTTGACTTCGAAATGTGCTTCGCGCCACAACGGCGTGCACTTTTTCATCTCATTTCTGGCCAGCTGGCTCCGCACCCGCCGCTCTAGCGAGCCTACTTTTCGACCCTCCGGAGCTTCAAATCATTGGAAAAACACAGTGTTTCGCGACTTTCCTACTCTTTCGCGCATCTGCATCTTCTTTCTTCTGACTCTTTCTCTTCTCTGATCTTCTCTCTTCTAATCTTTCTCTTCTCTCTGCCTCTGCCCTGCTCTACTTTTCATCTGTCCATACAGTTGGAAGTTTGACTTCTAAACTTCCTTCGATAACCATTATTACATAACCATTATCATAACCATTAGATAACCATTGGAGGGTAATCATCATTTCTGAACACCAAAATCCATCCAATCACCGTGATGTGACCGAGCAGCCGATGTGGTCTCTCCCAACTTCAAGGGATTCCTGACATGGCAGATCCGGGTCGCAGGACATTTCAGGGAGTCCTGAGATTCCTAGTCTTATGTTCAACCCTGAGATTCACTTTTAAATCAAGAGTTTATCTTGAGTTTCGATTTTTATTGAGTTTTTTTTCCGAAAGATTCACGATTTCCCCACCATGGATCAAGGAAAATGAAGAGAACAGAAAGATTGGACCATCTGTGGACCTTGCTGAAGCCATTGAAGCCTGGCAATAGGAAATCCAATCACCACTTGTCACTAGGATCCTTTCAATATCGAGCCTTTGCGTGCAAAGAACCAGCACGACATCCAGCATGAACATCATATTCTCATCATCTTAGTCTACGTTTTTACAAACGTTGAGGACCGACTCCTGAGGCTGTTGAATGAGAAAATCCGGCAATTGGTCAAATATGGCAATTTTTCTTTACCTCAGCATTGCAGTTTCAGTGAGAAAATTATGATTACCCCCTGGTAAACTAACATAACTATGGACAACCACCATTTTTAATGGGTAAATCAACGAACTAAATGGCCATGTTCAATAGCAAACTGTTTGTTTACCAGAGGGTACCCTTTGGTTATTTTAGCTATGGCAGCTATGACCCATTCGATGATTTTCCCATGAACATGTCCCATCTCGTCTGGGGATTTTCCAGGGGAGTCGGGCGCGGGCAAAACCAAGGGATGTTGTTTTGATCTTTGACCTGGTTGACCTAGCCTCTGGTAAACTAACATAGCTATGGAAAATCACTGGTTTTAATGGGAAAGTCCACTATTTCTATGGCCATTTTCAATAGCTTTTTGTATGTTTACCAAAGGGTATATCACTTCAAACTGAGAAAAAGCACTGAACTTTTGGAGACATTTTCCAGGCACTGGAGACATCGTTAACACATCGTAGGTATTTTGAAAGAGACAATGAGAGACATGTCAACTACCCTCTGGTAAACTGTCCAAAAGAACTATGGAAAGATCCACCATGCTATTCATGGGTAAATCATCTATGGGCCATTTTCAATATTTACTTTGACACAACCAGAGGGTAATTAAATGGATATATCAACATATATCAACTATATCTGTTTATCTGATATTTCATATCAACTATACATAGATATATCTGTTATAACTTTAAACGTTTACCAGAGGGTATTAAGACTGCCCAATGATCGGAATATAAATCCCTTCATATCGATCCCAAGTCCTCATGTTTTTGTTGGTTGAGTCCACATTTTTGTTGGTAAAGACATGTAAAAACCATCAAAATCCCACATGTTTGTTGGTTTTTACCAGCAAACATACCATATATCCCTCTCCGTGTTGGTGAACCATGGCGAACCACCCGAATCTTCCCATCTTGGTCGCCGGCCAAAAGAGTTTTTTCATCGCCGTCTTTGGTGTCACCTCAACTGCTGTGGAGCATTTGGAGATTGGGATGATATCTATGGGGATGGGTGCAGCAAATACCTGGGATTGGTGGATCCCCAGTTCGGACTCGCTCAGTTGGTGCAAACTCCTATAACTATAACTGATAGCTATCTGGTTGGTATACCTACTCCTCTGAAAAGAATTAGTCAGTTGGGAGTATTCTTCCCAATATATGGAAAAACAAAAAATGTTCCAGACCACCAACCAGCTATGGTTTATGGTGGATATATCTATACTTACTATTGTTTGCAAACCAACAAGCATACCTGGGGGGGCACCACCTTGTGTTTTTGATGGATGTGAATAATGAAAACATGGAGGCTGGACCGTCCAGCCCAAGGATTTTGGATAGCTGTATTAAACGCTAATATTAATGGAAGGATGGGAATGTACTATTCATCACCATTAGTTCAATGATCCTTAACCCTATAGTGAAGCATAATGTTGTCCATGAATCAGGATTCCAATCTGGTTGGTGGTTTTAACCATCTCGAAAAATATGAGTTCGTCAATGGGAAGGATGACATCCCATGTATGAAATGGACAATAATCCAAATGTTTGAACCCACCAACCAGTGGTTGTGAACCATCATTAACAATCATTAACTATAGTTTTATCCTCCATAAACCCTAGTGAAATTAGGGGGATGGGGTTCCCGCGCCTCAGGCATGCGTGGCTCTTCACTGGCCGCTTTGCCCTTTCCTGCCCAAGGAGACGCCATGGGTTGTCCCACGAACTGTGAAGTGGTTTTTATCTTCTTTAAAACCAATTTATTAAAAACCTTATCTTAAATAGTTGCTATTTCTATGAAGTGTTTTTCTTTACTTTTTGAAGAACTGCAACATATTGTAAAACTAGGTGTGGTTGAGTGTCGGTTTTGCTATATATATATATCTGGGTAAATTATAATATTTCACTAACCTGAATTAATGCCATTTTGGGATGATTTCCCTTATCAACCATGATTCCCAGTGAGGTCGCAGTGAGGTCGTTATAATTTACCCATATATATATATATATGACAATGGTTACATGGATATGATATATGTCAAGATCATTGGAACCTGCAGCGAAATGCAAGACACAAATGGTTATCACCCCGCTGCTGATTCCACCAGCGACTTGGCTAAGGTTCAAGAACTTGGAGGAAAAAAGGCGAAACAACATGAGCTACAATCATATGGCTTTTAACATCAATAGTCACTGGTCAGCTTTTTCTACTATCATGAGCTACAATCATTACCCATCAATCAGGGTTTCCAACCACATGATAGTAAAAACCACGAACTACCCTCTGGTAAACTGTCCCATAACTATGGAAAGATCCACCATTTTCAATGGGTAAATCCACGAAGTAAATGGTCATTTTCAAGATCTATTTTGACATAACCAGAGTGTAAGTCCATTTGGGGAAGTTTCTGCTTACTAGCCATGAATTCTGGTGAGATCATCCTGAAGTCGCTATGATTTGCCCCATCCATGGCACGTCTCACCCTGCAGAGGAGTGCTTTTTTGAAGAACAGACTCCTCCAGTCATGTCTCCACTGGAATTTAAGTCCAACACATATCAGCTGGGGGTCAGCCTTTTCAACCAACATTTATGTACTTCATGAAATAGGGAAAAACGGGTGATTCTGATAGGGCGGCTCAGCGGCTCGGATTTTCCAAACCTCGACCCCATCCCGCCTTTGCAGGGTGGAGTGGTGCCACCTTTGCCTTTGGCCTTTCCGCCCTTGCCCTTGGTGCCCTTCGGCGCCTGGAAACTTGAAATCTTTCCCGGGATATATCAGGACCTATCAGGAAAAAGAGCTTCATTTAGTAAAAACACCAACTGAATACATCAAATATATGGCAGTGTGTCAAAACCTTGTACCCCTGGTGAACATCAAATTAGCTGGTAAATGGATGTTCATTCCCCTAAAAATGGTATGTATAGGTATTGATCCATAGCCATATCACTTGTATGGGTCAAAATTAGGTACATAGTTGGATGGTTTGGTTACTAAACTAGACATTCCCATCTGTGGTCCCACATCGGTAACTTGCTAGCGACCTACCAGTAGCCTCTGGTTAATATACCAATTAGTGGTTGATATACCCTTATGGTTAATGATGGTTAATGATGGTTAATGGTGATTAGTGGTTAATATACTATATAAACGTTTACAGTTTGCGACATAGAAAATGAATCCATAGAAAGTTCGTTGATTTAGCCATGAAAAATGGTGGATCTTTCCATGGTTATGGGTCAGTTTACCAGAGGGTATTGATTGCAAAGAAAAATCTTTAAATAGTGATACAGGTGAAACTCCAAAGATTTCAAGCTGACCAAATATCGTTTGGTTAATTCAAAAACTTAGATTATGATTTTAGCATATATTATACTAAGAAGGTGGTGCCACCATATAGCAATCTGGGTAAATTATAATATTTCACTAGCCTGAATAGTTCGGCCATTGGGGATAATTTCCATTGCTAACCATGATTTCCAGTGAGGGAGAACAGTGAGGTCGTTATAATTTACCCAGAGTAATATAGCTACCCTCTGGTAGTTTAACATAGCTATTGAAAATGGCCATAGAAATAGTGGATTTACCCATCAAAAATAGTGATTTTCCATAGCTATGTTAGTTTACCAGAGGGTAAGTTGGTGCAAATAGTTCCAATAACTTCATAATTGGGGGCACCACCTTGCAGCCGGGATTTCCTGCGCCTTTTTTCGACAACGAGAAAGTCGATGCATCTCCCAAGCCACGCTGAACATCATCCGTAGGGCGACCCTTTCCATCCAAATATCATAGTGGTTTAATAGGTACCCATTTAATGGTTGACTTAATTAATAAACCTAATCTACTAATTAATAGGTACATTATGGTACATTAATATATTAATGGAAAATGCTACCCATGGTTTATTGATTAGGGGGGTACTCCCCAAACAATTAGTGATAATCTGATACTTAAATGGTACCCCCCCAATAAACAGCCTAGGGGTGTATTAATCGAGGGTCGACATTACCAGATGCGCCCACGACCACACGTTGTTTCTAGTGAACATCCCTTCTTGACAGTTTAGAGGTGCAGTTTACGCATTCATGATTCCTAGAACCATCAGTCGCTGGTGAGAAGACGCATCGACAATCAATGATATACATGCGTTTGTACATGTGCATATACCATGCGGATAGCTGGAAGTCCATTTTGGGGATGATTTACCAGATAGAAACGTATGATAATCATCATCTACAGTGATGTCGTGCTGGGGTCGCTAACATAATCCACCGGTTTCTACATTTTTTCGCTAGCCATCCCCGTATAAAATGTATCAACGTATCCAGCCAACCAAGGGTGACTGAGAATCAGTTCGTAAATGGTTTATAACCCATATATATATATTTACATACACGTGTATATATATATAGATATGACTCATCTAAAACCCATATGTATCTGGAGATATTCCATTCATACTTTGATATTGATTGGTGATTTTGGTGCTCTGGAAGCTCCCCCAAAAGAGATGAAACCCAGGAAAAAAATCAGCGGCGCCAGGTGGTAATCATTGGTTGGTAATCTTTGACAATTCTGATCTCATTTTCAAAACATACAAATTGGTGTAATGCCCATGAAATGGCAGTTTAACAGGGAAGATAGTGATAGATCATGATAAATCATGATAAATCATAGATTTGGGTGGTATCCTATTCTCTAAAATCATTCCGTGCCGTGCCTTCTCTGGCTCCTTCTTCTCAGGCTCCTTCTTCTCATCTTTCTCTTCATTCTGCACCGGAGCCGCCATGTTCACTTTTGGGACTTCCCCCACCTAGCAGCAAGGGGCATGGATGTCAGGTGTGAAACAGGCTGGCTACAGAAATGTACCTACAAAACTGGGTGATTTTTAGGCCAAATGTTGGTAAATATTCCATACATGGAGCATATGGGTAAGAAGTGGTACATTTTTTTTTTGGTTGGTGGTTTCAACCATCTTGAAAAATATTCCTCAATGGGAAGGATTATCCCATATACTATGGAAAATAAAACTGTTTGAAACCACCAACCAGATTATTTATGGCTTTGGTGGAGCGCCATATCCCCAAGGCCCTCCTCACCTGCTTACCTTCCAATCGTTGCAAAGCTTCCTGGAGATCGCGAAACCGATCCGGGTCAGCTGCGAGAAACACCCCTTTTCTGTGGTCCCAATGGAATGTGGAATTTCCCTATTAGACCATGGTTTCTGAGGGGGTGTGTAATTTTAGGGGGGATGGATTAGTAAGGTCCATACGTTGCAATCTAGATTATCATCTATCATATCCCATAAATTCTCCAATCACAGCAGCATTTTTGTCAATCTTTGGTTGTCCAAGGTTGGGGTTGTTTTTGTTTCAGATTGTTGGTTTCATGCCCTACTAAACCATGCCTTTCGAAGGATGTTTAATATTTGGAGATGTCTTTGTTTTTTTCTCCAGAAATCCCCGCAGCTCCTTCTGCTGCTGCAACTGAAGTTCCAACCTTTGCCGTTCTTCACCTCTGCAAGGTTTGGAGACTAGTCAGACACATCATATAAAATGGTGATTAACATGATAGAACATAGTTATCATTATATACTATCATGGATTTTATCATTACAAAATGATTATCATCCAATATAATCCAATATAATCCACTATTAATATGATAATGATATATGAAATTATTTGGATTATAGTTTATTATAGTAGTGGATTATTATAGAATGCAATGGATTGTAATGAATATACTCTCTAGATCCTTCCAGTGTCATCAAACATGGGAACATCATCGAACTAAGCCACGTTTGATTTTCGGGAGGGTACCCAAAAGGATGGTGTTAGCGTCTGAAAGCAGTGGACTTAGCAGCATGATCATAGCATTTTGGGAGGAAAAACCATGTGATACTCCAAGTGGATGAAAGGTTCTTTTTTCCCAATGTTTTCCCATCCACTTGCGGGTCAACTGGCATCTGGGGAGTACACACAGTCGCCAACAAGAACTAGCTAATGTGGTCCGTGGTATACATACCCCTCTGAAAAATGATGGAGTTCGTCAGTTGGGATCATGATTCCCGATATATGGAAAGTCATAATCCAGTTATGTTCCAAACCACCAACCAGATCATGGATTTTAGTTGATTACTAGTTGATTATTATGGATTCTAGTGGATTATAGGTGGGTTATTATGGAAACCACCAATCAGTTTAATATGGTAAACCCGAGAAAAAACCAGCCCCAATAGAGGTTTATGAAATTGGGTATACCACTGTTTGGGATGATGTAAAATTTACTGGGGATTACCACATTTCTTACCACCGAGATATAGAAGGTCGGAACTGAATTTCCAAGGAAGAATCAGTTTGATGGGAGATCTTTTCCCACTTTTTTCGCAAGTCTGTTGAACGATGTGCCAAAGCAAAATACGGCCGTTTTTCACCACAACTCATGATTTTTCATCTCCTAACTAACCGGTAGCCAGGTACATCCTATTGCTGTTTTTGGCCTTTTGTCCTCACTCCAACCTGACAAGAAGATGCGCTTAGGCATCCTCTTTAGGAAATCACTGCCAACAACACGAAATGTTTGGAGTGAAACAACTCCGAAGTCATGAAACTTTTACTGGTTAACCATGACAAATAGACATTCAACCATGACAAATAGACGTTTAAACATTGGGGATTATAACGGTGATATAATACTGGTTGGTGGTTTTAACCATCTGGAAAAATATGAAAGTCAATGGGAAGGATTATCCCATGTATTATGGAAAATAAAAAATGTTCCAAAGCACCAACCAGATTTACATACCATCCTCATCCAACCTCTATCTTGAAAGAACAGTTGAGCAGTGCCGAAAACCTTGTGACATGCATTTGATCGGTTGATTTTTCGCGAATCATTTGTTCCTGAAAACTCAATGAATCTAGGTAAATTATAGTATTTCACTAACCTGAATGGTTCGGCCATAAAAGGGGATGATTTCCCTTACTAACCACTATTCCAGGGTTCTTTTTTGAACAGACTTCGGTCGTTTTTGTTTTCCTGCCCAGATCTTTCGTTATACTCTGCAGCCAGCTGAAGAGCCACTTCCAGCCAGGTCACTTTGTAGCTGAAACTTCGAGCTCTGATCTTTCAGCTGCTCCTAGAGCCACGCTTCGAAGCGGGCGAAGCGGAAGCGAAGCGGGCGAAGCCGCAGGACTGGGGTAATGGAACACCAGTAATGGATGACCACCAGGAAACTGTTCAGCTGGCTATTTTAGGGGTACACAATGGTATACGTATACCTTCTGGTTATGTCAGAATAGCTATTGAAAATGGCCATTCATTTCGTTGATTTACCCATTAAATAAAAAGTGATTAAAAGGTCACGGCTGTTGTGGACTCCAAAAAAAACAGCTATTCCAGGGAGGCCATAAAGATAGATGCTAACCAATGGAAATAAGATATGGAGAAATAACAACTCATCTTCAGTCAAGGAAGTTTTTGCACATCTGAAACATGGTGCATGGTTGGAATTCAGCACCACTGATACTATACCCAGATTATCCCCAACAATACCTGCTTCCGAAATCTTCCCTGGCCCCAGCAGTAGCAAGAGAACATGAGTGACTGCGGACATTCTCATTTGTAGGAACTTGATATTCTTTCTTAGAGTAAGTATGTAGTCATATGACATATGCCATGATCGCGACCGACATCTCCATTTTCTACTATTCTTGTAAATCCCGACCTGATGATTGTTGGTGTACTTGATCAGATTTCCACTGTCACTCACATGTATTTATCCATCAATCTAACCACTTAAGCATTGGTTGTGAGTTCCGTCAGCAAATCGTCCTCATCCATGTGCTCCGTGTAAGTGTATGTTATATTTGCTTCACAGCGTCCGTAACTATGCAATACCTGGAGCATCTGGAAATGGACATGTTGATGCCAGCCATCATTTTCTTTGCTTGATTCCGCCTGTTTCCTGGCTACATCTACCATGTCAACTATCATGATGGAAACACAATTCACCAGCATTTCACTAACATTGTGATAGTGGTCTAAGCCATTGGTCGCTCCATAGAACTTCTGTCGGTCGCTCCATGCCGCCCGTATTCGCAGCCCGGAACCATTGCTGAAAATCACTGGCTGCTGGATTTGCCTCAGGAACCTCCAAAGTAAGCCTTACTTGGGGAATCTTCCCAGAGAGTAACTGCTTAGTAAGTTGTTAGTAAGTGGGATGAATAAGGATTTTTCTTATCATCCAGTTGTAAATGCTATTATCCCATTATTTAGCTACTAGTTACTGGTTAGTAACACTGGCTAGTACCATTGCGTAGGTTAAATGGGATACTCCACTGAATGGGAACTTACTAACCACTTAAAATGGTAACTGGTGTTATATATATATTGGTACCTATTTACCCATATAATATCACCCAGAGTTATCACTGGTTAGCAACTGGTTACTTAACCATCTTAGGGGAACTCACGGCTCGCCGTCGATCCTCCAGGTGCTTTAGCATCTCAGGGCTTCCAATCAGCCGGGAGCTGGCCTGACGATGCCCCAGAGAAGCGGTGGAAGGGGCCCCTAAGTTGGGTTAAATCTTGTTTAATTAGTTTAATTCCTATTTTACCAGTGAAGAATCTGGATCTATATGGATTTATACAGATTTATACCAATGAAACAACATATAGGGTATAAAACCAGCAAATATGATGATTTTAAGCAGCAAAAATGCGGACTTAACCAATAAAGATAGGGATTTAAGATGAATAAACATGATAGGTCAGATGTGTGTAGTTCGTGAGGATCACAAGGATTGATTTATGATGGATATATCTAACTGATTTGATGGGATCATAAACCAACTCCTGTGGAGGCCTTTCCTGTGGCTTTAACCCAACAAACATGATGATTTCACCACCAAGTGGTGGCACCTAGTTGCATTGGCTTTGACTGGGCCTTTGGTAAAAATGTTGGACTTAACTACGGTTAGAATCGCTTAGACGCCTGAAAATCACGCAGCTTACAACTTATGGCTGTCAAATGGGGCATTGCCCAAGCTGCGCAGCGCCACGTCCCTGCGAACTGTGGCTGTCCACTCCACAAATGATGAGTCTCTTTGGCCGGGGCTGCGTGCTGTCTGAAATTTGAACAATGTCTAGAGTCTAAAAAAATAACCCAGAGACTCCAAATTTGGCCTACGGAGCATATGTCACCATCAAATCTCATCGCTCTTCAATCCCGTCAAGAATTTTTAACCGAGTTAACTCGTGGTAATTGTTCACTCTTTGCTGGCTAATTACTACATATCTGACCATATTTTTGAATTGACATTTCACAAGTCCAATATCTTGTTCTCTATCTCTCTGTATTGACAATCATTTACAGCGCTGGTTGTGAAGCAGTTGTCATCATCCTATTCTTGGTGGGTTTATCATACGCCAGTTTCGTGTAGATATGAGGAATTCCCATGCCGGAATCGCTGATTTTGCTGGTCAACATGTGCACATTCCCACCATCTGGGTAAATTATAATATTTCATTAACCTGAATGGTTCGGCCATAAAAGGGGATGATTCCCCTTACTAACCATGATTCCAGGGTTTGGGAGAACAGGGTTCGGTCGTTATAATTTACCCAGCACCATGGTCACCATGGTTGCTGCTGGGCGGTGCATCCCCCTTGGACACAAGCAACAATTTTCCACCATTCTCGTAATGAGGCGAACACAACCACACGGAAAAGGCATATTAAGGCCATTGAAAATTGCCATAGAAATAGCTGATATTCATGGTTATAATGGTTTTCATACATTAAATCAACTATATGACCTGGTTGGTGGTTGAGCCACCCCTCTGAAAAATGATGGAGTTCGTCAATGGAAAGGATTAATTATCCCATGTTTCGTATGGAAAATCCCAATGTTTGAAACCACCAACCAGTTTTTGTGGATGAACATGGATGAACTGCAAAGTGGCCCCGAAGATAGGTGCAGATTCATCTATACTTAATGGGGGTTGTATAGCAACAAAGATAACTGAGGTGCGGCACCACCTTGTATCAGAATGATGGTTTTGATTAGACCGATGAAGTCCACCCCAATTGTATATCTATATCTTTGGTATAATTATGTATGACCTACACTCTGGTAATCAAACGTGGCAACGGAAAATCCGTTGTAAATAGAGATTTTAGTACGAAAATCCGAAAATCATCGAACTAAATGCGGGATGTTCAATAATTTTCAATTGCCATGTTTGATGACCGAAGGGTACATCTTAACTAGGATGAACTACCAATCACCCAAATAGATTTGCTGAAAATAGGGTGCTTCCAAGTGTGATGGTTCATCATTACTTCCGTATTCAACTGGCCATTTGAGGGAACTGATGGTTTATCATCATGTTTGAACATGATCACCATGCTCCTGAACTTTGATAGTTCCTTATTCAATGGCCTATCTTCAAACACATCAATATGGAGTCCCAGTTATCATTAGTTATCTTTTTTTTTCAGAGGATTCCCCCAGTTATCATATTTTTTTTCATTTAGTTATCATCCCTTTTTTCCATAGGATTTTCATAGGATTTATCATTAGTTATCATCCATTTTTGAATAGTTTTTTCATGTTTTTTCTATGAAATAAACATACCCTCTGGTAAATTATAACATAATGAACTGGAAAATCACCATTTTCAATGGGTAAATCCACATAAAATCCACTACAAATTGCCATTTTCAATAGTTATGGGACAAATTACCAGAGGCTATCCCCATATATTCCCATGATTTTCCCATATATTCCCATATAAAACCATATAAAACATCCATTTCTAGTGGATATTTCCCATATAAAACCATATAAAACCACTATTTTGACATCACCAGGCCGGGTCATTTTTTCGCCAAATCCGAATCGGCCTCGGAGCTCTCCGTGTCACCTCAGAGCTGTGGATTCCGACCAGGCCAAGCTTAGAGAATGGGACCAGTAAAACGCTATGTTTGTTGGTTGATATAAGTTGATCTATAATATGAATAGTATATATATACAAGTTATTGTAACTATAGTTGATATAGTATATATATATAATAAGTTAATATACTATACTATAATATAATATAAAACATATGTATAATGTTTATTTATTCACATATATATATATACATAAACCCCATGAATAAAAAATGAAAACAATATAGTTGTAAGTATCGTAAATACATCATAAGAATTCGAGAAATTCGTAAACGAACTTAGCTATCGTTTGGGGGGCCCCTCTTTGTAGATATCCTGGAAAAGAACTTAGCTAACTATCGGTCAAAACCTTGGTACCCTAGGTACCCTAAAATGGCTGGCATAGCTGGATGTTTATTCACCAAAATATGGTAGTAATAGGTTTTGACTCATCCCCAGCTCATTGCCCTCTGGCAATCAAACACAATGAAGACTCCCACTCTGAATGAGAAAATACGGGATCAACTAGAAATGGATCTGGTTGGTGGTTGAGCCTACCCCTCTGAAAAAAATTGACTTCGCCAGTTGGGATGATGAAATTCCCAATATATAGGAAAATAAAAGCCATGTCCCAAACCACCAACCAGAAAATGTACCATCTGGTTATTTAACATAGCCATGGAAAATCACCATGTTTAATAGGTAAGCTATCTATAAATGGGTCATTTTCCATGGCTATGTCAAATAACCAGAGGGTAATACAACTGAATTCTCAAATCATAAACTCGCCCTTTTCCGCGGTGGACAACTGGTCTTTTTGCCAGAGCCAGGCCTTCCCAAAGCAGGGAGGATGCACCAGCGTTTTGCGAACACTTTTTCCGGGCTAAACTGTTTGGGTTTCTTGAAAACTAATGTACCCTCTGGTAAACTAACATAACTATGGAAAATCACCATTTTTAAGGGGAAAACTCACTATTTCAATGGCCATTTTCAATAGCTTTTTGTATGTTTAGCAGAGGGTATCTAATGTACCCCAAAATTTGATGCTTCACCAGTTGACCCGGAAATCATTGATGGTGAACTCAACCAGCTACTCCAAGGTTTTTCCTTAAATATCACCTCATTGTGGTTCTATATTCCATCTTATTAATGTCAACCCCGAAATAAATCACTCAGTCGGTTAACGACTTTTAGGGGGGTACCACAAAAATCGTCATGTTTAAAATTGATACCCCGTGTGAGTAGACTGGTGGTTTACTCAAGTTTAGTAGGGTTGACATTATTCCTTTTATATGTATTATATATATAGTATATCTTACACAATGGTTCATCAACTATAATTATATTCCTTATATTTGATTGTGAACATGTCTTAGCCCCTGCAAAACATCTACAAATCATCATAAAATATGTATCCCAACAAAAATCACAAACTAAGGATAATTTCCCCATAATATCCCCAATGAATGTCAAATGAAGGGTTGATCATGTATATATATATATATACATATTCCCATATATTTCATTGTTACCCCCTATAAAACATCCTTAAATCCCCAGTAAATGATGATATAATTCACATAAATTCACAGCGGATCATATGGTTACACTTTCCATCCATTGAGAATGGTTAACTATGGATTAAGTATCTAGATGGTGACTAATTATAAGTTGCCATGGTTTATCCTCTGGTAAACGTTTACATAACTATGGAAAATCACCATTTTTAATGGGTAAATCAACTATGATTAAGATACTCTTCACCGGTGGTGCCTCCTCCCAGCAACGTTTGCTTCGCCACCGGGCACTTCGGCGCCGGGTGCGGCCGTTCTACGCGCTTCGCGCTCAGCGGCGGCCGACGGCTTGGTAGAGCGCCAGCTCGGTGTCGGGATCGGTCAGCTGAACGGAGGAAGCACAACAGCCGCAGAAGTAGTAGCAGAAGTTGTAAACCACCTGGGAATTCAGGAAAAAAATGGGAATATCAGGGGTATACAAGGGTATACGATGGGTGATTATATACATACATATATATATATATATGTATAAACACGTATGTCATGCTATATAGGTTTTAATGGGACGGCAGAAGTTGTAAACCACTTGGGAATCAATGGCCATGGTACCTGAACTTCAGGTTATGAAGCCAAAGAAATTGGGAGTGTATCCTCTGAAATTTCGCCTTTGCATAGACCCAATATATATGGTCATTATGGGATGGCATTGTAAAACAACATGGGATGACAATGGGCGGTCTAGAATTCTAGAATATGTATAATCATGTATATATATATACACATACGCTGGGTACATTATATATATATATAATAATTGCATGTATATAAATATACATGATTATACATGATTATGATATGTATAGTTGCTGTAGATATACCTAAGGAGTACCATGAGAGTATCACTCCAATTTGGGTTTAAGAATTCAAAATGAGAAAATTGCCTAGGTATAGAAGTTGAAACCACCTCAAATAGCCAATGGTAATGGGGAATGAAAGAGGGGTCCTACATGGTATTACCGAACAACGTTGCGGATACCCTCTGGTTATGTCAAAATAGCTATGGAAAAATGGCCCATAGAAATAGTTGATTTACCTCTTAACAATGGTGATTTTCCATAGTTATGGCGCAAATTACCAGAGGGTCATCAACTAAAATTGGGATATCACCTAACAGTAGAACCTGTGGATTACCAAGGTAGTTGGGTCAAGTGACCTGCAAACGATTTAGCCAACCAACATGGTGGTTATGGGGGTATCCCCAGTCACCATCAATTTTTCGGATTTTCCATAGACAATCCAGCTATTGGGGTACCCTTTATGGAAACCTGGAAAGCCTCAAAACATGGATTTAGCTCACTACAATAGAATTTCAACCATCATCAAACAACAAAAACAAATCGTTTCTTCGGTAGCTTCTTGTTATGTAAGTATACATAAATCATCCCCATGATATATCCCACCAATCGCACGTGATTAGTAAGTGGGGTTATACCATGAGCCATTGATAAATGGGATAATCCACTGAATGGGGACTGAAACTCTCACCAGGGTTCTTAACCACTTATGATTTCAATGGCCACTTCAGGAACCGATTGATTGGAGGTACCTACCATATATTTTTGGCCTATTTTTCAGGCCTATTTTTTAGGGAATATCCCAGCAAAATATGGCCTTATATGGTACAGTACCTCCATTTTAGGATCCTAAAATTCCCATTGACTTAACCACTTATGATTCGTAGTATGATCCTCCACGTATGTTCCGATGATGTACGCATGATTTAGATGTATATAGGAAAAAGGGGTGTTGTCAAAAATGGCTTACGCTTGTGAAGGGGGATTCTAGCCAACCTCTGGAAAGCATAAAATAATTAATTAGTAAGACAATGTAAAAAACATAGTGACTGGAAGTGTATCTGGAAATAGATAGCAAAAGTCTAGGTTTGCTCCATTCAAAGAAACAAAAAACATGTAAAAAATATAGGGGAGGCCTCCGCCATGCGAGAAACTGCTGGATTGACTGACCCGTATGAAGTTGAAGCAAATTGGTTTGGGTTGCCGTGTTCAAATCCCCATGATCTTCTAATAAGGGCCAGATAAGAATTGGTTCAAGAGAAGATGGACAGGCCCCCAAAATTGCCAAGTTGCCTTATAAGTGGCTTAAGTATGGTTTATGGTAGATATAACTATGGTCAATGGATGTGAATGAGGTTTATAAACCAACTTATAACTGAGGGGCACCATCCTGTAAAATGACAACAATTCCAAGAATTGCTTCAAGAGATGTATGGTAAACCATGGTTTCCTGCAAGTTTTGTTTTCAAAGTGGATAGAATGAGGATCCTACCCAGTTACTGGCACTTCCCACTTCGAAGTAGTCCCAGTATCTTGTGGTTCAATGATACCATGCAGGAAACTAACGTAGCTATGGAGCTATGGAGAATGCCCATTTCTGAATGATTTACATATGTAAAATGGTGGATCTTTCCATAGCGATTTTGCGCAAATTACCTATATGGGCACCCTGCAAAAAAAAAGCTCATCAATGAATTTCCCGGCTTTGAGTATCAAAGTACCCATCCATGGTTAAAATTGAATATGCAGAATACCCAAACTACCCGTGGGAGTTGGGCTGGAAGGGAGCAGCACAAAAGCAATAAAATCACCATAGCAAACAAATTAAAAGTATTTAAAATTACTAAAGTAGCAATCTAAGATTGACCCAGTAAAAATCTCAATATGTAATGTCCTCTATTTACTTATGGTTCAATTCCTATCATTGTTGGTTTACATCTACATCAAATCCCAATTACTCTCTAATAATTAAACATAGCAATTGGAAATTCCCCACTTCTAGAAATAGAAAATTATAGACAACTCCATTTATAGAAAATTATAGAAAATTATAACCTCCATTGGATTTTCCCATTATAACCTTCATTTATAGAGGATTTTCCATTGCCACGTGTGATTACCAGAGGGTTACTCCACATTTACAGCATCGCCGAAGCGCGGCCAGCCAAAAGAAGCACAAGCCCAGGTAGGATGCAGAGCCTGAGAGCAGCTGTTTAGTTGTAAACCACCTTGGAATTCTCCGAAAACCATGGGAATATCATGGGTAATTATACTATACAAGGATATATGATGGGTGATTATATATACATAATGTATATAGATATATATGGTTGGTGGTTTTAACCATCTTGAAAAATATGAAAGTCAATGGGAAGGCTTATCCCATATATTATGGAAAAAACTGTTTGAAATCACCAACCAGATAATACTTGATAAAATAGACAACATCACAATCATTCACTAAACTGAAGTAAATTGATATCATAGCAACAATAGCCAATTGGAATCATCATCTGACTAACGTTAACAACAGTATTTAGATATTCAGATAGACCAGATGTTTGCGGCAATCTGGCAGCAATCATCCAATAAGATGGAATATATTACAGATACCAGGGCTACACAATCCATTTTCAGGGGAATCACTTCATGGTTTCCTGGGGGTACCCCTAAATCATCCATTTTATACAGGATGGGGCCCCCAAGATAGCGTTCAGTTGCCTTATAAGTGGTTTAACTATGGTTTATGGTAGATATAACTATAGTTAATGGTGGTTATTTCATGGTTTATAAACCAACATTCACATCACTGGGGGGGGGGGCCCATCCTGTAGATGGATTTTCCATTGTAAATACACCATCCATGATGGGCATCCTCCATCAATTGGGTGTCCCCCCACAGCCACCCTCTGGTAAACTGTCCACAAAAAACTATGGAAAGATCCACCATGCTATTCATGGGAAAACTCACGAACTTTTTATGGCCATTTTCAATAGCACACTGTTGACATAACCAGAGGGTATCCCCATATATTCCCATGATTTTCCCATAAAACCATATAACACCACTAAAAAGAGCTATTTTGACATAACCAGAGGGTAATGATAACCAGGGTCAACTAATCAATGGGAATTCCAGGATCCTAAAATGGAGGTACTGTACCATATAAGGCCATATTTTGCTGGGATAGTCCCTTACATAGGCCTTATATAGGCCTTATATATGGTAGGTACCTCCAATCTAGGATCCTGAAATGGCCATTGAACTAATCACCGCTCACGACTTGACGACTTGTCGGCTCCAAGACACCGCAGTTGCCGCCAGGATCGCAGAAGCCGCCCGTCATGCTGCTGCTTCCATTCATACTCCACACCTTAGTCGTGAAAGTCACGGATCACGGTGTTAAACAGCGGGGTGATTGTACCTAGTGAGAATATGTGAAAATATTAGTGTGAATATCTATCATAGAAACACAACTCACACACCGTAGACGCCGCAATCATCTCCTTTACATTTTCGACATTCCGGCTTCATAATCGTCGTCATCGCCATCGTCATCGTAATCGTCATCGTAATCGTCATCATCGTCGTCGTCGTCCTCCTCCTCCTCATACTCATCCTCTTCCTCATCCTCATCATCATCATCGTCATCATCATCATCATCATCATCTCAAGGTTTGATTAGCGAAGCGCTACACCTAAAACTAACACATGGAACGAGTGGAACCCATGACGTCTCCGTTTCTGGGAAGGCTGTGGATGTTGAAGCATTCCAACAAGACTAACTATAAAAGGGTGTCATTGTGCTAAACATACGGTGGATGATTGCGAAATCCTGCATCAGTTGGTAGATGGTCAGGTGGTTTATCCGGTTATTTACCGTATTTCGTAGTTACTAACTGCTGCAGGATTTCTTCCACTTTTTTTGTGGGGGGCGGGTAGATTTTATTTTTAAACTCCCAGTAGGGATGGTGACTGTTTTTGGCTTTACTTGGTATGATCACTATTTAAAATCCCATTGGAATCTGCATGTTTTCTTGATTTCCTCACCAGTTTCCATCGTTAAACTCCAATCTACTATTATAAGTTGCCATGGTTTACCCTCTGGTAAACTAACATAACTATGGAAAATCACCATGTTTAATGGGTAAATCAACTATTACTGGTTGGTGGTATACCTACCTCTCTGAAAAAATGTGAGTTCGTCAGTTGGGATCATGAAATTCCCAATAATAGAAAATTGAAATTCATGTTCCAAACCACAAACCAGATTAAGTTGCCATGGTTTACCTCATCGAGAAAAATCGGAATAATGATCGAACAAATCATGGTTAATGGATTCCGCGCATTGAAACAAGCTATAAATGGCTGGTTTAGACCATCATTACTTTACCAATACTGTGACAACACTACCCTCTGGTTATGCCTAACAGTTTGCTATTGAACATGGTCATAGAAAGTTCGTGAGTTTTCCGATGAATAGCATGGTGGATCTTTCCATAGTTATGGGACAGTTTACCAGAGGGTACCATGGTTGATCTATGTCCATCGAATTCCCCCGGGTTTTCGACTAAAAAACAAAAGAAAGTCACGCGGGATCCGAGAAACAAATGAAGCGCAGAGGATCATGGCGTAGAACAAGATTCCTGTCAGGCGCCATGCTGGAAATGACTCAGAAAGAGTGTGCCATGGTCAAAACAGTGGATGAATGAACTACTATTATTCTGATGGGATAATAATTCTTTAGCAATTGTTGGTGCCATGTTGGTTCTCTCACTCTGCAAGGCGGTGCCCCAGCGATGCTAAGTTGGTGCGCTTATAACTCCACTAACGTTTGGGTTTGTGGCAGATATTTTTAGGTGTCCAAACATTTGGTTCCCCAATAGCTGCATGGTAAGTTCAGGATCCTAAAATGGAGGTACTGTACCATATAAGACCACATTTTCTGGGGATATTCCCTAAAAATAGGCCTAAACAATAGGCCAAAAATATATGGTAGGTACCTCCAATCAATTTCAGGTTCCTGTTGCATGGCCATTGACAATAGCTGGATGTTTCCAATCCATAGAGGTTTTCTCCTAGTTCTCATCCATTTGATGTGTGGATTTCCCCTTAACACATAAACCAATCGAAATTTTCCAATAGATACCATCTGGTTCTTTTAACAGTTTGCCATGGAAAATCACCATTTATAATAGGCAAACCATCTATTTCGATTAGGGCCATCTATCCAATAGATGATGACTGGGGGTATCCCCACAGGAAACCGTTTGGAAACCTCCAGGAATCTCTGTACTATGGTTCATTCCAGCATGGATTCCAAAACTTTTTCTGGCTACAAAAAAGGTAAACCAAAATCCATTTATATAGTTGGTTTATGGTAGATTAATATCTTATTTATCTCTACCATTATCTACCATAAACCATGTAGTTAAGCTAGTTAAATCATATATATCATGGATATAATGGGTATATAACTAGCTTAACTAGATGGTTTATGGTAGATATATCTCCAGTTATCTATACTTGATGGGCTTTATAAACCAACAAACAATGAATGGACTGATGACCATCTTCAAATCTAGGTGTCTCAATGGATAGGTTGAAGGAAAATCTACTGGAAGCTACGGATTTAGCCCCCAAAATATGAAAGTTTCCTGTACATGTTGGCAATATCCAATTCTGGTAGACCTGGCAATTGCCATGCTTGATAATGCCTAGCCTGAGATATCCCTCAAATTCAAATATACTTAAAGACACTCCTTTGTTTCAAGAAGGTAATTGAGCTTAATGAGCTTGAGTCGCAATCCCGCTCACTTGAGTATGACACTTCAATTCATCATTGTACTTTAACACTGCATCCACAAAATCACTCTCAGATCTTCGGGGAAAAAACATATTCCAGGTACAACCACGTGCAAGGACGTCTCCGTTTACCCCGAGGGGAACTTGAGTTTTTTTGGCTTCTGGTTGAATCAACACTAGAAAGCCAGGCTGACTGCTTCAAGGGAATATGTTTACTTGCAGAACGTGGTTTTTAGATGTTTTTATCGTCAAACATGAGGCTTTTCTAATCAAATCTCCAAAAAAATCCTTGGCGATTGGGTGGCCATCTGAAAGACTCCGCTACGGGATCTTTCTCCGGGCCTAGATCATACAAGAAGACTTCCTTGAAGCTTGCCTCGCAAGAAATAGCTGTAGGAACGGTGCTTTTTGGAACATGGGGCTGGGTAAATTATAATATTTCACTAACCTGAATAGTTCGGCCATGTGGGGATGATTCCCCTTACCAACCATGATTCCAGGGTTCGGGAGAACAGGCTTCGGTCGTGATCAAATTTCCCCAGAGGGGATTGACCGATTGACCCCTGGGCCCTTAACGGGCATCAAACCACAGGGCTACTGATGATAGACCAGTGGATGGAATCTGAGGGATTCAGCTTCGAAACCGGAGGTGTGGACCTAGAAACTCTGTGCTTTTTTTGGACCAAAAAATGCTTCTCTCAGACTCTCAGAGAGCAAAAATTATGCAAAGAACTTAGCCTTCAAAGCTGAAAACGTAGGCCATCAACCTACTCAATGACTGTTTACAACAGGATATTTCAATATAAATACCAAGCCTGACGGGATAAATTTAAAATCAGGAAGATATCAAGAAACATAGGGATGTTACCCATAAAGCTGCGTGTACCATCAACATTTGGGGGCTGCTTAAAAGAGGAAATCCCCAATTCATCATGGTTTAATGACTTGGATGATTGGGAGGAATGTGGTTAAACCAGTAATAAAACCACCCAAAATCACCATAAATAGGTGATATAAACCATGCCCAAATGGGTGGTTTTTTTTATTGTTTAAACGCATTACTCCAATTCCGGGAAATCTCCATGTCTTGGTCGTCTCATTATAGGGATCCCATGCGGTAATCAAACATAGCTAGGTGGGGAATCCCCTATGAATGAAGGTTTTACCCTCTGGTTATGACTAACATAGCTGTAGATTTTTTCACCATTTTGAATAGGTAAACCATCTATTTCTATGGGCCATCTATACCAAGGCTATGTTAGTCATAACCAGAGGATCATTGAAAATTCCATGGCAATTATACATGGAGGATTCTCCAGACAGCCATGTTGGATTACCAGGGGACACCCTATGGTAAGCATCCAACCTTTGAACGGAAAATCCGGTGGAACATGCACGGTTTGTAGATGTTTTCCTCTGGAATATTTGGATTCCCGGCCATGTTTGATTGCCATGTTTAGAGTCTTTAGAAGCAAGAAAGTCAATGGTGCTGCAAGCCATGTCACATAGCTTACCTTAGACTTCCTGCATAGATAGTATACGATAGTATAACCTTTAGCTGGTATATAATATATATATACCCTCTGGTAAACTAACATAACTATGGAACATGACCATTATCAATGGGTAAATCCACTATTTCAATGGCCATTTTCTATGTCGCTGTTTGTATGTTTACCAGGCCGGGTAGATGGATTTGTCATGGTTTGTCTGAAAATTGTGTGTCCCCAAATTCGATGCTTCATCAACATTGTCATTATTCCTATCAACAACATTGCCATTTTAAAGGGATGTAGGGCAAAAACATGGACCTTGAAACTACCCTTCACCTGTTGATTTGGGGATCCAAAAATGGGGGTACCCCCAAGTCATCCAAAATGGACTATATTTAGTATTGACACCAATCATTTTGGGGATCACCCATTGTAGGAAACCTCCATTTAAGTGATTCACAAGTCGTCGAACCACTCAGTGCCAAGAGACGAAGATGATCTGCTGCGGCACTACAAAACCTGCCCGCTGTTCGAGCGACGCTGCAGAACGATCCCAAATCCGACGCTTCCGTCTTGAAAAAAAAAGTTCAATGAGAAAACACCAATTTCAAACAGACAATAGATCTAAAAACAAAGGGATTTCCACAGATTTTCCATTGCTACAATGTGGTACCCCCCAGTTATAAGTTAGTTTATAAACCCCATCAACTATAGATATATCTACCATAAGTCCCACTTATTGTAGTTATAAACCAAATTAGCTATCTATGGGGCACCATTATGTAGGTCCCTTTCCCTTTCGGATTTTTGTTTGATTCTTCCTGGTGGCTGGTTTCATCTAAGGGGAATAGGTTTCTTTTTCCTGAAAAAAATCCACGAGGCGATTCGTGGGGATGTACACCACTTTTACATCAGCTATCAATGGTAAAACAATGGTAAAACAATGCCATAAACCATCCCCAATTCACCAGAAATAGGTGGTATAAATTAAACCATTCCCAGTCTTGGTGGTAAAAATGGCATTGTTTTACCGGCCCCCAGGCTGGTGACCCGGAACCCTGTTTCCCAGGCCGCCTGGCTCCAGGCGGAATTGGCCTTCGCGCAATTTCTCTGAGACCATTCTCCAAACTCGGCTCTGGAAATACCTAGCGACTGCGACTGGGATGAAGAAAATCTCAACCCTCTGGTAAGGACTAACAAAATGCTATGGTATAGATTGCCCATGACAATTGATTCAATTGATGGCTTACCCGTAAAAAATGGTGATTTCTATAGCTATGATAAATAGTGATAAATTAGCCGAAGGCAAAGACTATAAACAAACATAAATAATCCTCTCCACCTCTCCCCACTTGCTAGACATTTTGGTTTAGCATTGGAGGGGACAATTCCTCATCGCAGGAGTTGATGTTGCGTGGTGTCCCTGAATGCCTACAATGCAAAAACCCTCTGGTAATTCAACGCAGCTTGGAAAAAACAGCATTTTTAATGGGCAAATCATCATAAATCATCTATAGTTCTAATAATCAAAAGGTATTATAGTCAAATTTCTGGATTCCAAAACTTAGCAAACTGATCTACTTTCATAGTTTAGGAAATCGATGATCTCAGGTCTGGGCAAATTTGACGCATGTCTAGATCTTGAGTATTCTCGGCTTGGTGGTTTGTTGATCGCGTGGAAAAACATGTGTTTACTGATCCATCCCAACACAAGGGTAAATATCTGGATGATCAAAGTACTTCGCCAACCTCAAACAAGGCCATGTTGGCATATTATATGTCCCTATACTAACCATTATTTACGTCATGACGTTGCTATCCCAAGTTTCCCAAACAAAAGGGGATGGCTGGCCCCGGTTGCAGTGGATTTCCCATTGGGAAAGTACCACATCATCGACCTCGCAAATCCAGGATCGTTGATTTTCCCAGCCATAAACCTCCATTTAGTTTGCAGATTTTGGAGATATGTTCCCATTAAATCTCATTATAATCTCATTCATATCCCAGAATAATTTCACAATAATCCCATCACAATCCCATCATAATCCCATCATAATCCCATATTACCACAATGATCCCAATTTCCCCTTCATATCTGTCTTTCCCCAGCAATCACCAGGAAACCAAATTCTTCCAGCATAACTATCCGAGCCAAGGTGCGGTGCAAAAAGCAGGTGAACAATGGCAAAACCCAACCTTGGTTTCACCAAAATGAATGGGATTCAATGGGATTATGATGGAAATATTGTGATGACTTAACGGGGATATGATGGGATATTGGGATTGTGGGAATATGGGATTATAATGGGATTATAGGATTGTTGTGAGATTAGTATGGGATATGAATGCAATTATAATGAGATTTCATGGGGACATATATCAAAATCCATATAATATCAACCCAACCTTGGTGAGGTTTCATGGCCAAAAGGTGTGACCGTCGGACGCTTGGCAAAGCCCCGATGATTTATCTCCAACAACTGGGGCCTATAACTCCAATAACTAGGTGCTGCCCCAGTGAGCGATTCATCGCTAAATTGGTGTTTTTATAACTTCAATTTCACGTTTGGGTTTGAGGAGATGACTATAGTTACTATGGTGCACAAACCAACTTATAACTAGGGGTGCAGCAGCTTGTGTCACCATGAAATCTGGGGTTGGCAGGGTTGCTCCCAATACCCTGATTACAAGGGTGATAAAATGGCTAGATGCAGAGGCAACATGCTGAATTTACTGCTCTCGTGGGAATTATCTACCAGTACCTAAGTTAGGTGCAGCAACCCTGTTTCAGATGGCTTAGTCCTCATGAAATGGGATATATAGCCTTGCATAAATACCCCCAATGTTTGGGACCCCACTTCATGAATAGAATCAATACCAAAGCAAGGTTTCTAGAGGTTATTCAATGTGAGGGGAAAAAATATAACCATGTAAGTATATAAGTCAAATTATCTTTGGAGTCTCATTTTTTGCTCCATATGGTATTTAGGTATATTTAGTGTGTGGGTGTAGTGGCCGTTTCTTCTCAAAATGATGTCAATCTAGTCGTCTAAGCCTAGTTGGCCTAGGTATGGATCGGAATTTACCCTCTGGTAATTTAACATAGCTATTGAAAATGGCTATTTATATTGAGTTTTCCCATCAAAAATGGTGATTTTCCATAGTTATGTAAACGTTTACCAGAGGGTAATCTGAGAAATAGCAACAATGCTGACAAAGGTTGATCAATTGGGGGTACGAAAAAATCCCGAAAAACATCCAACCATGATAGCTCGCTTTTTTGAACTTTGAACCCCGAATAATCCAACAACCCAGGGTCCCTCGTTTCACCAATTTCCCCCCATGTCATACCCTCTGGGAAACTAACATAGCTGTGGAAAATCAGCATTTTTAGTGGGTAAATCAACTATTTCTATGCTATAAATTGCCATGTTCAGTAGCTATGTAACAAATTACCAGAGGGTATCCCCATATATTCCCATGATTTTCCCATAAATCCATATAAAACCACTAAAAATAGATATGTTGAATTACCAGAGGGTAGTCATCTCGGCTTCAGCTCGCAATGGCACACATCCCAACTCCCAGGATGTCAACCAGTGCGAACTTTGCACATCTGGGCAATATTAATCGTACTTCCTAAATGAGAAAGTACAGTAAATATCTAGTAAATATATAGTAAATATATCGTAAATATATAATAAATATATAGTAAATATATAGTAAATATATAGTAAGTATCTAGTAAATATCTAGTAAATATATAGTAAATATCTAGTAAATATATAGTAAATATCTAGTAAATATCTAGTAAATATCTAGTAAATATATAGTAAATATATAGTAAATATATAGTAAATATATAGTAAATATCTAGTAAATATATAGTAAATATATAGTAAATATCTAGTAAATATCTAGTAAATATCTAGTAAATATATAGTACATATATAGTAAATATATAGTAAATATATAGTAAATATATAGTAAATATATAGTAAATATATAGTAAATATATAGTAAATGTATAGTAAATGTATAGTAAATATATAGTAAATATATAGTAAATATCTAGTAAACATCTAGTAAATATCTAGTAAATATATAGTAAATATCTAGTAAATATATAGTAAATATATAGTAAATATATAGTAAATGTATAGTAAATATATAGTAAATATATAGTAAATATATAGTAAATATATAGTAAATATATAGTAAATATATAGTAAATATATAGTAAATATATAGTAAATATAATAGTAAAATATGAGCAGGACATATTATAGTAATATCATAGTAAAGATCTAGTAAATATCTAGTACCAATCAACAACCTCTAGCTAATATCTAGTAATATCTAGTAAATATACTAGTATAATATATAGCTAAATTCGTAAAAAATCTAGTAAAATCTATAGTATAAAATCTAGTAATATATCGTAGTCATATATCGAGCTAATATATAGTAAATATATAGTAAATATCTAGTAAAGATAGTAGTAAATATAATAGTAAATATATAGTAAATATATAGATAAATATTATAGTAAATATCTAGTAAATATATAGTAAATATCTAGTAAATATCTAGCTAAATATCTAGCTCAATATCTAGTAAATATCTAGTAAATTCTAGTAAATTATCATAGTAAATATATAGCTAAATATCTAGTAAATATATAGTAAAATATTCTTAGAAATATCTAGTAAATATCTAGCCTATATATATAGTAAATAATATTGACTATGAAATATCTAGTAAATATCTAGTAAAATCTAGTAAATATATAGATAAATCTACTAATGATATAGTAATATCTAGCTAAAGTAGTAATACTAATATAAATATGATATCTAGTAAATATATAGTAAATATATAGTAAATATCTAGTAAATGTCTAGTAAATATCTAGTAAATATGTATCTAGTAAATATGTATCTAGTAAATATCTAGTAAATATATAGTAAATATCTAGTAAATATCTAGTAAATATCTAGTAAATATCTAGTAAATATCTAGTAAATATCTAGTAAATATCTAGTAAATATCTAGTAAATATCTAGTAAATATCTAGTAAATATCTAGTAAATATCTAGTAAATATCTAGTAAATATCTAGTACATATCTAGTAAATATCTAGTAAATATCTAGTAAATATCTAGTAAATATCTAGTAAATATCTAGTAAATATCTAGTAAATATATAGTAAATATCTAGTAAATATATAGTAAATATCTAGTAAATATATAGTAAATATCTAGTAAATATATAGTAAATATATAGTAAATATATAGTAAATATATAGTACATATATAGTAAATATATAGTAAGTATATAGTAAATATATAGTAAATATATAGTAAATATATAGTAAATATATAGTAAATGTATAGTAAATATCTAGTAAATATCTAGTAAATATCTAGTAAATATATAGTAAATATATAGTAAATATATAGTAAATATCTAGTAAATATATAGTAAATATCTAGTAAATATCTAGTAAATATCTAGTAAATATCTAGTAAATATCTAGTAAATATATAGTACATATATAGTAAATATATAGTAAATATATAGTAAATATATAGTAAATATATAGTAAATATCTAGTAAACATCTAGTAAACATCTAGTAAACATCTAGTAAACATCTAGTAAATATCTAGTAAATATCTAGTAAATATCTAGTAAATATATAGTAAATATCTAGTAAATATCTAGTAAATATATAGTAAATATATAGTAAATATATAGTAAATATCTAGTAAATATATAGTAAATATCTAGTAAATATATAGTAAATATCTAGTAAATATCTAGTAAATATCTAGTAAATATCTAGTAAATATCTAGTAAACATCTAGTAAATATCTAGTAAATATCTAGTAAATATCTAGTAAATATCTAGTAAATATATAGTAAATATCTAGTAAATACCTAGTAAATATCTAGTAAATATCTAGTAAATATCTAGTAAATATCTAGTAAATACCTAGTAAATATCTAGTAAATACCTAGTAAATACCTAGTAAATATCTAGTAAATATCTAGTAAATATCTAGTAAATATCTAGTAAATATCTAGTAAATATCTAGTAAATATCTAGTAAATATCTAGTAAATATCTAGTAAATATCTAGTAAATATCTAGTAAATATCTAGTAAATATATAGTAAATATCTAGTAAATATCTAGTAAATATCTAGTAAATATCTAGTAAATATCTAGTAAATATCTAGTAAATATCTAGTAAATATCTAGTAAATATCTAGTAAATATATAGTAAATATCTAGTAAATATCTAGTAAATATCTAGTAAATATCTAGTAAATATCTAGTAAATATCTAGTAAATATCTAGTAAATATATAGTAAATATCTAGTAAATATCTAGTAAATATATAGTAAATATATAGTAAATATCTAGTAAATGTCTAGTAAATATCTAGTAAATATGTATCTAGTAAATATGTATCTAGTAAATATCTAGTAAATATATAGTAAATATCTAGTAAATATCTAGTAAATATCTAGTAAATATCTAGTAAATATCTAGTAAATATCTAGTAAATATATAGTAAATATATAGTATAAATATATAGTCAATGCCTATAGTAAAAATATAGAAATATATAGTAAAGATATAGTAAATATATAGTATAATATCTAGTAAATATATATAAAGATATAGTAAAATTATACCGTCAAAGATCACTAGTAAATACTACTCAGTAAATATCTAGCTAAATATATAGTAAATATCTAGTAAATATCTAGTAAATATCTAGTAAATTATCTAGCTAACTATATAGTAAATATATAGTAACTATCTAGTAAAGCTCTTAAATATCTAGTAATATCTAGTAAATATCTAGTAGATCTAGTAAATACCTAGTAAATATCTAGTAAATATCTAGTAAATATCTAGTAAATATCTAGTAAATATATAGTAAATATCTAGTAAATATCTAGTAAATATCTAGTAAATATATAGTAAATAATATTTACTATATAAATATCTAGTAAATATCTAGTAAATATCTAGTAAATATCTAGTAAATATCTACTAAATATATAGTAAATATCTAGTAAATGTCTAGTAAATATCTATTAAATATGTATCTAGTAAATATGTATCTAGTAAATATCTAGTAAATATCTAGTAAATATCTAGTAAATATCTAGTAAATATATAGTAAATATATAGTAAATATATAGTAAATATCTAGTAAATATCTAGTAAATATCTAGTAAATATATAGTAAATATATAGTAAATATCTAGTAAATATCTAGTAAATATCTAGTAAATATCTAGTAAATATCTAGTAAATATCTAGTAAATATCTAGTAAATATCTAGTAAATATCTAGTAAATATCTAGTACATATCTAGTAAATATCTAGTAAATATCTAGTAAATATATAGTAAATATATAGTAAATATATAGTAAATATATAGTAAATATCTAGTAAATATATAGTAGCTATATAGTAAATATATAGTAAATATCTAGTAAATATCTAGTAAATATCTAGTAAATATCTAGTAAATATCTAGTAAATATATAGTAAATATATAGTAAATATATAGTAAATATCTAGTAAATATATAGTAAATATATAGTAAATATATAGTAAATGTACAGTAAACATGTCCCACCATAGTACTTCTGGGCAAAAAAAATAGTAAATATACAATAGTCAATCAGGACATTTGGGCAGTGTACGGATCTCTATCTCTTGCCGGTTTGCTGATCCCCTGTTGAAACAGTTTAACATTGAGTGGGAGAAGTGGTCAATACATCTACCCTCTGGTTATGACTAACATAGCCATGGTATAGATGGAAATGGCCCATAGAAATAGATGGTTTACCTGGGTTTACCGAACTTAAAAATGGTGATTTTTCCATGGCAAACTGTTAAATAACCAGATGGTAACCTCACAAAAACACCAAAATGATCTAGATCTGTATGGCGATCTAATCATCTAATCCATCTTATGGAACGGCTAAAAATAGTTGGTTAACCCACATTTACCAAACCAACCAGTGACAGTTTAAATCTAAGGGCTTAAATCCCCATTTTTGGCGGTTAAACATGGTTAAACTACCTTTTTGAGTCGTTAAACTAGCAGTGGGATTCCTACATAGTAGCGCCCCCCAGTTATAAGTTGGTTTAAATTCACCCCATGAATACTATAGTTATTTGCGTATCATAAACCACAGTGAAGGTGGAGTTATAAACGCACGACCTTAGATATCATAAATCAGCTATAAATTCCATGAAATCACAATTTTTGTTGGTTCGATCACCATTTTCCTATCATAAACGGGGGCCACACTTTCGAAACAATCATCCCAGTACAATCTCATCAAATAAGCCCATAAATCGATCATGTTTCCCATATTTTGGTGGTTAAACATCTAGCCAAGGAGGGATTCCAAAACCACATGTTTAACTAAACAATGTTGGTTCAACATCATCCACACAATCATCCCTCCTTGCCTGTTTAAACACTTCCTAAACAATCACTAACCTGAATGATTCCCCTTATAAACTATGATTCCAGTGAGGTCGCAGTGAGGTCGCAGTGAGGTCGTTATAATTTACCCAGAAGGAGGGATTCCTAACTTGAAACAAACCTTTCAGCATCCACAGACGAGCATCTGGATCTGGACCCAGGTCTCTCCACTCACCCAGCCACCTGCGACTTAACGCGCAGGAGTCGAAAGTGGTTCACTACCTGTATATTATCAACCTAATTATAAATAAAGATCTTCCATAAAATATCATATATATATATATATATTGAACGTGTATATATATATATGGGTTTGTCTGAAATTGGGGTAAATCCCCAATAATGGCTACTTAATAGGTACTATGATGGTTAATCAGAGGATTTAGGGATACCCTCTCAAACAAACCCATGTCTACATATACATATATATATATAAATATACATTCATATTCCTCCGGTAATCAAACGTGGCAATTGGAAAATCCACCAGAAGTGGGGGTTTCAATAGGAAAAACACTTATAAATAGTGTATTTTCCATTGCCATGTTGGAGTACCGGAAGGTATTTACATTGTAGGATGGACCTTTGTGTACTATTTGAACGTTGACTGTTTCCCTGTGGTTATGAGAAAAGGTCCCTGCCACATTGCTGACTGCGAGGAAATTAAAGTCTCGTGAGAGATTTGTAGCACTTTCTTGCACTACAAAACCAACTTTGTTGGACATCGGGATGCCATCATATAATGGCTTGGTTTAGCGATGTTTAAGGAAACATTTACAGGAAACTAGAGCTTTTACCAGTAGTTAAAAAATGTAAAATAAGAGGGTGCTTTCATTTCTCCATCATCCTATTCTGGGATCCATGAACCAAAAAAATTACTTTACTTCGTGTGATCCCCACCATGACATTTATACATTTTCTTACTGGCAAATCTTCTGGCATTCTATTTGACATATCTTTTGGCATTCTATCTGGCATATCTTCTGGCATATGTTCTGGCATATCTTCTGGCATTCTATCTGGCAAATCTTCTGGCATATCTTCTGGCATTCTATCTGACATTGCATCTGGCATATTTTCTGTCATTCTATCTGGCATATCTTCTGGCATATATTATGACATATCTTCTGGCATTCTATCTGGCATTCTATCTAGCATATCTTCCGGCATATGTTCTGGCATATCTTCTGGCATTCTATCTGGTATATCTTCTGGCATTCTATCTGGCATATCTTCTGGCATATTATCTGGCAAATCTTCTGGCATTCTATCTTCTAACTTTCTTCTGCACATTTTTTGTCCCATATCTTCCTACATGAGGTCCGGCAGGGAACACTGGGCGTGGATGGTCGTGGTTGAGGTCCGGCAGAGAACACTGTGGATCGTGGGTCGCAGTTGGACGAGGACGACGAGGACGACGAGGACGACGAGGACGACGAGGACGACAAGGACGACAAGGATGACAAGGAGGACGAGGAGGACGAGGAGGAGAGGAGGAGGAGGAGGACGAGGCAGGAGGAGGCAACTGACATAAAATCTAACAACCCTCACCTGGCAGGTGGGGAACAACATTTTTCCATGCAACAGTTGGATATGATTCAACCATACTTCGTATAGAAAAATCCATGCTGGTAACATAGTCAAAGTACATGGGATCTACGCGCCCATAAACATACCACATTTCCCCTTATGGGAAGACCATCCCCTTAGGAAATCCCAAAAAAAATATCTGGCTATGACTAACAGAAATCGCGAACTGGAAAGATCCACCATGCTATTTTAAAATAGGTAAACTATCTATTTCGATTAGGGCCATCGAAAACCATGGCGAACTGTTAGTCATAACCAGAGGGTAATATCCCATGTAATATCCCTCTGATATTACGATTTGGCTATGATTTGACAACGGCACTTGACAACGGATATGATCTCATCCACTCTAGCTAGAATACACATAAGATGCGTCATTGCAGCCAGTAGAAAATACTTACATATTCCCTCTGGTATACTGTCCCATAACTATAGAAAATCACCATCTTTAATGAGTAAATCAACTATAAATGGCAATGTTCAATAGCTTTTTGCATGTTTACACGAGGGTAATCATCCAATTAGATACTTTATTCATTCAACGTGCGAATTTCTTGGAACGGGGGATTCCCAGTCTCGTCACCATGAGTTTTAATACTAAGTCATGGTCCAATGGCTTGGCATGTTCCGGGAGGTACCCCCAGTTATCCAGATATATAACTATCCAATTAGATAATATATCTATAGTAAACATTCATTCTAAATGAACCTTTGTTCAAATTCTAAATGGATATAAATGGATGTAACTAGTGTATATAGTTAATCTTTAATATAATATAGATACATATATATATATATATACATAATATATATATATATAGTGCATATAGTATAGCATGTAATGCCCAACCCCGGTCCAACATCCTCGCCTTTCGCTTCAGCGTTACAGCTCTTAAGGCTTTCATCGCTCAGTGCACTTGCACCTTGGTGGTCATTGAAAATTGGGTTGAACAACCATCCAATATGTGTTTTTTCTTGAAATTGGGGGTACCCCCAACTTCTCCAACCTAGACAATTCTAATATTTTCAACGTTTTTGGGGGTACTACCATTTTAGGAAAGGTCCGTATGGGAATTTAAGCAACATGGCAAGCGAATTCAGCAACCATGGGGATTTGCCTAAGGATATTGGCTGTAAATCTGGAAGCGGGATTGCAACCAAATGTAGATAGGGTTAAATGACCCTCACTCAACAGATTCCTCCCATCGCACAAACGCACATGTTTTCACTCCACAGCCTCGCGAAAGGCTCAAGGGCCCTTGTGAGCCAATATGTTTGCGAACTCTCCTCCATGACACTGATGCGACATGAACTCACATGCAGCAGTTCAATACGCCCTCAGAGTGAGGAAATTTCTTGGTGGCAGCTCACAAGGTTTCATCCTTTCATATTTTTATAGTCCCTTCCATGCATAGCCATGCGATCTCTCATTCCAACCGGCGGACAAATTCCTCCGATGTCTCTTCCATGGACCAACCGATATTCTTGAGGTACATCGCCATGTCAACGGCCTGGGTACGCTTCACGGTCTTCATACGATCCGGCTCAGGAGTGTAAGTTTTCACAATCCATCCCAGATACTTGGAGGCCTCAAGGTCGGTACGACTCATAGTCACCAGTTCTCCGTAGGTGATGTTGAGGTCTGCATACTTCTTCATAGTGATGATGGTACGGCCCCACTCATCCATGGAATCCACCTTCAGCGGGAAGGCGAAGACATGCTGGCCACTGGTCTGAGCATGATCGGCCACCTTGGCCTTGGTATTGCCTGAGGGAATATCCTTGCCATAACCCCCTGAGGGCATCGGCATGCAGCTTGGACTGAACTCCTCTTCGGAAGCGATGTGATCCCATGAGGCTGCATCCGTCTCATCATAGCGACGCTTGCTTGCGTCAGACATCCCCTGACATTCCACCATCAGTGTTTGCACATGCACGGCGATCTGCTTGCCGTGGATATGGCTTGCGACCTTCTGCACAATCGCATTGCCCTGCTCATGCACAATAGCACGATGGACCAGCTCTGCTGCGACCTCTGTTTCACGTTGGGGCAACGCTCCAACGGACTCACCTCGAGGGAGCTTCGACATGCGGCCTGACATCTCGGAAAGCGAGATTGGCTTATACAACTATGCTTTGGGCACTGGAAAAACTTCTGCACACGGAAAAACGTTCCGACTTTGATTCAACGGCCAAACGCGGTTGAAGTCTTGCAAAAAAAAACTGTGCAAACACCAGCAGTTATCCCTTTAGGATTACTTCACCAAAAACTGTTACCCAGGGTTATCCCTTATCGATTATCCCATGTTACTGAACACTATACACGGCTTGGCACGGAGATTGCTAACGACAAGGCTGAAAGAATCCACTGGTCAGTGGTGATCTGGCGTTTCGTTTTGGGACCCTCGGGCTTTCTCTTTTCGACCCGATTCAACACATGGTTTTATGTGGTACTTCCAGGATTCAAGCAAATCATAAAGAGGTTTGGAATCACCCTTCAACTTTGTAAGAACATCCGCTATCATGCGTAGATTGTTTATCCAAAAGATCAAGATGTTTTGATTGCCCATTGTTTCCTTTGCAATTGCATAGTCAATCTGCAAACGGCGTTCCAAAGAGATCGACTGGCTACAACAGCTACGTGTCACTGCATCATAAAAACCTTTGGAGTCAACAACTAGGGCAGCAGGATGCTGCGGTTTTTGCTCTCTAAATTGTCTAGGTGTAATTCCCCTGAGTGTTTCTTCAATCAATGCCTGAAACATTTCTATGGCATCCAACCCATTCTGTCCTGCAAGTGTCTCTGCAGCGACTGACGAGCGTACGGCTCTTCTCAACTTTTTGGACGACCAATCCACTATCCAGCAAGTCGCTGGCTTTTGCTCCAGCATTGGACTTTCGCACAGGCAAAGCACATATCCCCCTTGGGATTCGCCATTACCCCTCGTGCCCCATCCGGCATCAGCGACAGCCATTATTCTCCATGAGTCTATGGGGACCCCACTAGGATACTTAAGGCAAATGCGCCGTTCTTTCATTTCCCTAATGGCTTTGTTGAAAAGTTGGACATGGCTGACACAACCCTTGTCCTGCATGCCTTGGAGGTACGAAGACAAAAATGCCTGATCTGGACGAGTGGAATTTGTTACCCATGCCAATTGACCCGCGCACTGCCTAAGTATACTTGCATTCTTCAGTGGAGTGCTGGCGGTACCTAATGGCTTAGTTTCAACAGGCTGCAAACTGTCTATATAAGTTTCCTGTCCTACTTCAATGCTAAAATTGGTGGGATCCTGACGTATTTCAACACCAGTGTAGCGGATCGTATAGGTACGGTAGTCTCCAAAAGGGAGTCTTGCTTTCAGCTTCTCAAGGACTTGGTCCATTTGAGGAGACCCTCCACCCAACAAATCGTCGACGTGGATTCCGCACACACCCAGCAATTCGCCAGTTTTCTGGCACCTGAGACTAAACAAACATGGATCTAAGCTCGACTGGCTGAGACCTGCTGCCTTCATTTCTCTGGTTAGTCTGAGAAACCATGCTCTTGGAGCTTCTGCTAACCCATATGCTGCTTTTTCCAATTTCATGAGGCTGCTGTCATCAAGCTGCATCCATTGTCGAATTTCTGCAGGCGGCTTGAAGTAGATCTCCCGGCTGGTGGGATCTCCGGACAGGAAAGCGGTTTTTATGTCTGCACCCCACAGCTTCTATTGCTTGCTGGCACAAATGGAAAGAACTAGGCCTTTACTTTCTTTTCTTAGTGTTGGACTATCAGTGGCTATTTTTCCTAGTTCGGGGTCTTGCCATCCTACCAAAACAAGTCTAGCTTTGGGAGTGCGACTACGGTCATCTGGGTCAGATGATTTCTTCCATACCAATACCCATCGAGCCTTTATTATTCTTTCAGGGGGTATTCCACGTGAACTGCATATTGAAGTTACCTTGTTTTCCACCCATGAGTTCCATTCTTTATGCATTGCACCCTCAAACAGCTTTTTGTCTTGGGGGTTGAGCTTTTTGAAGTTAACTTCAACTCTACGCAACTTTGCTTTGGATGGTGCTGCTGCAAGGCATTCATCTAGGATTCCCCATAAGAACATTGGATTGTCAACAACATCGGTTGCCAAAACATCGAGGGATACCTCTAGGACATTTTCTGCTTTGACACTAGTAGCTGTGCTATCCACCATGAGACCTGTGTCATCGTCCGGAACTGGCACTTCGTGCGGTGCAGCTGGCTCGGCACTTGCTGCAGCATCGGAAGATCCTACTTCGGCTGACACTGTCGGAGGAACCTCACTGGCAGGTTCGGTGCGTGGACCTACATTCATGGAAACATCATCTACAGCTGACATAGTGGTATCTTCATGCCTAGGGCTTTTGGCTGGAGAAGTTGGTTCATAGGGTTCATCTGGTTGAACATCTGGTACTACCGGAGTTTCTGCATCTTCTACCTTGCGACGGTGGACAGGAGGTTCAATTGAAGATGATGGCAACTCTTTGATGATATCGGGCTGGACGCCCTCTTGGATTGTTCCTAGCAGTGGGGCTCCCCTCGCCCTCTTCCCCCAGTACTCTGGTGATCTGTAAAAACGCATTGACCTTCTGGATCATCAAGAGTGGTACGCTTTTTGGACTTAGGTTGGGGAGGTTTATCATCATCATCGTCTCCTAAGTCATCGTCATCGATCATTGGTTCATCATCCACATCATCTTTCAATTCATAGTCATCATCTCTAGGACGTTCCTCCGTCAGGTCATAGAATTGACCGGACCGGTCAGCAAGGGTTTGCTCGGTGGCTTCAACATCAGGGTGCAATCGGTTCGGCCAGCTGACGCGCTAATTTACGAAACTCTGCCTCATCTTCCGGTACAGGACGTAGGCCTTCTGGGGAACACTTGTACAAGTAACCGTTCCAGGCAACCCAGACAACCCTTGGGACAAAGTGACCGGTTGAGCTTTCAGTACCAATTACCCTACCAGGGCCACACCAATATCCATTACGGGTGGTTAATTGATGTTAATTGACCTTTCCCCTTTCTACGGAAGATGTATACAAGCTGTCCAGACTGGTACGGACCACGCAAAGGGCGGTTTCTGGCAGCTATGGCTCTGCGCCACACGTCTTTGGCGTGTGCTTCGTGAAACGCACGGGCAGCTTCTTCTCGAAGACTCATCTTAGCTTGAAAGTTTGGATCAGCTAAGATCTGTGACTGCACTGCTGCATCATGCTGGGCATCAACATCGATCAACCATCCGGCATGCTTTGGGTCTTGACCAAGAAACCATTGTGCAGGACTGAAACCAGACTTCCTAAGAAATTGATTGCGGACACTGGCACAAGTTTCTATCACCTCTTCCGGTGGTCGGGTGGTTGTTCGCCATGCACGGCGTGCCATATCCCTAAGGACTCTGTTGGCAATTTCCAGGCGGCCAAGTTGCCAATGGCTGTCTGCAGCACAGTGTAACAACTGGATTCCATGGTGGGACAAATAGTCTTGAAAATCCTTCGACAAGTTAACTTGTTGGGGATCCATAAAAACTACTTTTGGGGCACCATATGGTCGTGTCCACGCCTGATGGAATTCATTGGACAGGATGTCCTTGCCTTTGGTTGGGGCTATGATTTGAGTGGCAAAATCAGTCCCAAAATCAACACAAGTGAGAACATTGAACTTGATTTCTTCCATACCTGCTCCACGTTGACCACTGGGATCTGCATTTTCTTCGTCCCTAGTCAGCTCTACCTGGACGTAGTCAACACCTACCACATGGTTTGGCTGCTCAGCATGCGGCATGGCTGCATTTCTGCGGAGAGTTGGAAGCTTAAGCTCCTTGCAAACTGAACATTCGAATTGCCGTATGGCCCTTTTTATGGATTCCGATGACCTGCAACGATTGGCCAGGCGCATCATCTGTTCAGGCGTAGCATGACCTGTATTGATGTGCAACTTGGTAACAATCTGCTTGGCTCTAGCTGCTGATTCTTGCTCTTGATCTACTTGGATTTCATCAACAGGGCCTGACTCAGGTGCATCAACTGGCTCATCGGATGACGCAAGGACTTCGGCAACAGCAAAATGGTCAGTGGCACTTGCTCGGCTATTTTTGACAGGTTAATCCCCTTATATGCTCCTGCAAGGTGGGCATGTTGATGGCGACCGTCACATCGGTGTGACTGCATGATGGCGGCCATTTCTTGCTGGGTCGTCACTATTCTAGTTGGCTTCAACACTGGATTCCTACTCTTGGGACACCTTAAACCTAGGGCACACTGGTCTGTGCGTACATCATATACTTCACCTAAGCTTAACTCATTCCATGCTTGGCTAGTCAATGGATTTTCAGCATGACAGTGTCCTCCCAATGCCACTTGGATCGACCACGCTTCGGTCACAGCATGCAAATGGCGACGGGCTTTCGCCCTCTGAGCTAGGATCCGCTCGGCACATGAACCTCCCTTGGCTAAATTGAAACGGCTCCATGGACCACAGCATGTGCAAGGAAAGGAAAACCAGACATGTCTTGGACGGAGGTAAGCTATGAGTGTCATAAGCTTCCTACGGTCTGCAAGATTATCCAAGTCTTGACCATATTGGTATCCTATCTTGACACTTGGGATATTCAACCTTTGTTCAACTTTGGCAGCAAGGGGGGCTTTACCCGTAAATACCTCAAGGAATTGTACTCCCCTATCAAGATATTTACCTTGGGGACCCAACCATTCTTGGAGTTCAGCACGGACTTGATCAGGCTCCTCAAGTATGCGGGTAAGAGACCAATTGGGTCTGTGTTTTTCGAAGTGACGAAATGGCTGCTAACAGCTTTTCTCTGACATCATTTGGAATGGGATCAGTTTTGACTTCGGTCCAATCTGTTTGTTCATACAACATTTCAAGTTCCCCATTATTTTCATAAGTGGGCATTAATTCCGCTTTCAGGGATATCCTCACAACAACAAAAACATCGGTGTCCGACTGTTACCTTGGTTTCATGCTTGGGGTCCATGTCATGATGGTTCACTGGGCGATGCACAAACAGGGCTATGCTCACTGGATCCACACGACTCCTGAAAGACCCGGCCGGGCGGACTGACCAGGGTTCTACAGCTAAATACCCATCCTTACTAAGGGTTACCTTTGACTGGAACAACTCATGCTTTTCGGCTTCTGCTGGCAAACGTTCCAACTTGGGATGGTAGGCAACATGAGCATGAGTGATTTCTTCTGAAACTTGTCCAAACAAAGTCTTGAGTTCTGATTGGAAACTACTGATCTCAACAACACCATGCTTAGTGTTTTTGGCTATGTGCTGGAAAGCTCTACGTCTATCAACCGTGCTAGGGGGACCTTTCTTATGATTATCTTTATTGTGTTTAGTTCCCATTATCCCTTTTTGGGGAGGCTTGGCTGCTGCTGCACTCTCTAGGAACTGAACTTTGGTCGAACCATGGTCCTTGGGCTGATGTTCAGGAGGAGGCATCGGCGGCGACACTTCCAGCACTGACTCGTTGGAGTCTGCATCATCATCATTGGGCTCATTCATTTTCGGCTGAGTTGGGACTGCATCACGTCGTTTGGACTCATCAAACAGCGGCAACACGAAGTGACCATTTGAGGCTTGCTTGAGAGGCACTCCATGCATGTTGTGTGGAACGCTGGTGATGGTCTTTTGGCCTAAATCTAAACAAGCTTGCATACCCTCCAACACACGGCGGGAGATGAGGAATGGAGTTTGTCCATGGATGACATATGTGGTGACTGTACCCCAGCGGTCACCCAACTTCACATTCCAACGAAGGCCCTTTGTGGTTTGAACCTTCTCACCTTTGAATCCCTTCAGTTCTACTGGAGGCAGCTCGCATTCATCAGGCGGTGGCAAGTCTTGGCGAGCAAGGCAATGAGCAGTTTCACTGCCCACAACTGATGTGGTGCAACCAGTGTCAAGGATTGCATGGCCTTCTGGGACACTGGCCAACAACACTTCTTCAGGCGACATGGGAACCTCAGCCTCTGATGTCGAAGAGCATGTGGCTACCTCTTCAATCATGTAGTTGAACGAAGTCAGCATGGTGGCTTCTGCAACATGGGCATCTTCTCTCCTATAAGGCCTAGATCCCTCTTTCTTACCCTTACTCACATTCTTACTTTGGGGTTTCTTATCGTACTTGAAAGTGTTCTTCTGCAAAGGCACCTGAGCTTGCTGAGAACCTGAGGCAGTGGCATTGCTTGCATCGGCAGGTTGGCTCAATGCCACAACTGGGTAGTATGGCTGGCGACCACGTTTCAGTTCTCTGACACGCTTTTTGGCATCTTTGTAGTTGCGATATAACTTCTTGAACTTGTCCTTGGCCTTCCGCTGAAGTTCATAGACCTCTTCAATCTCGTGTTGAACATCCTCATCGGAGGTTTGGTCAGGTTCAACGGCCAAGGCCTGATTAGATCCATCACTGTCATCAGAGTCCATGAGACCGACACTTGATGAATCAGAAACTTCTGCAGCTAGCACCTGGTCTTGCACGGCATAGGTATCACGTCTCGGTGGCTTGGCAGGCTTTCTATCATCAGGTTTGGATCTATCTTCGAAGTCAGATGCACGAAGAATTCTTTCAATGTCGACAAACCTCGACGAACCATTTGTAGATCTCACAACTTGGGCACGCTGCTCACGGCTCAGGCCGTACTTTCTCATAAACAAATGACCCAGGACAGACTGCGGGAAGATGGGCTTTGGCTTCAGGTGACCCATCTCCAAAGTACCAAGCATTTGTTTCATGCGCAGCTGGGCTTTGGCCCAATCTTGCTCATAGGTTCCAGTGCTTTCATGCTTACAACGTCTACCAGTGCTAACCTTGGAAGCTTGGGACCGGGCACTCACTGTCTCGGCACGTTCAGCTTCAGCTGCTGGGGCACTCGGTACACCGCCGGTCGGCGGGGCTTCACCGGCAGGCGCCGGGGCAGATCCTGCGGCTGCAGGTGCACTATGTACAGAACCTGGGGCAGCACGGGCATGAGATTCTGTATCACTACGATCCGTCTCTTCCATCTCACTCTCTAGTGTCTCATCTACTGGAGGCTGATGGGACTCAGTGATCCTTCGGCGCTTGGTGCGAGTCAACTCACGTTCCTGGCAGATTAATGTCTCCACACGAGACAACTGAGTTCTGAAACGGCTGGCAAAGGCAGTTGCCCCTTCGCCGTTGCGGCGCTTCAGGGCAAACAAAAACTCATCTATGCTTTCATGAAGCTCAGTCTCAGGCAAGAACTTGTAGTGCTCGTCAAGAGCCTTGATCACAGTCAAGAAGCCTTGTGGTGACCTGAGCTCGGATATACTGAGGTGCTCTGTAGCACGCCATGCTTCTCCAGAGAGCCTAGTTAGTAACCTAGGTCCAGCAAGGTGTGCATGCTTATCCTCTGATCCAGCGATGGCCAACAGGGTTTTTCGACGAAAGTCTCTGTAACCTGAAGGACGGCCGTCAAAGCTGATGTCCTTCAAGGCGTCTCTGCTGCTCTCCATGAGCAGCCACTGCAGTCAGGACAGGAAGTCCTCTCACCACGGCAAAATGCCGTCACGGGCTTTCAGCGTAAGCAGGGCCTGGAGCACCTGCTCCGCTACCATGTAAATCTGGAAGCGGGATTGCAACCAAATGTAGATAGGGTTAAATGACCCTCACTCAGCAGATTCCTCCCATCGCACAAGCGCACATGTTTTCACTCCAAAGCCTCGCGAGAGGCTCAAGGGCCCTTGTGAGCCGATATGTTTGCGAACTCTCCTCCATGACACTGATGCGACATGAACTCACATGCAGCAGTTTCAATATTGGCCATACCTCATGGATAACATCGCATATATGAAGAATAAATCAACAACACATGGAGAATTAACGATGAACATATGAAATAAACAAGAATTGGACGACTTTGAGGGAGATGTTAGCAGGAACACATTTTGCGGATATACTGGAAGCTTAGGTGTTTGCCCATCTAGTCCCAACCCCAAACATACCCGGCCTGGTAAACTGTCACAAACTATAGAAAATCACCATTTTGAATAGGTAAATCAACGAACTTTCTATGCAATAAATGGTGGTATTTTCAATAGCTATGTTAAACAATGGGTGCAGAATTGTTTTTGTTTTTTTTTACAGTTTTGGATTTTTTTTGGGGGTTTCGTGCCTCTTCAATTTTTCCATGGTTTTCTTTAATTTTTCCATTGTTTTCTTCAATTTTTCCATGGTTTTCTTCAAATTTTCCATGGTTTTCTTCAATTGTTCCATGGTTTTCTTCAATTTTCCATAGTTTTCTTCAATTGTTCCATGGTTTTCTTCAATTTTCCATGGTTTTCTTCAATTTTCCATGGTTTTCTGCAAGTTTTCCATGGTGTTCTTCAATTTTTCCATTGTTTTCTTCAATTTTTTCCTGGTTTTCTTCAATTTTCCATGGTTTTCTGCAAGTTTTCTATGGTTTTCTTCAATCAATCAATATATATATATATATATGTATGTATGTATGTATGTATGCATGCATGTATGTATGTATGTATGTGTGTATGTATGTATGTAGGTAGGTAGGTATGTATGTATGCATGTATGTATGTATATGCAGGGTGTGGTTTAGGGTTTAGGGATACAACATGTAGGTATAATTACATGATTATTTGTAGTTTATTTTGGGATCAAAACTGTGTATAAAAACAACCACAAATATGTCATATATATATATATGTATACGTCTGTATATCTGTAAGTAAATATGTATGTGTATTTTAAATATATATATTTGTATACTTATCGATACATAATTATAAAAATATATACGCATTGATTTGTATATACATATTAATATGTATATATATATATATACACATTTATATAAGTACATAAATATATATAAATATAAGTGTGTATATATATATGCAAATATATACATATACATATGCATATACATATATATATGTCTATATATATATGTCTATATATATATATAATTTAACATAAATATTAATATAGTCGAATCAAACTAGTGTATTGAAAAGTGTGCAAGTTTGAATTTAAATAATTAAAAAAAGCGGGAGGGGGGGATTGGGGGGGAGGGCTGAAGAGGGGCCCTAGCGTCTACTTCAAGATCAGCTAAGGCGTATTCCCCAATGACAGCACTCTTTTACTCAGCGTTCTGCCGGTCAGTGCTCTGTCTACAGGGTTACTCTATTATACCTCTTGAGCCTTGAGGGGCGCATATAAATGTGCTCAATACTCATGCATGTACCTCTGTAGGTATTAGATCGAAACAAAAACACAGGCACAAATTCAAAAGCAATGAGTAGAGCACTACGCCTTGTCGTACCCAATTGGTATTAAGAGTATCTTCCTGTCTTTTCTACACAATGGCAAATAGCAAAAATAAACCGGAGTTACGCAGTGGCTTCGAATTGAAAAACACGTGAAAGCAGCGAATGTCCTAAAGACATGCCGAAAAAGAACAGCGGAATTGCTAATTTTTCCAGTAGCGACCAATGGTGCTTCACGCACGGTCTCTCCACAGGCAAAATGCCTCGCTCTATCGGTGAAAGTTCGAATTGAAATGTTTGATTCGCAAGATTCAGAAATTCCGGTCATACGAAAAACAATTGACCAAATCACGAAATAAACGGAAATAGCGGATCTCCAAAGTTGCTCATTCAAGCGAACAATGGACAGAAATCGAAGTTGGTAAGTTTTGGAGTTCGCTCCATTCGGAGTGGTCTGCTCGCAGAAGTTTCATGGAGATAAATGTGTATAGTATCTCTATTTACAAGAGTATCTATTTTACATTAAATTGAAGTTCGGACACTTGTGGCATTGTCTCTATCTAAAAGAGTATATGCCATCTTGTGGAAATAAGTTGATGCACAGAAAACTGTACACGGTTTCTCATGCTGTGTTATCTTCAGTTAAAGAAGTATACACTCACTCATCGCCAATCACTTTGTCTCCATGGTCTGGACGAAGAAGATGAGGATCCACCCCAACCAGTGTTGCCCTGATATGTTGATGCTTGATCTTCATATGCCTTTCTCTTTTTCTCCTTCTGTCTTTCCTTTCTTTTGTCAGCATACTTCATCTTCATGTTAGCTGGTTTGTAATGATGTCGCTCATTCCACGGCATATCAGAAGGATCCAAATGAACAAGAATTGGATTGTGTGCATCACGATCATTTGGAGCAACCATAAAGATGTTATGATCACCATGTAAGCAAGTTTCATTTACCTTGAAGTAAAATTCACCCACATAGTTCATGTGATCTTCATCCTCAAAGTATTCAGGGTACTCCTCACACACCAGACGTGAATGACCCCACTCAACAACTGTAAGCATACAACAATCACCTTTGCCCGTTGTCTTCTTCATGAGCTCGTCGGTGTATGAATCTGTTGTAATGCCATCCAAGTGCGTTGCAAGAAAATCAAGATCCCGATAACTGCAAGAAATGAAGTGCTTGACCCTGACTGGAGGGTATGTTGAATCATAATTCTTGCGCATGGCTTGTGTTGCAACACCGATAATCCTGTTAATCCAGAATTGTATGAGGCTGTGTTGATACGTAGGGACACCTGGAGATTTTGGTGTTGTGTAATAGCATGCTTTGTTTCCATCACCTGCGATGATGTCAACTTGATATCTAGCACACTCAAAAGCCATAACAGCTAAACACTCACCAACAATATCAGGAGAGTCTGACGCATACTTCTGTCCAACGTGATAAACGCACACACGTTTCATCTTCATCCTGGCTCGTTTCAAGTCAACAATCTTATCTGTATCACGGTCCTTTGTCTTTCCCCAAGATACTTCAAAGATTGCCCATGAGACTTGTCGAACTCGTGTGTCGTTGTCATCTGTGTGATATCCAGCAATTTGCTTGATATAGCCGTCCTTTCCTATGCGAGCTGCCACCATCAAGTCATGATAGTCATTGAAGCAAGTTTTCAACTGCACCTCTTCGAGTCTCTCTCTGTGAGGATATAGTGAACCAGCTTCACAATTCATGAAAAGATGTCCTCCAAAGTTCTTGATGACGTTGATGAAGTAATTGTTGAACTGGGTCTTGTTCTCGTCAAATTTTTCATGTTCTTCATCAATACTGTAGTCAATGTGTGGAATGAATTGTTGAAATCTTTCTGGAACAGGGCATTTTTCAAATCTGTTTCTGCACCAGTTTCCCAAATTCCAAAACATCATTGTAATCTGTGGAGAGGATCTGTATGGAAATTCATCATCTCTGTACTTTGGGTCTAGCAGGCCTCCACCTAAATATCTGTAAGCCAAGCTATGCAAGATCATACAGTAAGGCCAGGCACGACCTTGTGTTCCTCAACATAAGATTGAAGTACTCCTGACAGATTTCCAAAATCGTCATCAATTCTTCTTTCTGCTTCTTTTGAGGCTTCTTCTGATTTGTTTTGATGAAGAGGATGCATCCTTGGATCACTACAACCATATTCGATGTTGTTCTTGAGATCATCTAGTTCTTGTGATGGTTGTTGATCTTTGTGTCTGGCAATGTACTCGGCCATCAACTGTTCATCTGTAAGATGGTACCAATAATCTTGATGTGGAGACATAGTCTTCCTGTACTTTATATGCCAAAACATTTGTCGATGTTTCGAGGATGCTGGATAACCTTTATTGTAAATTCCTGCCCATTCACCATGATAACCATCTGTGAAACAATCCTTCAACTTTCGAAAAACTGAATCATCTTCGTTTCCAGTGATATCTTGATCATAGTAAAATCTCTGTGCAGGTTTTACCTCAGGAGCTGTCTCATCATCTTGAATGTCTGTCTTCTTCTCCCCTGATTCCTCCTTCTCTGAGGAGCATTCAGGTGGAGCTGGTTCCTCTTTCTCACAAGAGCTTCCAGCTGGGACATGTGGCTCCTGTGTGTCTTCTTCTTCCTCTTCGACAACAATCTCCTCTTCTTCTTCTTCTTCTTCCTGTTTTGCCTCTTCTTTGACAAAGCTCTCTTTGATCTTTTGCTGAACATTCTTGTTGCACATACTGATCCAGTTGAGAGTACACTCAACCAATTTGTCATCATCAGTTTCCAAAATGATATGTTTGTCCTCAATGTTCAAACTTTCAATAGTGTTCTTGTACTCAGGATCGGCACTACCTTGTCCTTGAAAATCAGGAAGAGGAGTATTTGGATCATCATCCACCAAATCTGGCTCCTCAATATCAAGGAAGTTGTCTGCATTGATGTGCTCATTGTCCTTGAGAACCATTGCGTGAATTGCGATTCGACAGCATGCATCGATCATTTGCCAGTTATGTGTAATTGTGGAAGTTTTGATTTAGATTGTGCATTGCCGCCTGAAGCAGAGCCTCAGCAGTTATCGCAGGATGAAATTGCTAATTATCGTGATGTTCCGCTCTGGTAGACGGATCACAATGATGAACCTACATGGGGTACACAAGTAGAAGAAGCTAAACAGGCAAGGCAAGAAAATATAGATGAACTTTGGGAAACAGTTATCG